AACATGTCAAATGTTGTTGACATGTTGTCATGGAAACATGTGCTCCTAGAATATGCAGGGTCTTGTTTGAAATAGGAAATATTCTATAATCCTGCATAATTCCCCTCGTGTCTTTGAGGGGATTTTTTTTCTCTCCCAGTGCAAGTCTTAGTGGCAAACAGTTCAGTAGAGAGAAGTAGTAGAAGTTCAGTCGAGGCCGCCTTTTGGCAGCTTTAGGCATGGGTCTAAATGTGTTCTTTTTACCCAAGATTTTACATGGTGCACAGTCAACAAAAATGTAGAATATCTCTATAAATAACTGAAGATAGTAAAAGAGGATGGTGTGTGTAGTCCCAGGCCCCTGCAGTGGTTATAAACACGTGCTGGGTGCTTCCCGGCTGATCACAGGTGTTCAGTTCCAACAGCTGCCGTCACACTGTCATCGCTCACACACACTTGTGACGCTGATGCATAAATCTACCCTGAGGACAGCTGTGCATGTATGTGTACATGTTGGACAGACAAAATACAGCATACAAACATGGACCAGCAGAAAGTAAGATTATCACAAGGGTTCTATTGTACTGAACTGCTCTCCAAACACACAACCGGCCATCGTTGGAGATAAGAACCAAAAGAACAAATATGATACAATATGACGATACGATTTGATACATTTCTTTCTCTTCTGCCACTAAATGGGGTTTCATTACTGTCATATTTCATCAACATCAGACGTTATGTGCAGTAATTGAAGACATGCAGTTTTAATTTCAATGGTGACATTTCTTAAACTAATTTAAAAGCAACACTTTTTTTTCCAAAAGATATAAAATCGTTTTGAAATAAACATTTAGGACGCGTTTGTCCCTTTGTTTGATGAGTAAATACAGCCGGAAGAATATAATGTATTTTATATCATCAATTTTTTTCTCTAATTCAACTTAAAATGGGATATCTTTTATTTGGGGTTATACAAGCAGTTTACAAGCAGTTTCGGACATGATTATATATTTTATTTATTCCTTGAAAGAACAAATTGTACATACATTGTACACGTATAGGTTTTTTTCCTTTTGCTTGTATTTATTTATATTATTTTGTATTGTCCGAATAAAGACTCATTCATTCATTCGATTATCAACAATTCAAAATAAAAAAAATGGTTTCACATACTGTATCTCACTTTGCATGTAATGACTGTCATGTAGTTTCACATTAAGTTGAATTACAGACATGGCTTTTGAACAATATTCTAATTTTCAGAGTTTGTAAGTCATTTACTGTATATAACTTATTTCACAGACCAAGGTCACACACACAAAACACGCGCCACGCCGCTCTCTCCGACCATCTCCATCCATCACACTCTGATAGTGGAATTGTTGTTGGGTTATCATTAAAGTGAATTTAAGCATATTCAGTTTAGAACAACTTTGGGTTGACCGAGTGGGGAAATCGACAAGTGAGGTGTTGAAACCAAGCTAATAATTATCCACATTGTCCAAAAATGGGGTTTTGTGTGAAATGATGTTGCAAGACGTTGTCCAACAAGTGGTTAATGTGTAACTTCTTAGTTTTGGGCTTTTCCATGTGTGAAGGTGTGTTATCTGCTTTGAATTAAATACAGTAAGCTGCCTGCAGAAGTATCAATCAGGTCTTTACGGCTGCAGAGGACGCAGATCCTCCTCGCCGCCATAAAGCCATCTCATCCTTGTTGCATGCAAGTATAAACTAATTTCCTTGTCTGTTGTGCATGCGTCTGTCCAGATAACTGTAGTAGAACCCCTTTTTAACAATTACCAATGCAATGTCTTCATCAGATCGACGAGGTGTACCCTGCTTCTCTGAGGTTCATCACTGACTGTAAAGCCTCGACTCATCACCGTGAATTATATACTCTAGTAGGATGGCCTTCTTTGTCCACAGGAGGTCTGAACACTGGAGCACTTTTGTTTATAAGGCTATGCTTGGTCTGCTGCCCTCTTACATCTGCCATTTAATCACACAGAGAGATGTTGGTTCTTACGGTTTGCGAATTACCAAATTACCTTTTATTGCTCTCTGTCCTTTACCCGGACAGAACTGTATCTGCTCCTTTTACATGAAACGTGTAGCAAAAATACTGGAAAGTAACTGGGATTATTACCTTGAGTGCTTTTAAGTCAAGATTGAGACCACTGTGGCTGTGTAGATAGCACTCTCGCCTCCCAGCAAGGTCGTGGGTTTGAATCCCGGTCGGAACAGGGCCTTTCTGAGTGGAGTTTGCATGTTCTCCCTGTGTCTGCGTAGGTTTCCTCCAGGTGCTCCGGTTTCCCTTACCACTAAAATCATGCACAATAGGTATGAATGAAAGAGTGAATGGATGGTGTTGATTGGAGCTGATGGTCCAATGGGTTCTGGACTCGCTTCTGTCATCACCGTGTGTGGAATGATTGCAACAATATCTGACTCTGAACATTGTCAGAGTCAGACAGTCAGTCGGAGGCAGACCTTGGTCTCTAAAATGCGCTATATAAATAAACATTACTTACTTGAATCATCCTCCTTGACATGAAACTGTTTATGTAACTGTGTGTAACTTTTGCTGCCTCTTCATCTCAATGGGATTTTCCAGGATATATAACGATAAAAAAAGTACATACAATTTTATTTATAAATTCACACACACCAAAGATTCTCCTCCCTAAAATAAACCCTTTAGAAATAAAAGTGTTGCACAGCCGGAAACTGGTATCTACAACTAAACCAGACAGTTCCTACTGCGCAGCATGAGGATTATATCTGTTTGATTTTTACATGCAGCACTTCCACTGTCATTATTATTCACAAGTCCCCTGGGAAGCCTGTGTGAGATGGGACGACACCAGCCCCTATTTCTGGCATGTCACTGCACACACTTGTTTGGTAAAGGCTCTTGTGGAGAACTATCCACCCCCATCCATCGCCTCTTCATATTCCCGCTTTTCTAACCTCCTTTTCCCTCAAATATAAAGTGATCCCCACTGTCTCCTCTGTCATGGGTAATCAGACTGCACTATTTCATTTGACTCAGTAATGAAAGCAATCCCAGTGCTTTTCACTGTAGCACAACCCAAATAATGAGGATCCCCCCACTCCCCTCCCTTCATCACGCCTCGGCCCCTCCTGTCTGCGCCATGTGCGAGCGTTTGCATAAGTGAGACTCTCAATTTTGCCAAATCCTTTGTGTGGATTTTGTTCTGCCTTCTCGTCTCAGTGTGAAATGAATCCACAATAATGAATTTTTCTTTGATTGATTCTCATTTTAATCTAATAAAAAGGTCAAATGAAAGGCATCAACAAGTGATAAATCATACAATATGTTGTTTTTGGCAACAGAACAATAAGTCATCAAGCAACACATGAAAGCACATGATACAAATACCACTTTTCTTTTACAAAATATAAATAAAGTTGCAAACGTTCCAACAAACAGGCACTAGAACTCACTCCAGATGGTACGGTGCATATAGCTGCCCTACTCACATGAGCAGTCTGTAAAGAGCAAACTGGAACAAAGTCAGTGTCCAGGGCTCTTATTTCTAGAGCTATTATTCATATGCGATCATCAACGCTTTTTAAACATTTTAACAAAGACATGAAATACAGCAGCAAGGCAGAAATGAAGAGATGGACTGAACATTACCAAGACACACACAGCCATCGCAGTAGAAAAGCAGAACAACTGTAGAAAGATAATTGTGTTAGTTTCAAAATAGCAAGCATCTGATATTCTGGAATAATCTGCATTCATCGGCGGATTAGTTCATTATCAAGAGAGATTCTTTATCAGCCAATACATTTTTCAGTTGTCCATGTTGCCTGTCATGATAATTACCTCCGCCAGGGAATAATGTTATCACCAGGGTTTGTCTGATAGTCTGTCTATTGGCAACCTAGCAACAACAAGTTATTGTTTTGTTAACGGTATTTTCAAGAAAGATTGGAAATGAGATCAGGAACAAGTGATTCAGTTTTGGAAGTCTTTGGATTGCCTGGATTTTGTTGTTTTTTTAATAGAGCTTTGGTGGATGTTTGTGATTTAAGAGTGCTTTTCTCGGTACTGTATCGATCATGGTTTCCAAAGTTTTTCCCCCGGGAGAACTAAGACTACTCTACTTTAGTTTGGTGAAAGAAAGTCGACCAATTAAATTCAGTTTTTGTGTTAATTTTTGAACTGTTTGAAAACAAAATGTACCATTTGGATAAGCAGCTTAAGTCTTAAGTACATGTCACATTACCAAATCATGTTTTATGACTGGGGCTAAGGGGTAGTGAGATACTGGTTGTTCTTGAGCTATAGTTTGATGACCCCTGATATAGATTTTCATTCAATAACTAATAGATGGACCATTGTATTTATTATCTCCTCATCTTTGTCATAGTTAGAAAATATTTGCTTTTTTTTTCAATAATAAGCCAAATAAGTCACTTTGATGGCAAAATAATGCTTAATTCTTGTTTTTCAAATCTAAATGGTTCACTGGGAATCTCCTGCTTTTTATAATTGCAGCAGTGGCACCAAGTATTTCTATATCGCTATATCGCCGTATCGCTGTCTCTATGAATCGTCTATCAAAATGGTTTATTGTGACGGGCAGAGTTACGTGCGTAATCAGGAACAACATAATAACAGCGTAAAAGCTGTTGAGTGCAATAAATACAAAAAAAAGGTTTTATAATGTATTTTAAATGTAGTGTTTGACGCACATGAGGCTGGTTATTGGGCAGGTTGTAATCCTGTCTATAAGTGCATGTCACAATGTGGTACCTCGTTTTATGCTTGTTTACAGACTAGAGATCAGAGAGAAAGTTGCATGAATGAATGCTCATAGAAAGGGGTTTCTGAAAAAAGGTCCACAGTTCAGGTATTGCATCTTACGTGAAAGGATTTGCTTGGTTGGCTGTACGACGGCTGGCATAATGACCTGTTTGAAATGTCTGGGGGAAAAGGCGCGGTGCCACCCCTTACATTCAGCTGTCCCCGAGCCCAGTGTGAGTCAGAGCGTCTGAACCAGCACTGGAAAGAGCAAGGACAAGTGCTCGGCTCCTCGGATCGGGAGTTTGTGTGTGCTGTAAAAATGGATGACCTCTGGGATGGTGTCGAAAAGGGGGCTGTTCTGTCCCAGGACGTACTTTCCGTCTTTGCAGCGGGCGAACTTCATGTGCATAAATCCCTGGCAGCTCCTGTGAAATAGTGGAAGATTAAGATGTCATAAAATATAGGGCGCATAAAACTTTCCTATCTTTCAAAGTGACTCGGAGGAAATGAAGGCCTTGATTGACGAAGGCTCTCTTCTCCTTTGCCTAATGCCACATTTCCATAGAAAATTTAGTGCTGTCACAAATTAGCCTGCAATAGACATGATGATGGATGGATGACAGGAGTGCAGAGAGGAAAGACCGAACGTAACAAGTGATGCGCTGAGCTGTGAAAATGGTCCTGGCACATTATAAACGATCTTTAGACTGAACCGCAGCCAGATGGACGCTCCCATTAAGAGGCGGCCAACCAGTCAGTGTGCTCTAAATATAGAAGCCAAGAAAGGACTAGGGCTCAACCATTGACTGTATAAAGATGGACAATGCTAACTTGCTAGCTCAGTAACAAAGTGTGCTCCTTCTCACTCTGGCTCCTATTGACTTACATTAAAAAGTAAACTCCTCTCGCTCTGCTCATGTCGCAATTATGGGCTTGAAAATTGTTTAGCGCTCTCTATTCTCTATCCTGGTGTTTATGTTTTGATATTGTAAATCCAAATAGGAACTTTAAGGACTGACCAATTAGATGCCTTTATTTGGAAACTCCAGCTTTTCAAGGCAACCATATTAGCAACACGTTAGTACGGAGCTGCCCCTGCAACGAAGCGTCATCCTGTCATCACAAGTGCTCATATAAGCAAATTGGCTCCAGTTAGCTTATGTTCAAATCGGCTCCTTCCGCATTTGGAAAAAAACTATGGGTGACGGTCATCTGGTCTCCCTTGTCTTCGTCGTAGCACACACAACCTTCATTATTAGTATAATTATTATTATTTTCCTTATTTAGCAGTTATAATACAAATACAAGGGACGGACAGACCAGTGTGCAAGACAGTTAACCCCTCAAAGAAATAATAGAACTCTAAGATAAAACAAAAGACATTGAATTCTTGAAACTTTTACACAGTACAGCACACACAACTTTAGAGTGAAAGAAAACCAGGGTGTGACAGAGATGCAAACAGGAGGCAGCGTGCGAGCGTCCCACCACACACCACACACTTCAGAGGAGCTGACAGCGTTCTTTGATCCATCACTGTTTGTTTGGGAGCGGCACATCTCCAGATACATTACAAACTTCCGCAGGGCTTTGTTTTGTCATTTTGGTTTTGTTCCTGATTGCTTTCATCATGAAGTGCTGACTCACAATGTAATGACATTTTCTTATGCAATATACAACTTAACAAGCACCAGTTGTGTCCTTAGGGGAGACACATTATCCACATTGCAGCATAAATCTGTGCGTGAATGATAAGCCGTGGAGAAGGTCTCAAATCCGGGAGCTGTGGCTACATTATACGTTATTATGTATTACATTACTGCCCTTTATAATGTCACTTTACTGCCCATCATACGTCACTTTACCTCACTGTACTGCTGTCACCTTACATTGTGTGCACCATGTGCACTGTATATTGTATATAGTAATTGTAACCCTATTTTAATTTTAATTTTAAATTTTATTCCTTAGAAATGGTTTTTTTAAATTCTTTTTATTTTATTTTATTCTCTCTCTCTGACTGTTGCACTGAGCCAAAGCAATTTCCAAGTCTGTGACCTCCTGTTACTTACGTGGCAATAAAAATGATTCTGATTCTGATTATTTTGTGTAAAGACACTTTAAAGACAAAGCATTGCCCATTGGGGGGCAAATGCTTTTGTTTAAGTCTGTCTTTGGGTTGAGATTTTGGGTTGATTTTTAGGCTAAAAGCAGAACTAGTCAAGCTACTGTCTGAAAATGTTTAACCAAATGTGATACAGTGGCAATGTGTCCAGATTGTACAATATTTCAAACCTGTATAGTATGGCCTTTGTCACATCTTTAGATTAGTTTTTGACAGTAAAGTGAAAAAGGGAGGACCATCCTCACTCAGCCAATACGCTCTCAGCGTCTCATAGTCACTCACATGGCTCTTTCTGACAAGTATGCAAAGGAAAAGTATGCAAAGGATGTTTTCAAATAGATGAGGACAGCATGATGAGGTCTGGTTTGTTCATCTAAAAGGCTAGGTGTCCCAGCTTTAAAATCAGATATTCTGTTGAAACAGTGCACCCGAGGCTAAATGTAGAGCTGGTGCCAAAAGAGACTTGTCGCTGGAGCATGGCGTGCTTCATGTCAGACTCGCTGGGCCCATGTAAATGAGTAATGCATGAACTTGTTTATATGTCAGCAGAACACACAGGCACCGCTTCTACCCCTCATCCCCCTCATCTCCTGCTTGTGTGGCCCACAGAAGGTGATTCATATTCATTAGTGATTATGGAAAGGATGATGGGCGCGCTGAAGTGTGCTCTACCTGCCTGATTACCACTTAGAGGGCCCGCAGGGAGCCATGACGGAAGAGCCAGAGAGAGAGGAGGCCAAGGGTGAGGAGAGGAATGATGGGAAGAGTGGACAATGGATCGGAGAAGTAATTATGTCAGAGAGATTTGACCAGATAAGCAGCTTGATGCCCTGCAAATGAGTATTGGGAGATAGATGAGTATAGCGGTTGTATAAAGCGTGTGATGGCAGATGCATCGGAGAGGGCTCTGATTTCAGGAGCTCAGGTGGCTTCTTGCACTTCAGTTTTGCAATTAATGTGAAATGTAATCAATATGAGGAAAATTATACAGAAGAATATTTATCTTTGATGAGCGTTTTACACAGGGTCGTAGCTAGGATTTTCTAAATACAGGGATGCAATTTTCTTTCCTCTTAAGTATAAAAATAAAAACGTGTGAAATCTAGTGATAGAACCAAACAGTTTTGAGAGCAAGGAACTAGTTTTTATTATATTGTTATCATTTGCGGTTTCAAAGTTAGGCTTTAAACAAAAGTCTCCCCGGAAAACTGAACAAACTGAACTGATTTCTGAACAAAATATGTAAATGTGTGTGATCTGATCTCAAATGTGCAGTCAACTTTAGAACAGTAGAATGATATGGACGACGCCGTTATCATCAATGGTCATCAGCTAATTGAAAATGTCTTAAACAAAACCTATTTCTGTAGAATCAGGTAATTGTTCACAAGACAATACCTAAAAAGAGCAGACAAAAATCAATTTAGTTCAACCTCAATACAACCGTGGTCTTACCGTAAGGAGAGAGAGTAGTCGTTGTGGTTGGTTTGGCTGGTCCTCACTAAGTAGCTACATTCTTTACACAGTGTTAAAAGTGCCTCTGCGTCCGACCGGGAGAGCGACCCATGGTACCATCTGAAAAGCAACACAACCTGTTATAAATATTTACTTACGGTCATAGAGAATGACAGCCGACGCTTGGGCAGGAGAGATAGGACTCCCCAAGGACAGCCCAGTGTCAGCATAAATGACAGGCAGTGATTAAAAAAAGCCATGCAACAAAAGAATGAGGCAGGGTGGAAGAAGGTTGAGTTCACTTTCAAAAGAACAGATGAATCAGCTCCGAGATTATATCGAGAGGCTATTCACCAATTAACATATGTAGTCAGTAGAAGAGAGTAAGAGGAGCTGCTATCACTTTCATAATGTAAACTACATTAGTAGAGATGGGCCAAAAATATATCATAGCAAGGTTTTAAGTTCATCAGCTCAAACTTTGTCCAAAAAAGAGGACTCTTCTTTGAATAATGTTAATAAAAGGTAAGTTTGTACATACAATCAAGTTGTTATTCATTTAAAGTAGCAATATGTAAGATTCATGTCAAGTCATCATTAAATGGCCCTAATATGTAAAATGTCATAAACTTCTCCTGTGTGAGATCAATAAAGTTATCTTATCTTAGCCTAAACCATGCTCTTTTCAAATATTTCTTTAAATGATAGTTCAGCCGAGACCTTTCAATTCCGATATGTGTTTTATAGCCCCTAAATATTGTTTAAATACTGTTTTCATTTTGATGTCCCGCCCTCCACTGTTTCACCAATCAGAAAGTCTGTGATGCGGGTTGCCAGAACTCCCCGCGTGGAGCAAATCTCACTGATAAAGTAACATGTGGCTGCCTACACTTAACTGTTTATCTTTAGATTTTTATTTTTTGTTTCTTATTTTTTTCTGTAAAGCGTCTTTGAGTGTCCAAAAAGGCGCTATATACGAGTACGATGTATTGTTATTATTATTATTATTATTATTATTATTATTATTATAGAACTAAAAAGGATCTTGTTATAATTCTAAATTCATTAACGACAAAACGAGAATATCTATCGGGGCCTGAAAAAGGTGTTGTAGATTTGTTGTTGACAAAACTCTTCCACTCTGAGAGTCAAGGAGAGCAGGAGAGGATGCAGTACCACTTTTGGCCAGATTTGTACATCCTGCTCCTTTAAAGGTTTCAATCAGATTACCAAACAGAGAGCAGAATGACTTCCTAATTTGGGTTGCTGATTTTGGCTCTAAAAATAGCACCGCATGTGTGTAAATGAAAGCAGATGCAAAAATAAGTAGCCACACAAAATACACACAGTTTGTACCAAATCTAACGAAACCCGAGCAGGTAGATTGCATCAGTAATCAGTGCGTAGGAGCCGATTACTGACAGGACCCTTTAATTTAGTTTAGATCATAATTTGCCAACTAATCACTCCAAAAAATAAAAACTATAATAGTATGTTTGAATTCAAAACTAAATCAGATTGATTAAATTACTCTCTATATAATACGGCAACTGCAAAAAAAATCAGTTATTTGTGTCAAAGGATATCGTCAGTGAATGGATTTATCACATTATGAACTGTTCGAATCAAATATTCTTGTATGGTGTTAAGTTACCATTGAGTCCTGCCTTTTCTCCGTTTTGATCGTAATCCTTTGTAAAACACAAAGCACAATTATGCTGCTCTTCAAGTGCTATTAGATGTTTTTCCAGATGATTATTTTCGATGTTTACTGAGTGCATTAAATCTCAATGAAAGCCTTTGATTGGCAGTGATTTAATTGAAGCGGAGATAGAGCACAGAGCCGTGACAGCTCTTGTGATCACCAGGAACTAATGGAGCTGAATAATCCACAAGGTTCCTCAAGTAGAAGTGCATCATTGCTCTTGTCTCGTGCTTGAAGGGTGTCACATGCCTGGATTAATTAACAAAGCAGCAGTAGACGAATAAATAACACAGACGGTGACTGATATTACAGGTCTAAAGGACTTGTCGTTTTTAATCCTCATGCATCTAAATTAGGCCTGACTTGTATTGTCCACGTGGCTTGATTCCAGACTGCTTCAGTTGGAGCATACAGTATGTATGTGCCACATTACAAATATTGCAGTAAATGATGAATTAGTAAACAATCTGCCGAGAAGGTTGAGAACGTGTCAGATGCAAAACAAAGTAATTGCATTGTTGCCTTATATAACTGCATGGCCCAAGGTTCTTTCTTTCAAGATGCTCGAAACAATACTGGAGACAAAGCCTGCCTTAATCTAATACTATGTGACGCATAATCATGTTCTATCGACATGACTGAAGAGGACTATGTGGCGGAGGCACGCATTATTATATTTTGTTTGTAATATTACAAATAAATAGAACATGACAATATTGGCACTATCTTATTACCACATGTAAATCTGGGAGCATGTGCTCCATAGATGCAAGAGAAAATGTAATGACAATGATATTTGATAGGTTTGATATGTTTTCATAAAGAAGATATGCAAGTCCACTGCATGCAATAAAGTTAAGTCAACCGTGAAGAAAACAAATAAGTATATACATGTAGGCAAAATCAGCTACAACAAACCCTGTTACCTGTTTCAGTGACATTATACATTAAATGATTGAATGATGAATTAAACGTTTTGCTAATGTATTCCAATGTGGTGTTTTTACTGCAAATGGCAAATAAACTAAATCTGAATCTAAATGCACGAGAAATTTTTGTTTTCAAGTTTTAAGTTTGTATTTTTGTGGTGAAAACAGATATTAATAACTACTTAGTTGGTTGCGACCAAAATTGTCTATGTGGACAATTAAGTGGTATATTAATTCAGGAACCAGAGAAACAGGTTCTGTTGAGCTCCAGATGAATCCACAAACTTCAGACATGAGACGGTAAACCCCCCAAAAAGGACATTTGACATTTGACACAAGCAATCATAGAATACATACACTTGCTTCTCCAGTGGCAGCGTAGGGTCCACTCTCTCCCCAACCGCTGTGAGTGCTTCTTGGGGCATCCAGAGCTTCATGGGGCTGGACCTGGCCCCTGGAGGACGCAGGCGCTCTGTGGGGGAAGAGGAGCGGTCCCACTCAGCCCCCTCAAACTGCACTGTTGGGCAGACACAATATCTAACTACAGAGATCACAACAGAATACACACGCTCAGCCTCTGCAAACCTGTCGCATCCGGCTGGTGGAAAGAATCACTGCAATTGACTTATAATGTTTCCCTTGGGGACAATTTAGAAAGATATTGGTTTTTATTCTACTGGGAGCTATTAAATAACTCTGTTTTTCATTATATTCCACCCACATGTGGTGTTACAGACAACTTTTATTTACTTTTTTTTTTCTCGCTGTGAAGTGTTTCAGAATTACTATTTTAAGTTACATCTAAAGTTTGAATGCTTCGAATCATGAAAAATATACTACAAAAAATATTCAAATTACATTGACTTTATCTAGAGCTCATATACATAAGGTTGTAATGATTTGTGAATATGATCAGCGAGTGGAGTGTGTGGGGAGTTGGTTTTATATAAGTGCAAGTTTCCTTTTAAAACCAAGCAGACTTTTTGTTTATGGTATTGGTTACATGTTAAATGGCTTTGAAATACATAAATAATCGAACAAACAAACATTTTACATACAATACGACATACAGACGATTTTTCAACGCTTCTTCACTTGTTGCTCTCTGGGAATCTGGCCTTATTATGGGTTGTATCCAACTAAAAATATGTTGTATGAATAGGCAGATCCTCATACCGACTGGAGAAATAATAAAAGTCATAAATAAATACAAGTCAGATCTGTAGGGATTGGCTCAGTCCCTGCAGTGGAATGTTGCTGCAGACAGGTGAAGCAGATGGGGGTAAAGGTGGAGGAGGAACAGATGCGGGGCAGTGAAGCGGCACAACGAGGTCTCAGTGACTCCATGTTTGAGGCGCACAGGGGGGAGGCAACAAATGGGGGATCACTTTTCTTCCAGGGGTCTGGTCAGCTTGTGGATCTGACAGTAGCAACAGTCCATTTGTTGAAAATACACTGTAGTTGAAAGGAGGCGTGCAAAATTGACTTGCTAAAGCTTTTAACCATGTTACAACATCAACAACAGACCTGAAGTTGTTTTAGATTCCTCCATGGTAATATCATCAGGCTCTTGTAACTCTGCCACTTCTGTCTAAAAGCTCAGTTCTGTAATAGTTTATCATTGTACTGCTATGACATCACTTATAACAATCACATAGCTGTGTTTGCAGCCGGAAATATTATAATAACAATAATACAAAAAACCCTCCTGCTGGGGGTAGCAGAGCGAGTTACAGGCGGAAAGCTTTTTTACCCTTTACTCGTTTCAAGATATATTTTAGGTATATACTGAAGATATTATTTCACATTTCAAAACATTAAACGAGTGGCATAAAATGTAATGTTTCTCCTTTAAAAATGGAAAGGATAGATGTGTTTTACAGCTTCAGCACTCCACAACTATTGTGCCTCAAACTGGATTATAGTGTGTATTCTTTGATGGAGAGAACAATAATATATTTAAGGGGATAGATATAACAAAAATAAATACATCAAACAATCGCTCAATGTAACAAGAAATGTCAATTATCAAAATGATGTGTCCTTCAGTAACAGCGTGACAGAACAGAAAAACAAAGCAAACACAACTTTTCAGTTCATTCCAACCTTGAGGCATGAGTTTAAAGAGGCTTTTGTGATTGAGCATTGTGTGACAGAGGAAGTTCAGAGTGGGGGCAGAAAAATGCTTCATATATTGTGCTCACGAGAGACAAACTTAAAATAACTCATTATCGAGCCTTGCAGGCAGTCAGCCAGTCATTAGGAAGCTCTCAGCACAAACGGACACACATTATGCAATTTGCCCGGTCTGCTCCGGGGCCACGTGTGCGCAGCCAACGGGGCTTACAAAACAAATAAAGGAAAGGAGGATGACGTCTTAATGAAGCGACAAATCCGTAGACCCCCCAGGCCCGTGACTTCAAAGGCCGCTTGAATGGGCGTTTTGGTGAGAGACCCGGCCTGTACATACATGACTCTCTCCTTCCCTGGTTAATTATTTAGCAGGCAGACACACTCCGCCACTTTCTCTGGCTCCCCGTGAATTATTGATGAATGGTGCGGTACAATGGCCCCATCTGGAGCACCCCGCACCTCAGCCAAAGCCGGGATTAAAGCCTGTCCTGGCACGGCTTAACAGGGAACGCTTTCAGTGGCACAGGAGGGTCCATATTCGGACACCTGACCCCCGCAAAAGTCAGTTCACATGAGAGGAGGGAGGAATGGATAAATGGTCCAGTGAAATTTAAATTAATTGATCAAAATGCATGTACAGCACTTTTTACTACAGATTGAGAATTTATAGATAATCTATATAGATTGGGTTCAAGTGACATTACAACATTCCAAAGATCAGTAAAAAAGGTAAAACAGTATTTTTTTTTTTTTTTTTTAGATTAAAATTGTAGGCTGAATTTTTTTCCTGGTCACTATGGTAACTGTCAAAAGTCAGATTTTATTTTATGAAATGGCTGTGCCAATCCTCACAAAAGAAAAACTGTCACAACGTTCCACGGCTTCTACAGTATGTCAGTACAAAACTAACTAACTTTATCAACCAAAAAAACAAAACAAAACAAAAAAATTGCTTGGAATTGGCACATGACCTCCAACTGAAACAGAATTCTAGAACATGTACGCAACCTATAGTTTGCCACTGGGGACTAGTAAATCATAAGAATCTTGTTATGTACAATAATGAAAAAACTCTCTCTGCCCCACAACCAGGAGAAAGCTTAAAACATTGATGGATTCACATTTTCATTTACTAGTATGAATATATATCATATTTTCATTCTAAAGCACATGGGAGAAACACCCAGCCATTAAAATGCAGCCGAGCAACTTGCATCTATTACTATAAATGATCCCAGCAGGACAGGAGAAGCAGTGTTCCTTTAGAAACACACACTTACAGCGCGAGAGAAAGGATGTTTCTAGAGTACCAGCTGTTTTCTGTGTCCGAACATAAAGGAGCACACCAAGACAATGGAACTTCATTAGGCCAATTAACAAAACCATCTGTTTTATTTTCTTACAGCTCTGGCATCTCACAAAGACCTTCTCTCACAGCGGCCCATTTAAGGACACATTACAGCATATACTGAAACTCCAGAGAGAAGCTGCTGCTGAGTAATCTGTAATATATTCATCATGGGCCCAGATATTTGCCATAACATATTCTTCATTGCTCAATAACAGTTTACAGGCAGCTTGTGTCCATCATGTCTTGTAGTAGGTCTTTATTTTATAAATATTTTAGAAGTTTTAACTGATGACAAACCCACGCAGTGACGACAGGACTGTTGAGATGCAAAATATTCTACTGTCAGTCCTTGTTTCAACTCGTATTTCTTAGATAAAATAGAATTACTTGGCATTATTTGTTTGCGGTCTAAGAGATCTAAAGACTTATTTGTGTCATTTTTTGTTTTAGAATGTAGAAAATATAGTGTAAGAAACACCAGTAACAAGGGTAAACAATGTCATCCCTATTCTACCACCAGAAGAAGTAAAATGCGTTTTGTTTTTTCCATATTTTAAAATTATTAGCCGCAAACACAGCTATAATTGTACATGAATAAGCATGTTTTTGTCACGGTGTGGATTTTGTTATTTTGTATTTTGGTTTTCTTTTGACATTGTTCTCTGTAGTTTGGTTTGGTTTTACTTCCTGTACTGTTTCCCTTGTCTTGATTGTCCGCCCCGCCCTGATGTGTTTCACCTGTGTCTCTCTGTGTCTATAAGTACCCTGTGCTTCTCTCCTCTTGTTGCTGGTCCATTGTCTTGTTCATGTCCTTGTCCGTTCCGTTCCGTTCCTGGTTTTGGATTTTTTAGTTTGTTTTCATCTACCCTTTTGTTTTTTCATCATTAAATTATTCCTATTTTGGCATTTCCTGCATTTTGAGTCCTTCATTCACCTGCCCCCATGACAGTTTTATTATTAAGGAACACATTTACACCTGTATTTCTCCTACCAAAACAATAAAAGTTTGTGTGCTTTCTCTTGGTACATTTGTGTCTATTTTTGTGATGTTGTTGTCGCTGCTGCACTTGTGTGTCACCAGCATCACCGGCTCCTTGTACGCAAAGTTGCAATTTTACGTAGAGAAGAGTTTCCGAGATCGTATGAAAGTGGCATCAGACTTCTTGTTTTAGACAGAAGGGATGGAGTCACATGTTGGTCTGTTATTGATGTAGTGATCCAACATGATTAAAAGCTCCAAAAAGTCAATTACTTTAATATCTCTACTTTAATATATGAAATTTGCTGGTCTCATGAGATTTTCTGTTGGATTATAATCTAACACACATTTTTCACAGTGAAAGAAAGCGATTATATATTTGTGCCTAAATGTAATATTCTGTATATAACCTTTTGCCCTGTACGAGGGGCATTACATTTTTCAATCCATCCCCAGCTCAACTCTGCAGACCTGCTCCATCAGCTCAGTCCGTGTGTCTCATATTGCAGTACAAGGGGGAATCATGAAGGACAAGCCTTTTCATTACCGTCAGACAGGGGCCACGGTAGAGGTACAGAACAAATCAGCGAAAACAGGAAAAGTAACAAAAAAGGACAGAAGTGAGAAAGAGCGCGAGAGAGTGAGTGACGGGGGTCTTTCCTCTGTGCCCACAATTTGACGAAGAAGTCGATTTGATCGCGCGGCCCAAGGGTGCGTCTGCATAATAGTGTGGAGCAAAACATGCCACGATTGGGAACCATCAAAATTTCTGTCCTTTTTTTCTGCCTACATGTTTGTCCATCACACAGACATCACTCCTTGTGTTGTTTTGATGCATGCGCTTGCACACACACACACACACACACACATTTGCACACACACATGCACGCACGCCATCTGTCAAGGTGTCTCTTTGCAAGCGTCGCTAAAAACTGCCGTTGCTTTGAAATCTATTAGCACTTTTAAAGCACACTTCAGCATCCCGTTCACACATCTATTTACACAAAAGGATAAATCGATGCATGCTAATGTCTAACCTCAGCTTGTAATCAGACAATCTCAATAAGACGGTAAAAACAGATACTGGATTAGCTCTCTTTGTTGTCGTTCCGTCAATCGTTTCAGCAATGAATTGGCCATTAGGAATAAACCAGAGTAATCATGTCTAGCCCCTTATTTATATTGAATTATAAAGCAAATGAATACAACCATTCCCAATATTGTTCCCTCATCAGACGTGAAGTTTGGCGTTTTGATCCATCCGCGCTGATATCAGGAACTTCTGGCTCAAACATGTAACTCTCCTCGTCTAAAAGGTCTTAAAGACACACTCTTTTGAGAATGAAGTTTATACGCTTTGATCATTTCTGAGGATAAATGATGATTCTTACAACTCCATAGCTGTATTTGCAGCCTATAATTTTCAAATTTAGAAAAAAACCTATACAAATTCTACTCCTCTAAAGGGATTTTGCAAAGGGATCTGCGAGCGGAAAGCATTTTTTACTCTTATACTTTTTTAACTTATTTTCAACTTAATATAATAATACAGTCTCAATAGCATTTGTAATGACCAAACATAATGCATAATATTTATTTAAAAAGGTACAGAGCTGCATTATACATGGATGTGTTTTAAAAGTGATCCCTTTTGAGCTGTTAATGTCAGATGAGCAAATCAGAAACTAATGAGTGGTATCCCTCATTAGCTACCTCTAATTGGTGGTGAATGACTGCAGGGTCACTCTCCCCGCTGAACCATCTCTTGACTTTAGCAATTTAAGTTGGATTTGAAGAGAAGGACTGGTGACAGCTGTGGGGAACTATAGCTAAGGGGTACCATGCTGAAACATGTCACTCATGACTCATGGCCGATGCTCTTTAAAGGGTAGAAACATCATTCAGAAATAAAACATATACATGTTAAATTATATTTATCATATTCCTGATCCAAACAAACCTATAGTACAATTTATAGGTTCAGTAAATTGTCAAATATAATTACATTTTCAAAGTTATTTTATAAAACACGTAATGCATTATAATTCTTTGGTGTCTGTGAAATATGGTAAAAATTTGTCCAATTTGTCCAACTTAAGATATCAGGATATACTATATGGATACAGATATTATTCATGTCTTTCAGTATCTAGATGTGGTTTTTTCCCCTGACACCCCGTCAAACTTCCTACAAAATGGGACCAATTGTGTTATTTCATCCTGAAGTACTGTCAGAAAAACTTTGCACATAAAACTGGGGTAATGGATTCCAGTAAAGGGACTCTTCAAGACATCAGCTTTACTGATAATATAAAACAGATATTCACACATATTCTAACACATATTCACAAACCATTAATGTACCAATATTGGTGTCCCTATGGGCAACAACAACAATAAGCATGTTATATGGATCATCAGGGCTTCCATAGGGAGGCTTTCAAGTCCATGTACTACATGACTAATCTCCATACAATGTGTATGCAGCAACTACTACAAGCTCCCTATGCTAATTTGTGCCAACATGAGCGTCCCATGAGCGTCCGGCTCTTCCCACAAACATTGGGTGTGTGTGATCGTCAGAGGTGAGTGTGTAGTTGTGAATCCACATGTGTGATCTGTTGCGTGTGTGAAGGTGATGATGAGGCGAGGACTTAGGCAGTTCTGGCAGAGCGCGATGCCCCTCTCTTTGCCCCCTGTAGTGGGTTATCTGAGTGTGTCACATCCACGAGCAATGGGTGTGGGGGGTGCTGTCACCGTATGTGTGTGCGTGTGTGTGTGTATGTGTGTGTGTGAGAGTGGAGGGAGAGAGAGAAAGTGCAGCTGTAGTAGTGGTGACGGATTGCATGCAACCACAATGCCGCTGCCCCCCCTCAGCCTTACCTATCCACAGCCAACATCCATTACTTCTCCTGGAGCCCCTCCCCTCTGAACCACTGGGCCTCTGCTGCCACAAACCTACAAAATAACCTTGGACACCCTGTCTTTTCCCCTACAGCCAGCTTTCAACACAGCCTTGCCTATATTATACTCTTTTAGTGACAAACCCATCCTCCCAACAGCTGCCCTTCCACCCGGCCAAAGCTGCACTGGTCTGGGAATATGGATTAGATACGAGAATGGAAATAGTGTTTGAGTTTACACTTCAACGCTCTGCTTTGCACAGCCAGATAGACTGCGCGCCAAGACTGCTGTCACTATATGGAAAAACATTGGGTCAGAACAGAAGCCTGCTGATAGCCTGATGTTTTCACTGCATGAGAACAAATCAAAGATGTAGCTGTTGTAGGTCTAAGTAGGTGAGGAGTAAGAACACTCGTCTCAACTGCTTTTAAATACTCTTGTATTTCAATTCTGCTTAGCATGTCTCCTGTTCTTCTGCTTAATGTGATTTAGCCGTGAATGAAGGAGAATGTGTGCTGACCATGATTCTTATTAGTGGAGGATCATTCACACATTTGCAGGCGTATAATTAGAGCAGACAAGTGCAGAGCAAGCGAGCTGTGCATGAGACACGCTTGATTTATTATCCATCACCTTGACCTTGGTGACTTTGAAATGCAGCTTTATTAAGTCTGCTTGGACGGATGACTTGCGCTAATCCACTCCTCGCAAAACGATCACTCTAGCTTTGCCCAATTGACCGAAAATGTATGAAAAAGTGATATAAGTAAACACATCTGCACCATCTTGACCATTCTCTGTATGTGTGCTGTCAAGCCTTCACACACATGGACAAACCGGCAAAAGACAACTCTGTCAACGCTAATGATGATATGGCTGAGGGCTGTGCGCGCCTCATCACAAGTGAGTGAACAAGAAATCAATAGATAACAAGTGGTGGTTAAAAATAGCAAGGGGAGACAGATATGTGTCATTTAAGAGTGAAGGCAGGGAAGGTCACAGAAGCCAGAGTGTAAAAAAGGCTTTCAAAATCTCTTAAAAGATAGGTCAGGAAGATGGCTAGATCTTTGTAATCACCAAGGATCTTTGTGTGCTCATGGGAGATGTTTTAAAATACTACCATTTGGACTAGGTTTGTCTCAGAGAATATATGTTATGCTTTAGTAGGCTAAATCGGTTCTGTTCATTGTCTTTATGGACAGAATTTCTGGTCGCAACCAGGGGATGGAGGGGGTCCGGTTTGGGATCACAGGACCAGGACCTGCAACATGCACTGGTTTGCAGCCGTGGATACAAGCAGCCAAAATGAGTGGCTGGACGCTCCCTTAGAGATAGGGTGAGGAGCTCGGTCACACGAGAGGAGCTCGCACTAGAGCCGCTGCTTCTCCACATCTAGATGAGTTGAGGTGGCACGGGCATCTATTCCAAATGCTTTCAGGACGCCTCTCTAGGGAGATGGACCGGGCACGTCCTACCGGGAGGAGACCCCGGGGAAGACCCTGGAGACGCTGGATGTCTCTCAGCTGGCCTGGGAACGCCTTGGGGTCCCCCAGATGCGCCGGAGGAAGTGTGTGGGGATAGGGATGTCGTGGCTCAGACTCTGCTTAGACTGCTGCCCCCGCAACCCAGCAACAGATAAAGTGGAAGAAAATGTATGGATGGATGGATAATTTGCTATATATCAATATGAAATGTGCAGATTATTATCACCTGAACTGTTTTCAGCAATGTTTCAAAATGGTTTTGTTTGTCAAAGATTGTTGCGATTCAGAAAGGATAACTTAATACTTGTTTGGTCCTGAAATGCACAGCCACTTTTAACAGACTTGTGTTTAGATCTCCGCAACAAAAAGCACCAGGCATTAGGTGAGGCATGCGTTGTTCACCTGCGAAGGCTTTGGAGATGTGGTCTTTCTTCCACTCCCAGGGCTGGTCGTACTCGTCTGCTGGCCTCTCGTCGTCCTGGGGCAGCCGGCTGCTCTCCTTGCTAACCTCACTGTCTCCGAAGGTGAGTCGAAGGCTGCGCCCGTCTTCATAAGGCGTATCATAGAGCTGCACTCCTCCGCGAGACCGTCCTCCTCCAGTACCACGCTGTAATTCTGAAAATATATTCCAAAACAACCTCAGCCACATAAAACTGCTATTGCAACTCCCTAGGTAAAACATTGATGCATTTGTTTTGTCGAAGTAGAACAAAGAGACCCTGGTGTTACTATAATTAGAAAAATAAAGAAACAAGAGTTTTCAGAGCCTGCCAAAGGCTCAGGATCTCATATGGAGGTCTTAACAAGGCCTCAAGCGAGATGCTGAGAGGCAACATGGCAGAGGAGCTACCCCCTCCTCTCGTCTATTAGATACTCAGCAGTAATCTAGTTTTGTTCATGACAGGATCCTTGTATTCCTGCTCACATTTTCATAAACAATCTCTGTGGGTTCCACCCCACATACTCCTATGATGTAGAGATCCATATGGTGATGAGATTAACATTTTTACGCAAGCAAGAAAATCAGCTTTGGTTACAAGCCATAATGATTATATTGGTCATTCTATTGATTGGCAGGAATAAATGAGGATGAAGAACAGAAATCCATTAACTCTTAAAAGTGAACTTGGAACTTGACATTAGAAAGCTGAAAACACATGCTTCTATCACTTTTGCAATGAATAAAGACAAATCTCTACTCTGTGATGAACTCAAACACTGCTGTACAGTGTGAGCGGAGGGACCAGCGAGGGGAAGGCAGAGAAAGCCGCCTCCTCTCAAGAGTCTCACTTCAGAGGAAGAAAACCAGCTATAATCTGCTTTTTCCTCTTGTCACACAGTCTCATGGCATATATCCTATTATGATGGTAAAATTCTTTCTTTTAAACATTTTCAGTCTTTGAAGAGCCTTGCTGTGTGGCGTTCAGTGTGTGTGGCTGTGTCAAATGCTACACCTCTGCATGCTGCGTTTTAGTGTATTTAGTGTGTGGACTTCTTTAGTATATTTAGTGTCTGTACATTTTAAGGCATACATCGTGGGATCACACTCCTCAGCCTCCCTGGCAAGGTTTACTCCAAGGTACTGGAGAGGAGGCTACGGCCGATGGTTAAATCTCAGATTCAGGAGGAGCAGTGTGGTTTTCGTCCCGGTCGCGGAACACTGGACCAGCTCTATACTCTCCATCGGATACTCGAGGGTTCATGGGAGTTCGCCCAACCTGTCCACATGTGCTTTGTGGATTTGGAGAAGGCGTTCGACCGTGTTCCCCGGGGTGTTCTTTGGGGGGTTCTCCGGGAGTATGGGGTCCGGGGTCCTCTGCTGAGGGCCGTTCGGTCCCTGTATGACCGGAGTCAGAGCTGTGTTCGCATTGCCGGCAGTAAGTCAGACCTGTTCCCGGTGCATGTTGGCCTCCGCCAAGGCTGCCCTTTGTCACCGGTTCTGTTCACTGTATTCATGGACAGAATTTCTAGGCGCAGCCAGGGGCCGGAGGGGGTCCGGTTCGGGGACCACCGGATTTCATCTCTGCTGTTTGCGGACGATGTTGTCCTGTTGGCTCCAACGAACCAGGACCTACAACATGCACTGGGACGGTTTGCAGCCGAGTGTGAAGCGGCTGGGATGAGAATCAGCACCTCCAAATCCGAGGCCATGGTGCTCGACAGGAAAAAGGTGCCTTGCCCTCTACAGGTGGGTGGAGAGGCCCTTCCTCGAGTGGAGTTCAAGTATCTCGGGGTCTTGTTCACGAGTGAGGGAAGGATGGAGCGTGAGATTGACAGGCGGATCGGTGCAGCGTGCGCAGTGATGCGGTCGCTGTATCGGACCGTTGTGGTAAAGAGGGAGCTGAGCCAAAAGGCAAAGCTCTCGATTTACCGGTCAAACTTCGTTCCCTCCCTCACCTATTGTCATGAACTTTGGGTAGTGACCGAAAGAACGAGATCGCGGATACAAGCGGTCGAAATGAGCTTCCTCCGCAGAGTGGCTGGGCGCTCCCTTAGAGATAGGGTGAGGAGCTCGGTCACACGGGAGGAGCTCGGAGTAGAGCCACTGCTACTCCACGTCGAGAGGAACCAGTTCAGGTGGCTCGGGCATCTGTTCCGGATGCCTCCTGGACGCCTCCCTGGGGAGGTGTTCCGGGCACGTCCCACTGGGAGGAGGCCCCGGGGAAGACCTAGGACACGCTGGAGGGACTATGTCTCTCAGCTGGCCTGGGAACGCCTTGGGGTCCCCCCGGACGAGCTGGAGGAAGTGTGTGTGGATAGGGAAGTCTGGGCGTCTCTGCTTAGACTGCTGCCCCCGCTACCCGGCAACGGATGAAGCGGAGGAAAACGGACGGACGGACATTTTAAGGCTCAACAAGAAGGTTAAATAGGTTGAATCAGTATAAATATATTTTAGTTTCTTTACTTACGACATTGACAGGGAGAAGCCAGTACATGAGCTATTCTGTTGACACCTGTTGCAGATTTACTAATTGTCTAATCAATGCACGACAAATAGACAATAGTGTCTTTTGACGATACAATCCAGTGCACAAATGGAGGCTTGAGTACAGTGAAACCTTCACACAGCATGACAAGACCAGAAACTGCGATTGGCTAGATCTGTTATCACCATGGAGACGAAGTGGTGGCCCTGGGGAAAGCCCCTCAGGTTATAAAGAACAGAGTGAAGGGGGTAAATGGAGAGAGTGGAGGGGTGAGAGGAGAAAAGAAGGGGCTAGGATGCAACACAAAGAGGATGCAGCCAGAAGGGGAAAGGGGGGTGCCACTGTTTGATGTTGAATCATTGAGACAGTGGCACGGTGGGACTCGATGCGCTGCTCTACCTGCATTGGGAGCGTGCTGCGACAGCCACGAGATGGAGAAGATGAAGGCAGGAAGATAAAAAACAGGTGAATATAAATTAAAATGAGGAATAGGAAACAAGCAACAGGGGAACAAGATGATGGGCATTGAAGACTGTGGAAGCTGAAATGTCTGGAAATCATGTTTAGGCGAACGAAATCCTTCAACAAAAAGTCAAAAGCAGTGAGAGCGTTTCAACTATTTGACAGTACTCAGGAAGCACACAGGTGTCTTCTCAGGTCACGTAGAACACATTATAATTCTAATCTCACATCTGACATGCCACTCTCTTGTGCCTTTAATGAGAGAAAGCCAGCGAAGAGTGGCAGACAAAAAGGAATGGGTAGACAGGTGCGATTAAAAAGTCAAAGAAATAGCGGTGACAATGGTTCACCAAAAACGCTCAGCCATCATCGCTCCTCCAGCTCCAACCAGCTGTGCATAGAAAAGATTACCAAGAAGCCGCCTGTGGTGAAGATGCAGCTTTGGTGAGAATCCACAAATTATAAAGTCAATAAAACAGATCAGGAAAAAAGGCTTGGAAGGCAAATTAGAGCCAGATCCAGACCCCTTAGAGAGCGCTTGAGATGAGAAAAGGGTGGACTTTGACAGACATCAGCAGCAATGAACAGCTCTAGATATGACTAAAATACAGACAAATGTAACATGACAGATGAGACCCAAATCAAAAAGACAAGATTATCTCTGAAGACATTTTATGCATAACCTTTGAGTCATTCAACACAAAAACATTCTGGATGTGTTGAACCCGCCCCAAATAGACGTGCTCTTTCTCTTGTTTGAGAATGAAGTAACAGCTCGTCAAAGTAATTCGTCATTCAAACAATGCCATTTCCCATTGAAATGAACAAGCGGGCCCAGAGCATATCAGAGAAGGTAACTCTAAAAATCTAGAACAGCTCTACTGCACTTTCAAAAACTATGATAGATATTGCCAGAAAATTAACAAGGGATTACCCCACATGAGGTTTGGGCATTTGTGCTCTGCCTGCTGCCTCCACCTCCCAGCCTGGATTAATCAGAAGAAGATGGAATGGAATATTGCACTGGACGATTAATTACTGGTTTTCCGATAAGCTTTATTAATAAGTCGACTTATGAAATCCAGCATTGATTTATATCGTTAAGAGATTAGATATTGGCTTCTGTTTGCACATACGAGTTTACATTTGCATGAAATAAACAAAAAATCTAAAACAAAAAAGAGATAATATATTGTAAAAAATAAACAAGAGAGAAGGATATGTGTGAGTGAATGTGAAAGAAGTCCGTTCACTGACCTGTGATGACCCTCTGAGCTTCATAAGGCTCCATGTAGCCGTTGTTTTCACAAGGCACTAGTCCGAGGTCCGGCTCCACTCTATGGTCAGAGCGGGCATCAAAAGGGTCCGAATAATCAGTGTCCCCAGCCAGAGGAGCAGACGGCACCACCTGAAGGACGGGAGGTACTTACTCATGAAGGGAAATGAAAAGGGTCACACAACATTAACTTAACCCTCCCTCAGGACAATTTCTCTTTCAAATGTGATATAGACAAAGCAATTTAAGGATTTTGTTCCTGCAAGGCATATTTCAGGCAGTGTTTTTCATCATTTCACTTGTCAATGATAATACACTGTCTGCAGTAGTATTGCATCTGTTATATACTATATGTATACTATAAGTAATGTAATAGTGTTGTGTCAATGGAGAAACTCACAGATCATATTCATTACAAAACAACAATACAAACAACCAAAAAATATTCTTTCTTCCATGAGGGCGCTGAGAATGTCTTGTTTTTCAATAGGAATCTAAGTTAAATTCTTAGTTAGATTTGAATAAAATGATTGGCATATAAAAGCAGATAAGTCGAGCAATACTTAGGGCTTAGATCTTTTTGGTGCATGCTGATTGGAAAAAGAAACAGACTGTGTCGTTACAAGCAATTACATCTCTCTTCAAATGCACACTGAGCATCTGCAGGTTCATGAAAAGATGTTTAAATTCTGATCCTCTGATAATGTGCCCCTTCACTTGGAGATGCCACAGTGTATAATTAGTGGCCATACTTAAGAGGTACCCCGGGAGCTACAGTATATTGTATATTTGTTACCATAGTAACTGATGCAGTGTAGCATGAAATCAGCCTGTCTGAGACTGAAGGTGAGTTTGTTGGACGAGGTGCAGGAAACACAGGGCACCGGACTGAAGCAAGAGGAAACTGCTTTAGCTGACAGCAATATGAGCATAGAAGTCTGCGTGCCTATAAACATCTGCCCTATTGGCAAATTAATCTCTCATTAACCCCTCACTTTGACAAAGAAAACCTTGGTTGGAAAAAAACAGCTCCAAATTACATCTAAAATTGAGCCCATCTTCCGAAAATTGCATCTTACTCCCAAATTGCAGCTGTAACAGGTTATCGACGGAGGAACACAAGATCTGCAATGGTAATTAGTGCATAGATGTTGTTCCCACAGATCCAGCTCAATAAATTAATGAGGGAGAAAGTACAGTGGAGAAGACTCAGCTTCTGCTTCTACTCAGACATGAAGAAAAGTTTCAGTGCTGTCCCAAAAGTATTACACAAGGAGAAACCTTACCATTTCAATATTACATGAAACCTAATGAAATTCATATTTTGCAGGTTTGTAAAGCAAAACCATCTACTACTGTACTCATTTGTGTAATAAGATACATATTTTGTTTACTTTTTTTTCACTGCACACATACAGTATAGGGTATATACACTGTAACTAAAAGCTCAGCACTATGAAATATACTGTTGCTCTCTGGGACACGTCAAGCAATATACAACTTTACTCTATACGGCCTCTAACATGTGATCATGCAGGGTCTCTCTGCTTGCAAAACTAAACCCAATCTATTATTTATGGGAAAACATAAACCCCGGAGACTGTGACCCTCTCTCATTCACTGTTCTACTTGTGCTATCAATAATACTTCCTTCCATCTGCTGTGACAAATTTATGGGACGCATGGGATCTGGAGTGATTTATGTAAACTCTGTATATTTTTGACATGAATTTCCACTGCACTTGCTTGTGGATCAATAAAACTGTCACTAAGCAAGAACAGTAGGAGTGGCTATTATAATTATTCTATCCCTTTGCTGCTTCTGTCATTGTATATCCCTGAATAATAGCTGTAGTAGCTGATGCAATAGATTCTTACAGGTTCTTGTTGCTCCTCCAAAGAGATGGCGCTCAGAAGAATCTTGGTGCGGCCCAGTTCTTGAGAGTCCACTTTGATAAGTCTATGCTTTGGAGACTTGCTGTCCCCTATAGTCTTCAGAGGAGATCCGTACACAGGGGAAGCAGGGTCTGAAGCCCCGGACTCACACCTGGGTCTGTTCTCAGCATCCTCATAGGGGTCCTCAAAGTCCAGGTCCCTCTGCAGGCGGTAAGCTTTGAGGATCTCACTCTCTGTGTAGTCTGGAGTAGGAGGCTGTGGTGGGACCTTTCTGCTTCCAAAGCTTAGATAGTCCTTAAGCCACTTTGCCATCACTGCTGTAGTTTACTGCTCTGTGTGCGGAGCGTGTGGCTGTAGATGGGACACAAAGCAGCGTGTTACTCACAGTGTAATTCTCCTTGCATATTGTTCTGCGTCACTGATCAATGAAAAAGCACAACCACTGGGCCTGTATCATGTAAATAAACCAACTTTCTATTCTTGGTCCTATACAGACGCAGACTACAATGCGCCTTCAACACTAAACTGCACCAACAGCTGGCTAGAACGCACTCCTTTTGTTTTACGCCGCGCATTGAAGAGCAATCACGTCTGGCATCTGGACTTTGCCCAAAGGCTTACAATCCAAACGAGCAATAAAATACAGTATTACCATGGTAATCAGGAAAAAAGACAATGTCAATAGAAATGGTGAATATTACGCACGCGTCCACCACGCAGATGTTCTCCAGTGTTTTCAATTTGCCCGATGCCTCTTCAGGTTCTTGAGAATGAGTGAGTGAATATGAACTATTGACGTAGATGTAATTGATTGCTCTTCACTATTCTTATTGACTGAATGAAAGAAGTCTACTGCTGCATTTTCCAAACCTGATTCAATCCATTCGCCACTTCAACTGCTTTATATCTCCTCTCTTCATATCGTAAATATCCACGGACTGAAAACAAGAAAAGAAAAACAAAAATACTGGAACCACGTCGAGCTACTTTTTATTCCATAAAGCTTCAACAGAGGGCAAAGGCGCGTATCGTGGCGCAGGGAAAGCGCGCATGGGGACTTGCTCCAGCCGCTGACAGCAAACGTGCGAGCGGATCCAGCGACTCAACAGCTCCAAACTCAGCCAAGCGGTTAAAGGGGAGGCGCTTACGTCCCAGTGGAATATCTATTCCCTGTTGCAGTCAGCCGAGCGTTCATTCATTGAATATCTCCACATGATAGGCACGCTACACGCCAGAGCAACAGATCTGAGGCTCTGGGGTTTTAAAAAGGCAAGAGGCCAGACAAAAAAACACAGAAGAGTTCGCTCTCACGAATGTGCCTAGGAAGTGCATTATTATTTATTCACATGACATCACTGGAGACATCCTGGAAAGCCTGACTTCACTCATGAGTGAAAGGCTGACATTTTAAAAAGTTTCTTGTCTTCCTAAAAAGTCTGTAGAGAGAAATAATTTTACAACATGCATTTTAAAGGACTCGTTGCTTATAGCACTTTACATCTAAAGAATGTTTCTCACACTGTACAATGCTTTATGTCACACTGAGTCCACTGCAGAATTTGTTTGTTAGGTCCAAGCTTTAAAGGTATATAAGAGGACGTTCCCTGGAAAGAACTGCCCTCTCCTGAAGCAACACCAACTAAATGTATCACCAGAATGATTGACAATTAGGAGGACCAATAGTCTAGATGATCCACCCGGATATACCTAAGCATCAGCTTGACCTACGATAGAAATTGAGTAATTCTATTAACACGATAGCTCCATTTTCAATCCAATCCAATCCAATCCACTTTATTTCTATAGCACATTTAAACAACAGAACAGTTCCAAAGTGCTGCATAGCTCCATTTTGGACCCAGACAATTCCAGTTTTAGATTTGATGGTACTTTGACTAATTCTCTTCCAACAATACATTATTAAGTGACAGGCCGAGAACCACAAATACTGGAATCTTAAATAGATTTTTCTCTTTTTTGTTCAGTTTTTGATATTACAGTAGAATATAATTGATGGAATTTAAGTCAGGCCAAATTAGCTGCAAGCGTGCATATGTAGTTTATAGTTCAACTATTATTACTAAGCAACAATATACTTTTCTATGTTTTCATCTAAGAAAATATCACTAAAACATTTACATTAGGAATTTCTTGTGGATCCAGATGGATTTTCCATTGTCGACAAGTCCAAACCCAATGAAAATGTGATACAGCGGATGGATCCTAAATGCCTTTTTCTTTACAACACTCATGAGCTCACTTTCTCTTATGTCGTCTATGGGATGGAGCCTGGATGAGGTCAGCAGACTGGAATCTCCACCCCCTCCCATTGCCACTATCACCGCCACAACAACCATTAACATCATCCCATCAAGACCTTCGCATCTCCCTCCTACACACTGCTCCATTATTCACTAAACACTTACGCAGTGTGGAGGGAATAAAGCCTCGAGAATCCAATTTGAGAGGACCAATGAAATCCACAGAGCGCCCACCAGTCCAGTCCAATCACCACTGAAGACAATCTGTGCTGTGGGTAATCCCTGAATCAAAATAGGAAAATAAATCAACGCATGGCATAATATTCATCTTACACAAAATCTAGAAATACATAATAACAACAGATATATTGACACACGGCCAATATATCTGTTGTTATTATGTTTTTCTAGATTGTGTGTAAGCATACTGAGGGACTCATAGTATTGTGTATATGACAGACCACAAATTACTTTTCACAAAACATGATTAAAACACTTAATATTCTGCTAATTTCATCCAATCCTCTTATTTGTCTTTCCTGGTTGTGATTGATGATATAACCATGTAATACACTGTGCCAAAACTTCTATAATGTACTATAATATATAATGTACATAATACATTTTAAACATGTTTATAGAATAGGTCTTACATGTTGTTTAACACTTTACACAAAATGAAACGGCATAACGACAATAGAACAATAATAACAGTAATCGAGTAATACTTATCACTACATGCTTGTATTTGGCTATCTTTTAAATGTTATTTTTTATTTTATTTTTTTAATTGACACTTTTTATTGTACATAATATCCTGCATTTAACATGTTTGCACATTTCTTTCTTTTTGCACAATCTTGAGTGTTTCTATCCATGCAAGATGTGACATGTACATTTCTCCTTTGTGAGATCAATAAAGAATATCTTATCTTATCTGAACTTTAATTACTGATTTTAATTTAGTGGGGAACAGTCATATACGTTGGGGTGTGATATTTATGAAGGTAATTAGACATAGTTTGTACCTTGGTGGTAGTAAAAATATAATTCATAGTGTGTCGCCTATCCCTGTCCTTTGCGTGCACTGCCCCCTCCCGGAACAATGTCTACACTACAGCCACTATAAACATTATACAAAGTTACTTCAACTCTACCTTAGTGTTGCTTGAGTATGCAGAAATAGAGCTTACAACGACACTTTACCACAACAGTATTTAGTTTACTATAAATAGACAATTATCAGTGAAAATGACTAAAATAACAATAACGTGCTAAGTGCTGGCATAACGCAGATGCGGAAGTTTCACCTGATTGGTCTATTCTAGATGAGTGGGCGGGTTCAGGGGTCTGTCAGTCAACAGCAGCACATTCACACAAGTCACACTGGTTCTGGAATTGAAGTGATGATAACAACTGGTCCCCAAGAGGTAAACCATGAGCCACTTTTATACAGGTATCAGAGGTTTCTGTAGGAATGCATTTGTTACATTTATAGCAAGCTTTTTTTGTGTTGTCCTATTAGCATCAGCATTTGGTTCCTAGCTCCTTAAATTGTGTTTCTTCCTCTTTCAGCCTTTAGTATTGAGACGGACTTGTTAAACCATCATGAAGAGTTTGAAGGCAAAGTTTAAGAAGAATGAGGTAAGTGCACCTGTAGCCCTTGCTTGGGTTCAATTACAATATGAATATTATAAGTTACTCAATGCAAGTTAAATAAACAGACAGAGGTCTGGCAATAGTCCCTGACATGGTTACAATAAGGGGTAGGGGGATTCAGTATCACAGCGGCAGCAGGGAAGCAGGGCTTTGTCCAGACTACAGCCATAGCCACTGATCTCAGGTGGCATTCAATTATTCAGGTGTACAAACACACACACACACACACACACACACACACACACACACACACACACACACACACACACACACACACACACACACACACTCAAAGAATGTATGCTTTCCTGCTGTTGGTGTTTCATGGATACCTAAGGCTTACACATAACTGGGATAAAGGCAATTGCTGTAATGCACCTCAGTTGGTCATATGAATGTGTAAACCAAAAGATGAAACATATTGTTATCCTGCTGATAGCTCCTAATGAGTTTCAGTCCATGTTGTCTGTCACATTATCCGAAACGACCAGGAGCAGGCAGGACGTAGCTTATCTAGCGAGTTTGTTCTATTTTGCTGAGTCCTCACATCTAACAGGCCCCGGCGTGACTGCAGAGAAACAGATCTCATCAGTGCCAGGACCAGAGCCATGCTAAATCTGACAACACAAATGACCAGGGAGAAGTTTAGAGCTGGCATCGGAGAGGAAAGGTTGAGCTGTTTTCGGCTATAGAAGTAGGGTAGCAGATTTATTTCAGGCAGACGAGCAGCGGCTGAAGCGGAGGCAGAATGTCCCAGCAAGCATGTATTTCGCATGTGATGTGAGTTGGACAAAGGTTCTCTAAATCTAAAGAGATGGCAGATGGCTGTAAGCAAGGCTATTGTAGTGAGTATGTATGACTAAAAGTACAATTGGATGTAGGTTTAGCCATAAATAGCCCTATATGCTAGCAGAATGGATCCTCAGAAGCCTACTTTTAGTCTGATGAAGTGTGTGTTCCCATGTTTCACCTTGCTGCCGCTACATGTAAGTCTTTTCTTCTATTTCTTTTGAAAACAAAAACATAAAACAAATATGTGCACTATTTGGACTTAACCAGGCATTCTTTGTTTGGCATGATATGAGAGCTTGTGTCCTCTGATATGGCCACTTTAGAGTCAGGACTGGAGTAAAAGTGATGACAGACTTCTCCAAGCTGTGGAGCAGAATGAACCTGACAAAGTCTCAGCTCTTATCGTTAAAAAAGGACTGTGTGCTACAAAGCTGGACGCTGAAGGGAAATCAGCGTAAGTGTAATAAAGAAATCCATCAAAAATATAGTTGCAAGTTTTTCATTTTTTCTTTTCTATTTGTGTTTAAGATACCACTTGTGTGTATCTCGTGGAAGACTTGACTGTTTAGAAGTTATCATTGCGAGCGGAGCAGATCTTACAGTTGCAGATGGGGCTGGTAAAGTGTTTCTCCTCATCACCATTCAAAACATTTACTTCATGTTTATCCATGTATTGTTATTAACTTACGCAGGTTTAAGTGCTGTCCATCTTGCTGCCAAAAATGGGCAACCAGAGTGTTTGAAAAGGCTCTTACAGGTAATTAACAAATGTAACGTTCACATGCTCACTGTCTGTGTAACCATTAATGACCATGTATTTTCAGGAACGATTACCAGTAGATTGCACAGACAGCATTGGTCGGACCCCACTTCATCATGCAGGTCCATTTCTATACTGTTTAAAGCATTAAACTATAATATGACTCTGATAATCACTGATAAATTGCAGCAATCAGTGGATGTTTGTCCTGTACTGAAATCTTATGGGATTTCAAAGCCAACATAGATGCTCAAGACGCTGTAAGTTTACGTATCTATAACAATACAGTAGTGTTTTTGTACATAATATTGAATCACATGTTATGTCTATTAGGAAGATGCAACTCCATTGATTTTAGCAGCCCAGATGAGCAGAGTCGAGTTGTGTGTGTTTTTATTAGGAAGAGGGGCCAACTGTAACATCCAGGACAACCAAGGAAGGTAGATTTATTTTCTAAACATACAGTATACAGTATATACCCAATATGTTTCATTCATGTGATGTCAAAACATTCAAGCAAGCCTGTATTTTAACATTGTGGCGGAGGGCAGCTGAAAAATCTTTCCTGGTAAATAGTTTAGAGCTAATTTCTCTAATTCCTGTAATTCCTTGTCATAAAGTTTAACTTTGTCTTTGTCATAAAGGTGTCTAGAAGTGGTGACAATATTTGCACCACCTTTATCTCTGGAGCTAAGCATGGCAGGGCCTGGGTGTGAATCTGATTACTAACAAGTAGCGACAGTAGCTCAGTTGGGCCAGAGGGGTGTGGGTTCGAGCCCGACTTTCACCATCGACTCCCACTGTCTGCTGTCGTGTCCTTGGCAAGACACTTAACCTCTGGGAACAACAATCACAGTGGGGCGGCTGTAAAGTGCCAAACTGTCGTTGTGTCCTTAGGCAAGACACTTTACCCCCATTGCCTAGAATGAGTCTGGTGTGGCTACAGTAGTAGTTTATCACCACCGTGTATGGAGTGAAAGAATAATGACATGTAAAGCATCTTTGATTGTCTAAAAAAACGCTATATGAAATCAATGCATTATTATAATTAAGTAATGATTTGGGAAAACATATGTTTTTCAACATGTGTTTGAACATTGGCTTCTGACTCATAGAATGTATTGGCACCAACCCTCTGGGTGAAAAACAATTCTACAACATGAGTGGAACCTATTGATGTCTTATTTTATCATGTTGTCTTGTTTAAACAATTGAGATGTGTGGCTATGCTGTGATAAGTTTTCACATGTGTATTTTTCAGGTCTGCACTGATGTTGGCCTGTGAAAGCGACAGTGTGGAGACAGTGGCTGCTCTGCTGAGAGGAGGGGCCAACACACAGTTGGTCAATGCCCTTGGACATAATGCCAGTGACAGTGAAGTTACAGACAATCAAACAATCCTAAAGATGCTGTTGGATGGGCCACCACCAGGTAAACAACAGATAAACTGTTGTTATGAAGCATTTTCTCTGATTAATTAAAGATCACATTGTGGTTTTATCTGACCCACAGTAAATCTGAGCCAGTTTGACTGTATCACACCGTTAAAATTCTCTTGCTGTTTTTCCGCTTCACAAAGCTTCAGAGGGGGCTGGCGAGGAGGTAAGGTTACATAGTAGTTGAATAGCCGTCTTTAGAATCACTTTCTCGTGGTCTGCTTTGTTTTGCATGATTTCCAATATGTGGCAAGTAATCACGTTTTTCTGTTTACTTGTCTCTATAGTTGCTTGCTTTTCCCTATCATTTTTTTTCATTATTGAAATTAAGCTAGTTTATTATCCCTAATGTTTATAACCTCACCAGCCTCTCTCAGTCACCTCATCAATCCAAGGGGGGACCGTTGCCCGCAAACGAAAAGCTCCTCCTCCACCACGCTCCCCTCTGCAGGTAGTGGAAGATGCATGTGCCATACACCTGTACATTTATCATGCTTTCTGTGTCCCAGATACAAGGTCTGGCATGCACAAGTTATTAAAAGCTTTGCAACCAGGCTCTCTAATCATCATGTTGTTTTATTTAGAGGTCGACTGATGTATTATTTTCAGATGCCAATAACTAGTAGTCAGGGAGGCTCATAATCGATAAATTGGAACGGACCATAGACCAGCTATAGACCCTCAAAAGTGAAAATATTGGCGTAAAAATGATGAATATTCCAACTCCAACATATAACTTTGTTTAAATGCCGGTATCACATATGTATCAGTGCTTTCTTTTAGCACATACTGTAAACGGTAACTAGGACATTTGTACAGTAGACTAGTAAAGGTTTGTGTTTAGTTGAGTTGCATCATTGTTGTATTGACCAGTAGGCTAGACTTATTTTTCTGACGTTTTATTTTTTTACTAGACTTTTTTTACAGTCAAAATCGGTACCAATATATCAGAATCAGAATAAGAATGAATGCATTTACCATTTTTCCTTTTTAAAATATCTAGTATAAGTTTTATCGGAATAACATTTTATTTTTGTTTGAATATTTCCATTTCAGAACATGGCGCCTTCACCACAGCCGAGATCTTCTGCCCCTGCTCCCCCTGCAGCTTGTGTAGCCCCTGTAGCCCCCGTGACCCCTGAGCCTATCCCCAGGTCTCCTTCCCCCCAGCCGGAGACGCCCAACTCAGGCCAAGCAAACGTAGTAGGTTCTTAAGATTGCAGCATATTCAGGTCATTATGAGATGTATTATGTGTCCTATGTCGTTGTAAGTCTGAGGATGAGGAGGTCTTTGAGGAAATACGCCGCTTACGTCTTGAGAGAGGACGTTTGCTGCAAAAGATTAAAACTTTGGAACAGCAACAACAGAGCACCTCCTCTGCCCTGAGTGAGGTATTTTATTGAAACCAGATAAGTCTTATACTCAAGCTGAAGGTATAATTATTTACATGTTCTGTATGGTCCATATCTCCTCCAGATGGCCCAGTTGAAGCAGCGCTTACAGGAGGCAGAGAGTGAGAGAGACAAACTACTGGAGGAGTTAAAAGACGGCCATGGTGTTGGGGCCAGCGACTCTGATGACACTGATGAAATGTTGGCTTTCCCAGGTGCGTCGATCTATAACGCCAAAGCTATTGAAGATTCAACTTTATCTCTTCTGAAAATATCAATTAACTGGTGTTGGGTCTGGGATCTCTCTTACACATAGAAAAGCTGTTGTCAAAACGCTCCAGAGCATCTCCTGCTCCTGATGAAGCTGCTCAAGACTCGACGTCTGAGCTACGCAAACAAATAGAAGAACTGGCAACACAAAACTCTGAACTAGTCCTTAAAGTACAGGTAAAGTCATGTTTTATAGGTACACTTGGGGCTGGTTTGGGTGACCCTTCCACACTCTTGCCTTTCTAGTATAAATGGACTTTGACTGTGACCGGCAGCTGACATCATGTTTTCTTAATTACACGTTTTTTAAATCTCCAAAGGAAAAAATATGTAAACCTTTTTTATCAATGCTGTGGAGACATTTTAGCATTTAACAAATAGTACAAAAACATTTCCGTGATAGGAAGTACTCAAAACAAGATATTGAAAGAGAGACAAGAGTAAAAGTGTCACATGTCTTCATTAAATTGTGGATACAATTACAGTACAACTCCACTTCAAAGGCTTTTCCAGTTGAAAAGATGTATCTCTAGATGGTGAGGTGAGGAAGGGGAAAGACGGACCTATGGCACTTGAACTGAAATGAACAGTATATGAAATGTCCTCAGTCTAAAGTACACACAGTATAAAGGGTAGGAGATGTGTGTTTTATGAAACCTGGGTTTTTGTGGGTTCAAATTACAATTGACTGGACGCACAAAATGATTGTCGGGGTGGCTGTCCAAAACAGATAAATGAATAAAACACAATCAACTTACACTGCACATGATAGAATGGTCATTGATAGATTCTATGTGTGTGTAGATGCTGGAGATGTTTGAGAAGGATGACACAGACATGCAGACCTCCAGCCCAGACTCTGTGCCCCTGGTGCAGTACGAGACCCTCAGGAAGGAGTTTGAGTCTTTGCAGGAGCGTTTGTCTCAGCTTCAGTCGGTGGACGATGGCTCCAGTGTGGCAGAGGAGTAAGGACTTCACATATATTTCAAATCCATACATAATTTTAAGGGAGTACATTAATTATAAACATATATAAGAGATTCCATTACTGTGACACCTCACTATGAGCTCATTATGTCTACTATTTTCATACTACTAGAGACCTCAAGTTTATGTACATGGATACTGTGAGAGTTGGGAAAAAATACAGTTCAGATCATTTTGTTTGTACAAATGTTCATGTTTTTCCTTGAATACTTGTTTTTTTCTAGCATTTACATATATTCATTTTATTGTGCATTTGTGCGATCTTTAGAGTATTGCATAGAATTTTTGATCTTTAATTTTTCTTAAGATGTACATAACTTTGAATTCATCAGGTTTATATAGTATACTAAAATACAAAAACGCAAAATTGCACCAGTGTGATCTTTGGAGGGGAATAAATCTCAATGTATATTGGCTGGTGCAAAGAACTCCACAGCCTAAAGGGAGCATATCAAATTCTGTGATCGGCATGTGTGTAGGATAGTAGCAAGTCTACTCTCTGGCCAGATACATTCCTAAAAGGGCAGAATATCATCATCATCATTGCACCCACAGCATTTAGAGGAGTTCTTTTGAGTTTTTGTGTTTCCAAATCAGACCTAATGCTCTTATTTTCATGTGTGCCATACAGAAAGGACCAGTCTGAGGCAGGAGCTACAGATGGAGAGAGCCCAGACGTCCCCAAAGATCAGATACGAGAGCTTACAGAGCAGTTGGCCTCTGCACACACAGAACTGGAGGAGCTGAAAGAGCAAATGCGTCTGGGCATTCTCTCAGTGGACTGTGGAGAGGGGGATTTGGCTGTGGCAGGTGGTGGGACTGAGAGAAGGTCCACAGAGGGTCCCAGCCAGGAAGACGTGCTCAGAGCCCGGGTGACTGAGTTGGAGGAGGAGCTTGTGAACCTGCAAAAGGCTCAGTCCAATGGTAACAGCGGCTCCGACGGTGACACAATCAAACAGCTGACAGAGAAAGTCATACAACTCCAGAGTGCTTTGGACGAGTCGGGGTCTACAGGCGAGGAGGTGAGGGTCGAACAAGACGAATCAAGTCTCGTGAAGTCCCTCCGCGATAAAGTGGCTGAACTTGAGGGAGTGCTGGCTGAGACTAAATCACGAAGCGAGCGCGGTGCCAGTGGGGAGAATGACCGGGTGCAGCGTCTTCAGGAGAGACTGGGAGAGCTGGAGGCCGAGCTGAGAAAGCGCGTGGCCCGGTCAGAGCTGGAGGAGGTGCAGGTCACTCTGGGGCTGCAGTGCGAGCAGTTGGCCAGAGAGAGGGCAGAGGTAGCACGCAGGCTCAACGATGCCCTCCTCGAGCTGGAGCGACTGAGGCCACAGCATGGAGACGAGGAGGAGGAGGAGGAGGAGGAAGAGGAGGAGCCGTCACAGAGCTCCCAGCGCTCCGTTAGATCAGGTATAATAGTATAGACATGAACTTTGTGAAGAAGTAGATTTGCTTTTAACACTTTTTCAAGCTAGTCAGAGAGCAGCCGTCCTCCTGTGGCCTCACCACCTGCAGAGGGTCAGTGAGGGGCTGGTGCTATGAGACTTGGGTGGCATCTCTGACTGCCACCCCCCTGACCCAGAAATGGATTAAAGGGTAGAAAATGGATGGATGGACTTTTTCAAGCTAATTTAAATTTGACATGAATAGGGACAAGAAAAAAGGTCACTTGATAAAAAATCTTGATATTATTTTTTTCCGTATCGCTCACCCATATGCTGTGTCAATATGTATATATGTTTGTGAACAATACAAACCATGACATCTTAATTCATAACATCTCTCATTTTAAAACAGAAGAAGCCCTGTGACACTTTGGGCTGAAAGCTGATTGACTGAGTTTTCACTGATCTAAAGATGTGACAGAGGACAAAAATAATGTCATAATCAAGTGACGGAACTAGTTAGTTAGTTGAGGTTTGAAAGTTAGGTATCAGCTTTAATTGTTGTAAATTTAGATAGATAGTTAAATAACCTGTACAGGTATGTGGCCCAGACACTTCACCCACATTTTGAGTGTCCAGAAATTTGGTTTTTAAAACCATTGGATTATTATCTCCTATATAGGGTTGGGATTCATTGATGCAGGTTTACCTTTTCAACTTCCAAATGAACATATTGTCTGAATGTTTCTCTAGACCACTCGAGGCAGTCCTTCTCAGCTGTAAGAGAGGAGCTGGAAGTGGCGAGACAAGAAGCTGCACAGGCGTTGGACTGTTTGTGTGCTGAGCGAGAAGGTCGTGCCCAGGACGCCCTGCAGCTGAAAGATGCAGTTCCACTCTCTAAACACCAGGAGGCGCTGTCAGCCGTATCAGAGCAGCTGGCACAGACACTGCAGGAGCTTCAGGAGGAGAGGACACGGAGGGGAGAAGCTGAGGAGCGAGCTGCTAGACTGGAGACCAAACTACCATCTCTCCAAGACTCAGTGTCCAAAGAAGAGCATGAGAAAGTGAAGGTTGTAAAGAAGCTTCAAAACTACAAAATATGTACAGTATATATAATGTAATTTAATGTAATATATATATATATATATATATAATATATATATATATATATATATATATATAATATATATATATATATATATATATATATACTGTTTATATAAATATATAATAACAGTTTGGTTCTATCACTAGTTTTCACATGCATGTCATTTTCTTTAGATCATATATTTTTGACAGAAAAGTGAAAGAGAGACCACTCTTGCTCAGCCTGAAGTGACCAAAGTGACTCAGTTTTTTAATAGATTAAAGACAACATGTTGTGGTCTGATTCTTTCACAACATTCTAGCTTTACATTCTGTTGGAACAAACAGAATGCATCAACTGAGGAAAAAAGTTTGGTACCCTAGCTTTAATAATGTAAAATGACCCTTTTCTTTACACTGTTTGTGGGTTATTTTCATAGGAAGAGCTACAGCGGGCCCTACAGGCCATTCAGGGAAAGGCAGCAGCAGCTGAAGACGCTCTTACTGACAAAGAGCTGGAGCTGAGAGAACTCAAATCCCAGAAGGCATCAGCGCAGGGCCTCATCTCCAAAGAGGACCATGAAGCTCTACGCCTGTCTATGCAAGCGGAAATCAACACCATAACCAATCGATTTAATGAACTCACTCGCAAACATGAGAAAACCTGCACAGAGGTACGTTCCAGGAGGATCAAGCGTTTGAGATGAAGAGAAATCCATCCAACTATAGATCCTCGCTTTCAAAACAGTTTGGTTTTATTCCTAGATCAGCTTTTTCAGACAGAGAAGCAAAAAAGAGAGGACCAAATAGTGACCCACAGGGCTCTTTCTTTCAAGTAATCTCCTTCTATTGGGACTATGTATTATTAATCAAATGAAAGTTAGGTACGCCAGCTTTAAGTTAACTGCTTAGGAATGTGTTCAATGATGGCCTCTTATTTACTTTTACATTATTTATGCAACTTTCTCTTGTTCCTTCCCTTCCATTGTGCCTTTTGTGGTTTATAAATGAACCATTGATATTTCCTATGTACATTATTCATAAGAAAAAATTGCTGCTATTGTGTGTATGCGTTTGACCATCTTTTCACTTTGCCTCATGCTACAGGTTTTTCAGGTTCAGAGAGAGGCTCTTTTTAACAAAAGTGAGCGACAGGCTGCAGAGACACAAGTGGCAGCGATGCAACAGAAGCTACATGAAATACAAGCTCAGTCCAGCCACATACAAGAGCTCCATAAAGGCATCCAGGAATCCCAAAACCTAGTGAGGGAGAAGGACCGTAAGGTGTGTCACAAAGTATTCCATTTCAATGAGCGTTGTGAATAGCAGTAACTCCGTGTGGTCCTCTTGTAGATCACAGAGCTGTCTAAAGAGGTTTTTCGACTAAAGGAAGCTCTGGGTGCACTTTCCCCTCCTCTGGGCATCTCCTCGTCTCCTCATCACAACAGCAACCCCGGTCAGCAAGTGGCCTTACAGAACAGAGTGGCTGTGCTCACCCAGCAGCTTCAGGTACAAATGGTCAATTAAAGCTGGGGTATCTAACTTTTTTGCAACCGATAGTCTTGTAAACATGTTGTGAACAAATCATGCCCGTCTTCATCGTATTAGAAAACGTGTAATCTTTGGTATACTTGTAAAGAAAGAACCTTGTGAGTCACTATTCCACTCTTTGGGTTGAGAGCTTAATTGGCTGAGTGAGGCTGGTGATCTATTTTTCTTTTTTTTGTCTAAAAATGTTGGCTAAAGATGCGACAAAACTTGATTGTGACATCTTTCACACTTGAAACTAATTGTTTTCAGTGCGAGGAACTAGCTGGATTGGGGTACCTAGTTAATTTTTTAGGGGTTTGAAAGCTCCAGTTCCAATTGTACTATTTGAATTACTTGACCTTTTGATGCAGGACTGGGAGAAGAAGCACAGGCAAGTTGTGGCAGTGTATCGTTCCCATCTTCTGTCGGCAGTGCAGGTTTGTAAACAAAGATCAAGCAAGCATTCACCGATTCAAACACATTCATCTCTGCACAGACACTGAGGGGGAGGCGGGTTAAGTGTCATGTCTGTGCACACGATGACCGTCCATTACATAAATTACCAAAAAGAAAAATACCACCAAGAATGTAGTTCCATTTCTACTGCACTTAGTTTACCCATCTCATAATTACTTTCATTTTTGCTACATAAAAAAAACAAGCATGTCTTTTTGTACTTCCAGGGCCATATGGATGAGGATGTTCAAGGTCTTCTTTTCCAAATCCTGAGCATGTCACAGCCAGAATGAACGCTCAGGCTTTGTGCGGGAATGAAGCTGCAGGGCTGGGATAACATTGACCAAAAAAAAAAAACATTTTCTTAAAGCAAAACTGTAGCTTTGCTGGTATCCAAACCTGACAAGCAGGATAGCTATGAGATCATAAACAAATGTTGTGACAAGCTGCTGTTTTATATGATTTTGTAACAATAAAAGAAAAGAAATGACCCACAATGATTTTGTTTTTGCTAGTTACGGATGTTTCTTACCAACCATAGCTGGCCATGGGCAATAACAACAACATACTGTATCTTTACCATTCAATAGTCTATTGTTTTGTTGGCAAAGCTACTGATTAAAAATGAACGATCAGATCATAAAGGAACAGTCTGTGCATAAGAGAAATCTCACATCCCATAATGCATTGTGTGAATCACAAAGGTTGAACAAAATACCACTAAATGTTACGGTATGCAGAAATACAGTAGAAATAGTTGATACTGTACAATAGCAATAACATTCTTTCCTGAGTTGCGATGGAAACACATGAACACAAGCACAGACTTACAAAACTAGAATGGAGCGTCTAGAAGCTTACTGTGCTGTTCAGAGCGATCCTCATTCAGCTTTTGTGATCCAGGGTATTTTGCATTTGCGTCAGAATTATAACTGCATATTTATACGTCCAAAGCCTGTAGTTATAAGGCACTGAAGTCAGAACATGATACAGACGTACAGACTATGGGGCCTCTGAGATCGGCAACAGTCAAGGGTTTACATGAACAACCCTAAAAACACTTTTCTGAACGTTGTACTTTACTGTGTCTTCGTAAATCTTAACACAAAAGTTTTAAAAGCAGAAATGTACACTTGATCTGGTTAGTAGGATATAATAGATTTCTGTATCGTATTAAAAATATCCATGGAGCCGTCTTTGTCCTCAGCCCCGAGCTAGAGCAGATCTCTCTTACTGAGTCTTTGACGATTCATTCAGCCCTCTATAGTGTGATGAGATGAGATGTGATGAGATGAAAGGTACAGGATTCCCTCCTTATGTGGCACTTTTAACAAGACTGAATATTTGAACACAATCTTCAGTTCTTTATATCTGGAAAATGAAATGAATGCTTTGACGTTTTCCATTTTACAGCCAGTGGTGCTGCACTCTTTGTTTTGGTGAGCTCAATTTTCTCCAAAAAGTACATTTAAGAAACCAGTGCAGTGCAGAAATAGATACGCTGTCCTTCACGGGTGTTCCTTGCCAAGGGTCATAAATGCATTCTTTTGTCATGCCAGTTTGAATCTGTAATGAGAAGATTATACTTTCAGTCAGACGTCATAAAACATTATAGATCGATAAGAAAAGTCCATTCACGCTGTTACCGTAACATGCAGGGATTCCTATGGTCGTCTCCTGACCACCTGTTTTAGGTGCAGCTCACTCTCTGCAGCTACGATAGGCAGCTCGTTCTTTAGATGATATGAAATAAGGTGACTAATGCTTTCAAACAACATGTCTTTGGTCCGCACCTGAAGAGGGAGAAATGAGAGAGAAATTACTTTATGTACTATGGTCATAATTTCACACAGTAAATGTTATTATTATGAGCAGTGTAACCCTTTTTGGCTTAAGGTCGTATTCATTTATTTAAATATATACCCATAAATGCCAAATATTTCATTCAGCACTGTCCTTTTAAAGCTGGAGTACCTAACTTTCAAATAATAAAAAAAAAACCTTACACTTCTTCTGTCACATCTTTAGATCAGCTTTTTCAGACAGAAATCAGACTCACAAAAAATAGGTTTTCTAACGACAAGACAGTATGTTTTGGTCTTATTTGTTAACATTTTAATATTCCAAGACTTTTTCCGTTGGCAAAAGCAACATATATTATTTGTATATATAAAAAAAAAAAACAATCATCATCAAATGGAACTTGATTTTTACATTACTGATAATTTTTTACATTCACTGATAATTCACTAGTAACTTTGTCACTAGTCACTTTACCTGTTATTAGTATCACTGCATTATTACATATCCATCTGATACTTCTGCCATTCACCAGTCCCTTTACCTGATGATATTATTACTGATGATTATTCTGCTCATAATCATATTCTCATATTTGCACTGCTAAAGTACAATACACACATCTGTAAATACTTCTGAACCAAGTGCAGTTATAGCCCCAGAGTTTATTTTATTTTATTCTTTATCTTATTTCAATTATATTGTCTATTATCTTAAATCTGAGTGCTCTTATTTCCTTTCTCTGCTGTAATGTGCGCAACGATGACACTGAAATTTCTCCACTGCGAGACGAATAAAGGAATATCTTATCTAATCTTACATTAACAGCTTTAAAAAGAATAACAAATAAATTCAAGGGAAATGAGCTAACACTATTTTTGTGAAAGGAATGATCACAAACATTGATTAAACCGTATTATGTAGATGTCCGTATTCCCTCCTCTAGAATGTTGTATGTATACGTTAGCCTGGCTCACCACTCCTTCGGGATCCACCAGTAGCAGGTGTTTGGGGAGGCCGCAGTGCATGCCGGTCAGCACGTACTGGCCCGGATTGGTCGTGCTTTCCCGGACCAAGAAGTCCCCATCTCGGATCAGGAGTTTCTCTGCGTCCCTGCGACTCATGCGACTGTGATACCACGCTTCTCTCCGCAATTGCTCCTCGTTTGGAGCCACAGGGGCCCGACGCCGCGGAGGACTGGGCCACTGATCCTGGGGAAGTCCACCAGAGCCCCCAAGTCCGGCCGAGCCCCCAAGTCCACCGCTGGCCTCGTGCAGCTTTAGCGCATCTTCAAACGGCCCTGGAGCAAGTAAGTACAACAATGAATCATGATAATATAACAATAAACATCTCATATTCAAATATTCATCTTACTCATGTCAAACAGGTCTTTCTTGGGGCTGTCGGGAGCCTTAGCTGCACAGTGTTCATTCAGAGACTCCAGGTTGTCTAGACTTTGTGTGTTGACGTACTGGTGCTCTTCATAGTCCTTGTTTGCAGAAGGATGGCCATCAGCACACAGATATCCATCAGAGGTCAACCCTGAGGAAAATACAAATGTTTGTGTACATTATAAGTAAGTTGCATCGATGAGATAATGGCATCGGATATCGGTGCGGATATTGGACATTTTGTTGGATCGTGTAATGGTTTGAGGATATTTTGAGTAGGCTTTTATTTTAATATAATGCATGTGTTTACTGGCTGATATTTGCTCAGAATGTCATATATGGTAGGTTCAACTTTTACTCAGACAGTCGTTTGTCGTTACTACAGGATCAACAGGGACTTTAAAACACACTTGGATTCTTGTATTTATCTGAGGAGAGAAAAATTCTATCTTCAGTCCCTTCACTGATATCTAAATAACGGGATGAATATCAGCATTGGAAATGCCGGATTGGTGGATCCCCATAAAGAAATGTCAATAAATCATCTGTTATTTACAATGCAGGAATGGTGTTTTTATCATCAGAATCTTGAGTGATTCTATCCATGCCAGATGTGACATGTAAATTTCTCCTCTGTGATATCAGTAAAGTCTATCTTATCTTATCTGTAAACTACACTCGAAAAACAACTAATCTAATAGGTTCAGTTGATGTTGGTCAGATAACCATATATTGGTCATAAATGCATCAGGCAATTGATTGTGGGCCGAACAATCTGACTGGTTAAACCAATATTGTTTGGACAGACCAAAATATTGGGCAGAATTAGCAATTTGCATCGGTTGGCGTTGCGACCAAAATATTTCCTCAACCATAGTATACCTGCTCAATATTTGCCTTGACAAGTTTCATGCGGTGTCTATTGTAGTACCTGCATTCTGACCTTAGAAGCGCAGGGCACTAACCATGCATGCAGTGCAGGTTAGTGCAAGGAAGGAAGACCTCTGGGAACCCCCGTTGCTACAATGGGATGGCGGCAGCTGGTAATAATCATTGTGTCTTTAAGAAAAGCACATTCCCTTGCATGAGTCTTCTCAGTGTGCTGACCAATACTTTGGCCGGAATAATTTGACATTATGACCAATATAGATTGGTTAAAAACACAACCATTCATACATGGGTTGTTTCTACCAAAATACCGGCTGGTGATATTTAACCAATTTGTTTTTAGAGAGTGGATAAACAGCCATTTTCAGTTAAGAGATATAAGAGCTTCTCATGTTTATGTCTGAAGAGTTGATCAGTTGCAGTTCATGTTTTCTACCACACGGGGTCTCACCTGAGCTGTCGTCAGTGTCCCAGTGCAGTTCATAACAGAGCTGACCAGGAGGGTGTGAGGTCAGCTCCCTCCGAGTCCCCGAGCCCCTCTGTTCAAATACCACTAGATTAGTACAGCACAGTATCAGCATAAGGCAATTACATTTTTCCAGACTGCCTCATCCTCAAGCTAATGTTATTCAAATTCAACTATTTTGTAAAGTAGAAGAACTAATTAAAGATATTTTATAGTCATACAATATTATTCAGAAGCTTTATGACATAATATCTGTCGGGACAATGCAAATACCTGATATATTTCTCTCCCTGAGACTGTTGTGGATGAATAAATCCAATTGGACGTATTGTAAAGAAGCCCTGTATAAGTTGCTATGACATTGCTATTACTTAAAGAGCATTACCTGTAAAGAGTTCCTGCTCTGAGGTTGTGTGTGAATGTGGCCAAGCAGAGATGCACTGGGTCGCAGCCTACTGTCCACCACTCCACCAACAGGGGGCTCCTTCCCTGGGATGCTATTATAATAGTCATGATCTGAGAAGTCCTCCTCCTCCGCCCACACCGGCTCCTCTGGCCTCACTGACCTGCACCACATCAACATTACAGTAATTAAAACTACATATGAAAATTATATACCCAATTCAAGAAAAAACACAATGTGCATTCTCAAAGTTACTTCTTAAATAACTCTTCCACATGAATTTGATTAGGTGGGGATGTCAGACACAAGGTACACACTGACAAGAGAGCACATATTTGCTGTGTCCGAGTGAGGGCATATTCACCTTTCAGCAGATGTCATGGTCTTTGGGGGGCTGTGTAGGTATTGTTTGAACTGCAGCTCAAAAGCCTGACCGATTGTGCTGATGACACTCTGAGCTAACCCATCCGAGCACTCCAGGATATGACAAGCTATGGGAGAAAAAACAATTAGACACTGTTTAGATTATATAACATGTAATAATCTCAAAGGGCAATAATCCATATTTGGAAAAAGCAGCTGTGTTGCGGCAGAATCATGTGCGTGGCTCCCGGTCTGCTCACTGCCCTTTGGACATTGAAGTCTGCAAATCACATTCAAATACAACAAACACACACACATGCCTACCTCTTTGATTTACTGGGTCTTTGGCCACATAGGCAACATAATCTGGAGTATCCTGGAGAAGAATAGAAGAAAATTGAAAACCTAGTTAGAAAAACAGCCCATAACTAAATCAAAGACTTTTAGTGAGACTTGGAAACCAATGAGCACCCATCTGGTGTCCAATGCACTCACCGTGTCTCCCCCAGAGGCAAAAGAAATGGACTGCATAGGGTGGTGCGCGATCACCTGGAACACAGAGCCGCTATTAGCTCAGTTTATTCATCATTTACTGTGGAGCAGCTTTGAGGACCCCACCTGTCGTGTGGTTGGGATGAGGAGGCTGAGGCCCTCAATGGAAATATTGACAGCAATGCTCATGCCTGCAAACCGAAGGTTACTTTTACCCATGATGGACTGTAGAGCTTTATTTAGTGCCTTTCAAAGTCAAAAGAACGGTATTAGGTAAATTAATCAAAAAGTATGAATAAAAACATTGTCACACCAACCTTCCTTCTCCACACACCCTTTCCTCCAGGTACAGCTTCACACAGTCTGTTGATGGCTTCTCTGATGAAGAGAATGTAAAAAATAATTATATTGATGATAATAAAAATGTTTTTGACTATCAACTCCTTGACTGGAGTGTTTATTAACTACACTGCACAGTAAGTAAAAGTGTGGTTAAACATGAACAGAAGCTGCTATTTGCCCTGGGCTAAGGTTACACGCACAACAGGACAAAAAACTGTTAGAAGTGTGCTTAGGGATATCATCACACTCATTATATTTACATTCAACTATAATGAGGTCAAATGAATGCAACTCAATATACATCCAAGTGATATTTGTTGCTGTCCAAACTTAAACTAATAGCACCTCCATCACCTATTGCCTCCAGGGAATGTCTGACAAATATCTGCTACTGTAAGTGTGCACACAGAGAGGGACAGCAGAGACGAACCCCACTGCCCATATCAAGTGCCTCATCAATATTGCACAAGACATTGGTCCAAGCGCATTTCATCTAGAGGTCTTTTCAGGGATTTTAGAAAAAAAAAACTATGTTGTTATGAGTCATGCTTATGAGGAGGGAGAGAGAGAGAGAGAGAGAGAGAGAGAGAGAGAGAGAGAGAGAGAGAGAGAGAGAGAGAGAGAGAGAGAGAGAGTCATGGTCTGCTGTTGTTTTTTTCTGCCAAACATACAGGCATGTGGAAGCTAGGGATAGGACCAAACAGTTTTGAGAGCTAGAGAGACATACTATCACAGAAAAAAAAACAAATACATCTAAACATGTTTATAAATAAATATAAATAAAATAAGTAATCAATATGTAATTAAACTAAGTTTGTAGAATTATCATTGTGTTGTTATTGTTGAGGCTTGAGACAATAGCATCACTGCAGCTTTCCACATTCATTAGCAAACATCATCAATAATACATCCCTCTCTCCATCACTCCATCTCATGCGCCTTCTTCTCCCCCTGGCCTGCACTTAAAGCAAAGGACGCGCTGTGGGATCCCATTACCAACTATTGATTTTTGGCGGGGGAGGGAGGGCCTAAAGAGCACAGTTCTCCCGTGAGCTAATGGAGTGCAAGAAATGCGTTTTATAACAATAACATCACATGACCAGACATGGGAAATGATAGAAAATGACCTTGTGGGCCCTGTGTACAACATTATGTTACAGTTTTACTGAAGATAAGACATTTAAAACCAATCTCAAACGGTGGTTAAAGAGGAGCCTGGTCTGTGACACTGGTCTCTAGTGTTTTTTCACTGTTGTTGTCTGTGAAACTGTCTATCTTTTGTTTTGTTTTTTTCCTTTCTTCCTTCTCACTGCCAAGAACTATGGCTAAATCTGGCATAAATACTCTTTCTAAATCTAAGATGATACAAATTTACACAGAGGTATAAACCTGTAATTACAAAAAGAGAAGAGTATGAAGCAGAAGTAGTTCAGATAAACAGTGTTGTCTGTATACCCATTTCTTAAGAGGAAAATAAATTGATATACATGTTAAATGAAATAGATATGAGAGAAAAGGAGTGAGAAAAACACGTGGTTATAAATCACAGAGCTAATTTGGAGGCAAAACCTTTATTTCAAAAAGTAGAAAACTGCTTTGTTTAAGGATTCACGATAACGCCTGTTTGAAAACATAGACAGAAAGGGTGTCTGTCCCAGAAGCTGCTGCTACTATCATGGACGGAGCTAAACTCAACTCCAGATTGTTTTTTGACAATGGAAACATCTAATCTTCTTGTGTAAGAATGGAATAACTTTATTGTCTATCATTTCTGCCCAACACACATTTCAAGACAAGCAGCAGATTACGATAAAAACATTTCAAAACAAATATTGGGTTTAAATTAGCATGCAATTCCATGTTTGCAGATATTACAGTTCATTACAGTTCATTACAGAGGCGGCCACTTGTTGGTCTGGTTCACTTGGGGAAAGATGTTTCATAGATTTGTTCAAAAAATTTAAACTGACTCATTTAATCGCAACTATTGGAATAGTCATAGTTGTCAACAAATGTTGTAATCGATTCATCGTTATTTGAACCTTACACAGATTTAGACATGCTGAAAAGAGGTTTTATGACTCAGATCATTCTAGAATGACAGCACAAAAAAATAAAATTTGTTTACAAAATATTTTTTATCAAATCACCTACTAAGTGACAGGTCATCTCTATGAAGATGTTCTCCAGGGGCATCACTTCAGCTCTGGTTTGGTCAAATCTAGAAAATATCCTTTAGTCACTGAGTTTTCAGGATCGAAATAAAAAATCTATTAATCAAAAGAATAATTAATTATCAAAATAATTACAGTCCTAGTCAATTGTTTGGTGGTTTTGCATTCACAAATATATTTCTAGGCTCAAAAGTACTACCCATCACTTCTGCCTCATGCTTTACCATGACGTCTTTTTGATGTCTTCCTGATATGAATACATTTGAAAATGTAAGCGTTAAACCTTACCTGGTCACCTGAGTGCGCGTGCTGAAGTCCAAAGAGCGCATGGACTTCTGTACTTCAATACAGCCCATGTACTGTAAAAGAAAAGGCAAAATCAGAAACAAGCACGAAGCCCAGGGAAACGAATGCCATTTCCTCTGTAAAGTAAAAACGTATGGTTGGCGACAGTGTTGCCAGGACGTTGGAGGAATGGTTCGATTAAATATCTGTGGCCTGTTGCTTATGCTTAAAAATATTCTCTTCTCTGGTTGGTGTAGCTATTTTATTAACTTCACCATTCACCAGAAAATGTTTTACCATCACCAATTAACATAAAAACTAAAAATAACTATTATCCAGTTCCACCAGGGCTGACCAGCCAGCACAGGACAAACCTGCCCTTCCAGAGCACCCCCTCTCCCTGGTTAGTCTGTTTTTTTTCCTATATTAAAATGGATTTTTGTGTATAATATAGGCACAACCCCAGACATAAAAAGTAGTTAGTTACTAGGTGCGATAAGATTATAAGCTCTAAAGCCCTGCATGTTCTCTGTGACATCTGGCATCATGGGAAAAAAATATGGTTACTGAAGTAAAGAAAGACCTTTATAACCTTTGGAGTTCTCGATTAGATTTTATCTTTTTGTATAGTACCAACACCAAAACAGGCCGGTGTAAAAAACACAAGCCTAATAAGCTATTACAAGATGTTCGTCTCTACTTCTCTGATACAATAGCCGTTTGGAACATGCTTTGCAATCAACCAGTGTTTTTGGTGAGATGGCGGGACAATAATGAGATGTGGCAGAGCGGTTTTCTCCTTTTAGGAGCAATGTGGATATAAAATGCCAGGGCACAGCAACATGTAATGTCACTAGGGGATTCATATTTGTTTAGTTCTCTGCCTTCTTTTAACACTTTTATTTACAGCTTCCAGGACAGTAACATAAGAAAACATATTGTTGTACACACCGAGGACCTTTCTCAAAAAACATATATCCACAACATAACGGAGGGGCCACTCCCATATACCATCCTTCCCACGGCACATGATGCAAATGACTGTGATTAAATCTAATTGAATAAAGGAATGAATGGCGCCAGTATAATAGCATTAGAAAGCAAGGCTCCAAACAGGACTCATCAACCATGTCATTAGTTTAAGGCATAGGATAAAGATGATACAAAGGAAGCTGCGTAGAGGTGCAGGAGGCGGAGCTAAGCAGGCAGCCAACATGGGGTTGTAAACACATCTGACTCTACTGTTTCATTTCACTGTACTCCGATCACTTTCTGGCAAATTCTGGCAGATTTTTTATATACAAAAAAATAATAGGTTAAGGTTTATCATAATCAAGCAGGAGTTAAGTAAAGTGCCATTTCAAATGAAAAGTAATACACTGTGGAAATGAGTTTGTTTATTTACACCCTGTATTTTATTTGACGCAGGCTGACACACCCAGACTGTATCTTGATTAAATTATATATTCTTCCAAAGCTGCATTGCTCAGTGTCTGCTCTCTGCCTGCAGACAGAGGGGAGGCTACATAGAGACATCAGCATCACTGTGATGTGGCTGCACTGAAATGATAACAGAAAGGACATTGTGGATGCACTCACCCTGACGATGTAAGAGGCACCTGGCCCTGTTATCTTCTTGTCAGGATGCAGCCAGCCTTGGGTAGGTTTATGGATGAAGCTGCTTTTCTGGCTGAACTCCTCACTCCCAAGCCACACTGCTCCATCTCCTCGTGTCCTGCGGTTGAGTCCTGATCTGCAGCTGATTGTCCCAGGACTGCCCATGGCCTCTGTGGCTCCAAAGCTGTGTCCACCCGGGTTGGTTGAACTTGCTGAAGCTGCAGCCCTTTGCCCCCGGATGGCCTGTAAGGAACATGTGGTGACACACACAGGGTCGCAAGAGTTAAGCACCGCTGCCAGACTTGCCACTGGGCCACTGGACGCCACATTTAGCCTATGTGAGGAAGAGGAGGAAGGAGAGGCAGAGGTCTGGGAGTGTGTCCCTGCTGCTCTCCCAGAGTCTTTGCTAGAGCTTGAACTGGAGCTGGAATTAGACGGGCTACGACTGAGCAGCGAGTTGGAAAACTTCCACTGAGGCATTTTAGGGATGAGCATACAGAAGGTTGTAGTACCATCCTGCTCTCCATCTAAACAAGGCGAGTCTGCCAGCGCTGCAGCTCCATTCGACGCGGAGGACCGAAGGCCAGGTTCTAGAGGAGGCATGGGTGGCAGAGGGAGGCTTGGCGTAGAGGAGGATACCACTGGTGTGGCCACCACTTTGCCCGTCATGGCTAAACTCTGCATCAGGTCATCAGAGGAGGTCACAGACTCATTGCGAAAGCGGCCATACTTTGGCTTAAGGAGCATGCCCGGTGAAGCCGTCTGTAGCAGGAGCTGAAGAGGAGGGTCACTTCCACTGGAAAGATGGATAGATACAGGGAAGAGGGGAAAGGGGAGGGGAGAGGTAAAAGTAACAAAGCACCAGAGCCAAGATTGCAGTCCCAAACACTAAAGTATATTCCTGTGAAGGTAGTCCGGTCCTCTGCAGTGCCCACACACACACAGTTCCACTCCCATGCTGCTGTCCTCTGTGCCGGCCTGGTGGCTTTTACTGCTTCAGGCTGCTCTCTGCTCTCCCTCCCCTCTCCCTTTGGATGATGTCATTGAGTCTAATAGCGCTGCCCTGCCCAGCTGCTTTCAGAATGTATTAGCGGAGACACATCTGCCTTGGCCATCCAATTCTTTTAAAATCAACAGTTAACACAACACCCATTGTCAATATGACAACAGATATATTTACCACCAGCCTTTTGGTATTACACATGTTTTGGTTGGTTTGCATTGGATTTCAGGGGTTTATTTACTCACCCTAAAAACAAATGTTAGCTTTTATGTCTAACAAAATGTAAAACTGGGAATCTGAATTACATCCAATTACTGTAAGTGGGTATGTGGGTAATTCAGCCTCTCCAGTAGAGATAAACAAAGGCTTGTAATGGAAGAGTCCACCCCGTCCCATCTGCACTTCCCTCGGGAGCTATCTGGCTGATTCTTGAACAGCTGTGAAGTGAGGCACTTTCAAATGCTCAACGAAGTCACATTTTAGAAGAAACAATGATCAAAATTAAAGTAAATGTAAATGATGCGGATTCTGCAATTGACAGAACAATACATACAAACACAGTCACATGGTCTGTAGTCAACATGGATCTATTATTAAAAAAGAATAAGAATAATATAGACAACCTGCCCAATAATGACATTCTGTCAGTTATGTGCCAAGCAATATCATATATTCTCAAAGAAGATGGTCATCTATTTAATAAATCAATAGTTGTTATAAAAAGAATACTTACACATCACAAGCCAAAGATTTCCAACGACTCCTTTTTTCTAAAAGGGTACAACATCAAAAAGGGCACAGGACCAAACAACCCTCCTTCTGTGCAGCCAGTCAGCTTCAGCTACAGAGTAAATTTACTTGATGAACTGTGTGTATTGATCCCTACACTTCTGCTAGTTTAGTGCACCGTGATAAAGAGTAAACAGTGCTGAAGAGTTTAAAATAATGAATTCAAACCAGTTAAAACAAAACAAACCAGTTTACCTTTTTATGATGGTTGTTTTACATTCTGAGCGGGAACAAACCATGCTGAGAATATGAACCGAGCTCAAACCCACGACACACAAAGGTTTCTAATTACAAGTAACTAATCCAAGTAACATTGAGCATCTTAAATCATAAATTATAGCATAGTTAAATCACCGCATACAAAATGTGAAATAAAAATTAGAACTACAAAATGTGACAGACGAGAGAGAACATGGCATTGCCGATGGTGACCGCCATACTATGAGTTCAAAGAACGAAGCATAGACTGTAATATTACTAGATGCCTTGATAATTGGCCCTTTTTAAATTTTTATTTCCATGTTCCAAAAAAAATAACAAATAAAATGAGTGAGGTAGGAGCCTAAAATATGAACAGTTACAGTAACGCCAACGCCGTATTTTGGGATGAATAATATTTCAAAATTAGCAAAAAAGTCTTGGCATGAACAAATACAACTTTCAGCCCTTTGAGAACGCAAATATACAAGATAATTAAATCATATATTTTTGAGAAACACGTAAGATGGCCGCCCCAATTTGCCCCCGCAGCTGTTGCAATGCTATCTCTAGTGTCATGTCAACACTTCCTCCAAATCCGGTCCTTTCCTGTGTTCTTCCCATAGTTCTTCCCTGCTCTTTTTCTTGACTTTATCTCCAAATTTAGTCATGTGAAATGCAAGAGCTTTTTAATATGTTTTAATGCAAAAGCAAGAAAGGGAAGCGGCCCTCAACACCCCAAAATACAAAAAGGTTAATCAAAATAGATCACGGCATTTTTTCCTTTTTTCCTCTTCAAAAATTGAACTCTGCTATCAAGTCTATGCATAGAAACCAAGGTAGAATGTATATATAATAAAATAAATATAAAGAGTGAAACCAGGACAAAAGGGGCGTGCCCTGTTTCATCCGCGTGCCCACTTTTGACCAATGAGAGCCAAGCGGCGGGCCGTTGAAGTTTTGAACAGTCAAACAGCGGCAGATGACAGCAGCAGCGGCAGAGTGTCTCTACAGCCGTCAAATCTCACTGTGCTTAACTTTATCGTGGGCTAAACATGTCTAAAAAGCAGATATTCTATTCCGATAAATATACGGACGACGATTTTGAGTACAGGTAATTATGAAAAAAGCCGTTGTGTTAAACTTTTAGTGTTAGCTATATCTGTGCTAGCTCTACGCCTGCGTGAAAATTAGCATCCGTTGCGCTCTCCGTCGCTAGCTTCGATGTTGTCAACTTCAGATAACTTCTATAACCACGACACAAGTATTAAACACTTTTTTTACTAACTTGCTTTTTTGGAACGATTAACGCTAAGGGGACGGCTGTCATATAACTATCTAAGCAAAAGTTAAGCTAAAGGCTGTTAACGATGCTACGCTAAGATGATAGCTGTTCAGGGCTGTGTTCATATCAACGAGTAACTGAAAGATTTACTATTAGAAATCTCCAATGATATAGTTTTAATCAACGTGTTTTATTAATCTAAGGCGTATACATCCTTCAATTGACAGCAACTAGCTAGCTGTTAATTATTTTACAATAGAACCACGCTCTGAATCAGTGTAATTTTTCAGCCAGAAAAATACGTTAAACATTTTTGTACACATTTTGGTGTCATGTGGATCTAGGTACAGTATTTACAGGGCAACATATTTGCGTTTGAACAGTCAACGGTATATTCAGCGACTAAGACAGGTCGGTTACTCGATTCGGTAGGTCAATCGACTAAAAAGGAGGCGCGACGAAAGCTCTCGTTTATATAATCCGATCCATTTACGAGAGCTCTGTTTTCTCTGCCTATAAATCTATATTCAATACATTCAATTTTGTTACTTCGATTTTCAGTTTTCCCATATAAACCCATAAATGTAAATAAGAAAAATTGTTTGACAAATAAAAATCATCAACATAGTAATAATGCATGATAGCAGAACAATCTCCTCACAATTCCAACAAAAACATACAAAAAATAGACAATGCATTGTTCCATATTTTTTTTAACCATTGGTAAAATTGTAATCATCAAGATTACTCAGCCTTAACTATTATATAGATGGTGTAACGATGCCCCCTCTTATGATATAGAAAAATATTGTATAATTGGTGAAGAGAAGGTGGTGGTTCTTGGACTGTAGAAACATCTTTAGTAAATGTCAAAGAATATCTAATGTACTCTATACATCTAGAATTATGAAAACAAATTGTACTTTTCTTTGTATGATGACATCATCCCACAATCCCTACAGACATGTGGTCCTTCCAAAGCAGCTGGCCAAACTTGTGCCCACATCCCACCTGATGGCAGAAGATGAATGGAGGGGTCTGGGAGTGCAGCAGAGCCAGGGCTGGATGCACTACATGGTGCACAAACCCGGTAAGACATTTCACACCCAAGGATGACACAAAACCAAGCGTATCTTTTGAGGTGTCTTAAGCGGCATCTTGGCTACTGAGACAAGACAAGCAGATGTATGTATTTAACTTAAGGATAAGAATCAACCATGGTAATTATAATATAATTATTATTATCATTACGTGTGTAATAATAATATTATCATTACATTGGTATCGGTTAGGTGTTAAATGGGGCTGGTGTGAACATAATTATTCCAGTGTGTGTGATGTGTATGTAGGCTTAGTTGTGAGTGTGGAGGCGGGGGTGTTTGTTTTTGCACAAGCGCATAAATGTACACGTCACATGAAGCAGGTGCTGAAGGATGCAGAAAATAAATATTATATATAAACATCTCAATTCATCCACATCAAGAAATATCAGTATAAGCCATAACGGCAATGTTAACATTGCTGCATCACTAAATTAGATGGCCAGGCCAGTCTGAACATGTCGCAATGTACACCAATCAATCAATCATGTCCTGCATGTGGGCAGGGACATGTTTGGTCTGTGGAAAAAGCCGAATTGTGACCGGTTGTGTTGCATACCAGCCCACACTCTCTTCCCAAATAAACAGTCACTTTATTACAGGTGCGCTATGCAACTTTTTTATGAGGTCCTGTCTGCCACCACTTTGCTTGGAAGTGGTGTTAAAGTTTTACAATATTTAATTCTGTGTCTACTGAATTTTTATAGTTATATGTAGGGCTGGGGAATAAATCAAATTTAGGCAATTAATCTGCTTTTGAAAAAATCAAATTTGTGAAAATTGTGAAATGGAATGAAGGATATTGTGAGAGTTCCAGCAGTACATGAATTATACTTGCAACATCAGTACAGTCTGTACAAGACTTTTATCATACGTATTGGGGAAACAAATTTTGAAACTTGAATATTGAGCGGAAAGATCAAAAGATATGTTTTTGGTGACAGGAAATAAAATCGAGATTTTACTTTCTTGCCATTTCGCCCAGCCCTAGTTATAAATAGTATAGTTATATTTTTTAAACCTGTGATTTAGTCTATTCATGTCACTGTCTTGTTGCCAATACAGGTGAAGTATAATACTATACAATGGAATGTTCCCTCAAAACCAGAAAAGTTTGCCAATACCAAAAAGACCTGAGTAAAAACTCTTGCTTTTGTTTTTCAGAGCCACACATACTGCTTTTTCGGAGACCCATCCCAAAGGACTTAAAGGATTGAAGATCTTTTATTATGGCAATGCACTCTACAGATGTCTTTATCTTGTGTCCTAATTTATAGTATTGTCAACTTCTAGATTACTTTTCCTTCCGTCTCCTCAATTTTTATGAGGTAATGACATACTTTATTTTCTATTATTCCACTGTGTATAAACTTCTTTTTTAAATGCTATCATTTTGTTTTACCAGAATGGTTTAAATGCATTGTTTTATGTTTGTCGACAAGATTTACGTTTTTGTTCATATTATTGAATATGTACATACATATAATTTAGATATTTGTCAGGTTCAAGGTGGCTTCAATAAGACCCGTATTGTAAAGAATAAAAGTACTCTGTACATTAAGAGTAGGGTTGTTTTTAATCAGGTAAATGTATGATTAGCGGAGTGACGTATTCAGAATGCCTCATGCCTAAGGAGTAGGCTGGCGCCCGAGCCTTGTGCACCGTCACAGTCTCTGGATTGTAGGTCCCAGGACCGGGTCTGCTGGCCGGATCTTTAGCCAAAGAGTGACGGCCTAGAATGGAGAAGGCTGGCTGACGTGGCAGGTACACATTGGGGTCGGTGCTATTGTAGCCACATGGTCCTGGTGTTTTGGCCAAGTCCACGGCTGGCCCTCCACAGGGGTAGCAGGCAGACATGGTGTAGCAGGCACTGGCTGCTTTGTTGGGGACCTGCGGGCCCAGCAGGGGGGGCAGACTGTACTTATTAGGGGAAGGTACTGCGTCCACGGTGCGGTACAAAGTGCGGGCGCCCATGGTGAAGCGAGGAGGCCGACGCTGGAGGTTACATGGAGGAGCTTTTTCAGGGCTGTATGTTCCCGGGCCTGGGTTCTGCAGGAGGTCCTCTATCATATAAGACATAAGAAAACCTTTACTTGTCCCGCAGTGGGAACAGTTGGAATAAAATGAGAAGTCAAACAAGATTAAAAGTGTTTTTTGTCCAATATTATTTGTATGCTTAAACATAAAGTGCAGCATGCTGTTGGCAGATAGTGACAGTAATGTCTTATTCCAGGAGAACTGCATAGCAGTAGATAAAGCAGTATTGCAAACCAAAATCATAATTTCACTTACTGTTTGCTTTCATTCTACTGAACATGGAATAAGAAGGTGTCCCATCTTTCCCAAAACGAGTCATTTTAGCATTGATATGGTACATAGGCCCAGGACTGGAGTCAACAGAGTACACTAAAAGGATGGAGAAATGGCCATACTTAATTAATGATGAATTCAGGGCTGTAGCTCCCTCTGCTGATCAAAAGAGACATTACAATAGCCTACACACACATATTGAAAGTTAGAAACACTCCTTGTACTTACTATTGCTACTCATCCGACCATGAAAAGAAAATGCTGGACGTGTTGTTTTAGTAAAGTCATGACCAATAAATCCAATAGTTGGAGGAAGCCCATAACGCCCAGGTCCTGGTCCTACAAATGCAAGAAATTACGTGTTAATATCTCACTAACAAAGCATCCAATAACCATTGGTTAAGGCTATCCAATTCCTACCTTTTTCTTTTCCTGCAATTGATGGATATTTCTTATCCATCTCAGAGGAAAATTGTACAAATTGAGTTTTAGGTTGTTTAAAAAAAAAAAAAAACATAAACCCTGCTCAATAGTTTATATATTATTACATTCTTCCAAAACTCATCCAAGTGGCAGCTACCCTTTGTGAAGACAGTCCGCTGACAGTGATGGGTGGAAGGCCAGGCCACTGCAGAGCTGCTTGTGGAAGTGCACTCAGCTGCTCCCTCAGAACAATGTCATCACTCGGATTCACTCTCATGTAATGCTACCTCCCCAACAGTAAACCATGAAACCAAGATCCCCTCCGCCTGCTTTCTCTTTTCACTCTTTCTGCTCATCGCAGTGTGGAGAAACAATATCACTCTTCAACCATGCATTAAGTTACCATGGAGACGGATGCAGGCAGCTGTCCAGGTATTCTGCTTTGTTATTGCTAAAAGGAATCATTGCTGACAGCAGTCTTTCCACAGACAGACAACTTTTAGTGGAAGCTATTTTCCATAAACTACATTCAAACATTTCATCTACAAAAAGAAGATTAGAATGTTTATTTTCTATAGTCCCTGCTTGCTATTAATAACATACAGACCACAGGTCAGAGCTAGTTCAACACATGTGAAGCACACATGGGCTTTGATCTGGAGCGGCATGTGTTTCATGGACTGCAGCTGGAACACTTCTGGAAGTGAGAGCACAGAGACTCACTGGCTTTACCTCTTTTGATCTGCTCTAATCAAATTATTCAAGATTTGTAATGGCAATTTAAGGACCTACTGCTTTGCCAGAGTGGGCTGACAATAAGTGACACATTAAACTTTAACAGAGGCAGAGCCACTCACGCTGATGCGTTGGTAACGGTTGTTCAAATCACAAACACTGCACACACATTAAAAACATTAGATATAAGGTCAAACAGCATTTATCAAAGCACTGGCCTTATTAGAAACAGCTATTACACTGGCAGCAGCTGGCAGGAAATGATCTCCAGGCTTAACCTGCCTTTCAAAGGAAACAGAGCCACGCTCCATTCATAAACAACTGCACTTTTACAGCTTTAGTATTGCCCCTAAGCCTTACTAGGCACAGAAAAGAAATGCACACGTTTTACTTTTTATTGTTATTTGATTAAAGGCACACAATTGTAACTTACAGTTTGTACATTTACATGTACAATTCAAAGCTTCCTTCTTGATTGATAATAATTGCATCTGCAATCAAAACAATAGCTTATAGTCTGTAAAACATGTAGGTCCATCTGTACATTCTGGAGTAGGTCCTGTCTGTCTGTGGGCTGCACTGTGTGTAGAAGAATCATTTGAAATATAACAAGTGTAACCTTTCAGTTGGATTAAAAGAATATCAACAAAGATATCCTATGTTGCATTTTTATCTAATTGTGTTGCCCTTAACACTCAAACATATTATACACTCAGCGTATGATCCTGTAAAGCATATGGTTAGCATATGTCTATGTCCAGCAAGATTCCAGCAGAATTTGATCAACTAGGTTAAAGCATTCTATGAAAGAAACATATCTTGGACAAACAAGAGGTTAGCCATTGGGGTGTGGGGTAAAAAAATAGAGGAAGAAAAGGGAAGTGGAACAGACTTTTAACTACAAATAAATACCATCAAAAATATTACAAAATATTTTTTGTGTGTAATTACAAATATTCCTCTAATGATTACAAGGCACGGCAATGGAGCCAGGACTTGGTGTCTGGATCAGTCTATTATTAATATACAAGAAATTCATTCACACTTTCACGCCAAGAACCTTCTCCAGACTCTGGCCTCTCAGTCAGACAGACCCAGTGTCTCTGCTCTTTTGTCCATTTACATTTTCATAAATAATGTACAATTTGGAGGTGAGCTCAAAATTGTTTCTGTGGATAGAAGAAAAACAACTTATTTTTGCAATCACAAATTCTACTGACAGATTTCTGCAATGATCCACAAACCATCGCTCTGGGCGGGTTCTTGTGTCTGGTGTTGGAGGCTGAATGTCTGCAGGAATACTGGCCTCTGTCTCTGCTCCGAGAGGAAGGTAAATCTGGTCTCCCGTGTCGCCATCAGCCGCAAATGGGTCTGGATCGTACTCATAGGAATAATAGGAGACTTCAGCAACAGAGACCTTATCCTCATCACCTGGATAAAAGTTACTAAAGTTACACTAATATGGTTGATTATGAGACAGATCTATACACATTTGTGGACAGAATGTTATTTATAGTAATTTGGTTGTGCCTGATTACAGATACATATTTATCCTTGTTACAGGAGTGAGAAGGGGCATGTTGTATAATATCCGTCTCCTTATTGATTTCTGTAAATCTAGTTTTAAGCCCCAGTAGCTGTTAGAGGGCTTGCATCTCCACAAACCTGAGTCCTGTTTGTTTCCATGGTTGTATTTGGTGTTAATCTTCCACAATGTCCCACTAAATGTTTATATTTCAACCGAGAATGTTTTGACTTTTTTCCAGGATTAATGTTGGTAATTTTCAAACTTGAAAAATTGACATAATGTTGCGTTCAAACTGTTGTGTGTTATTGAATGCTTCCAAAATATGTGTCTCTCGCAGTATTCACTACTTGCAGACCAGCGGAAGCAATACCACAATGAGCCAGCAGGGGCCGCGGTGTTCCTAAGCTGTTCAGCTTCACTATAGACCAGTTTGGGTTGACAACACCAGTGAGTCCAGATACATGCGTCATCTTCAAGTATTTTACATCGAATGGAAGCAATGGTAAAACTACAAGATGTGCTGTTCTTTACAAGCAAAACAATAAACAAGTCTTTGCATGAAAGATAATTCCTTCGCTCTGGTCTGGAGAGAAATGACAGTTTTTTGGCTGATCTTTTCTTCAACTAATACACTCTGTGTGCACTCTATCAGGTATGTCGTACACACTCTGCCCTAATGGTTTACACAAGCTTATATCAGTGCAGCCTGCTACAAGTGAGTGCACATCTGCCTGTGAGCAGGTGTGAGACTACGCTTCTATAAGATTTTGCACAAGTGAATGTGATTGGATAACCACATTCCTATGGTGAGTGTGAACTATATGCTTTTGTAGCAAAGGAGAACGAGAACAGCTTTGCATAAATCAAGAGCTGCAGGCAAGAGGCAAGTCAGTGCATGTCCAACATTTTTATCCACACGCTGGCCATTAATAAGCCACTCTTTATCTGTACACTTTGTCTCAAACCCACACAGTGTGAAAGAGAGCTATAGTGTTGGCAGAGGTATGTTCCAATAGGACTGCAGATGCACAAACATGAAATAAGTGCAGTGGTATGTGCATCCTCTGCTGCTGACGTCATGCCCACTCCACCTGTCACTGTAACCTTCACTTTTCAACTGCTCTCACTCACATTTTCTTCTTGGCCTCGAGGCCTTAAACACACAATTAAACACTTATACTGTTTAATTCAGTCTTTCACCAGGGCACAATGGGTTGCAGAAAACCATCCTTGTATAAGCCGTTCAACACTACCTGTATGCTCTGGCACAGACTGCTCTGTGTCCTTGTTTGCTCCCGCTGACTTGTCCTCAACCACGGTAACCACTAAGGAACACAACATATTAATATCAACATGGCATCAAATAGACAGTTAAATATGTTCACATTTATCTCACAGCAATGGTGCAAATGATTATAAAGTTGGTTTTGCCCTCCGTTTTTTCCAAATAAAAAATATCAAAATCGATCATTCCAAAGCTTTAGGGATATTCCCAGATCTAATCCCAATAAAGTTTTGTCTATGTCTTTTCACAATCTGTTCCACAACATGAAGGCTCCTTTGTTGTTGGGCTGTGCGTTGGAAAGGAATGTGACAAAGATTTCAAAGGACTGGACAAAAGCACTCTCTCATTTGGAGAGCCCTGTAATACAGCATGGAGAGAGCGAGGGAGCAGGGGCCACAGCAGGCGGACTAGACACCCTCAAAAAATAATCCAATGATCATCAGCGCACCTGGACAGCTGTGCAGTCATACGTTTGTGGCCACTTACTGTGATAACATGAGGACAAGGGCACTTGCTTGATCTGTGTACCATTCCGACAAGCAAACACATCCATTTGGCATTGGTTCTGGTAAAGCTGGCCGTCTGAGCCACAGACCGGCTCCCCATCATAGCCGCAGTCTCTGTGGCAAGTGCAGCGCTCAAACTGCTCCTCCTCCATACAGCCAAACACATTATTGCAATGGTTACTTTGTACAAAACCTATAAAAAGTGTTCCACATGGTTATAACTGATCTGATGGTCATGTGGTCATGTAGGTTACAGGGAGAGCCGCACCTATCCACTGGTTGGTGGAGCTCTCCACCTCGTTACAGGTGGGACCGTCACACAGCTCTCGGGCCAACAAGCTGCTCTCGCTCACGTTGTAAAAGCGAACAGTCTCAAAGGCTACACAAGAGAAGCACACACATTATACTTATCCATCACATATAAAAAAAAAACCTTCCATCTCATTGGGCAGGGCTGAAACACTTAAACATCTCCTGGCTCAGTAAATACCAAAGAGAATATTTATCAGAGTCATACCTGGTTCATAGTAATCATAGATCTTGACCGGTACGGGTGCCGTCTTTCCCACAATATACTCTCTGACTGCTTGAAAAGCCACACACGTAATACATTGACTAGGGATCTGAAAGGTGTTTAATGAGTTACAAATGATATTGTTATAAATTATGATATATAATATGGTAATTATGGTTGAATAACTATAAAATCATACCTCATCAAAATAAAAAATGACTTTTCTCCCACTCAGCTCATACCGCTTTAGGCCAACTCTCTTGTCCATCAGCAACTACCAAGACAACAGACAACAAATGGCACTAAATTAAATATATAAACATATGATCTAACAGATGTAGAGCGCCTCCTACTGACGGCTTTGGTTTTAATACTCAGGAATTCATCTGTCTCTGGTAATGGCATTCTCAACTATTCTCAACTTTACATGCATTATACACATAGTTACACATGCTTTAACATTAGTTACATGAAGGTAAGCCCCTTCATTGCAAAACATTATAAAATAAGTCATATATAGTGGATTCAAGTTTTTATCTGGATACATTTTAAGTGTCTTAAAGAAAGATTTTTCAGTGGAACAAGCAGTTTCATTCATTTCTCATTCCAAGGAAGAATTGATGCCTCATTTAAACAAGATGTTTTTGCTGGTCCCATTGGCAAATTTTCTTTTGAGCCAAAATGTACTTAAATTCTAAATTGATTCAAATTGATTCAGCCTAATGAAATATATTTCAAACTATACTTTTAAATATCATATCAAACATTTTGCAGTGTTCTGGGGATTCCGATTCATTATTTGTTGAATCCAGTTAGCTCCATATCAGACCGGCTTTCTGGTGATACCTGGAAGACAAAGTCCTCTTACCGGTACCACTGGAACAAAGAGTTTATGTACAGTATATGTTGTGCAACATTTGAGTTTTAGCACAGTCTTTATTTGAAGTGACAATGCACAGAGACATGAAACTCATAAAAGGAAGAGAAGTTCTGCACCAGACTAGAGTTTAAATGCTAAAGGTTGTGTAATTTATGCATTTTACAAAATCTGTGATGTGACAGGAGTAAATGAAAAGTTCTCCCAAAAAGGACATTTCGGTGATTATGCACTTTACAGTAAATTTAGTAAATAAAATAATGTCTACAGTTTTAAAAAGTAAATTTAAACAGCGGCAACAACAAGACATAAGCCATAATAGATGTTATTCCCTGAAATAATCCCTCCCCAGTGAAAGCACGGAGCAGCAGGAGGCGAGTCTGCCACCATAACTTTAGGAATGTAAGTGGCCGTCCGGCGAGCAGCAGTAAACCTGCCCTGGAGGCCACAGGGTGTAAGCCGAGCGCCCAGCTTTAACATCTCCCCAGGTCCCACTGGCCTCTGAGGGGGTCAGGCCCACAGAGCAGCAGGCCAGTGCCCACTCATGAGGGCTGCTTACAGGATGCATTATTCACAATGTGAAACTAATATATGACAGACTCATTACACGCAGTGAGATATATCAAACCTTTGTTTGTTTTAATGTTGTTAATTGGCTCACAACCTCAAAACCCAAACAAAACATCTCAGAAATGACAATATTTTGGAAATGGCCATAAACCTCAGTATTATAACAATCAAAGGCTTGGCACATGTCACTTCTATATCATTGTGGTTTCACATTTTAAGATGAATAACAGAAAAACATGAACTTCTGAACTTTTTTTCAAAATGTCACCTGTATAAAATGAATGTGATCTCAACAAATTCTAATTATCTGTCCCATAGTTCAACTTGTGCATTATTTTTGAAGTCATTGTTGTCTGCAGGTCATTTTAAATATCTTGCATAGCTATTCCAAGGAGGTTTTAACAACAAATGAATAAACTAAACTAAGAAAATGAAGAATGGATTTGATTTTACATATGTTTCTAACCAAGTAAACCTGTTATTACGACTCTTTTAAAGTGCAGTAGGTGCATACCCGCTCCAGATTTTCAACATCTGGTCTGAACCCCGACAGCATTGGAACCTCCATGACGGCCATGTTGGAAGAGCCGGAGTGGAGCCACCTGAGATCAAAGGTTTTCTGTCAGTGTGAGTTTGTGAGCTGAGGCGCACCGCATGTCACAGCACCTGGCACAGACTTCCAGAGAGACGCGCAGGTCCATTTTGTCCTGGTGGGCCGCTGGGTCGTCGTCCTCGATGGGAGCTCTGCGTTTGCGGTTTAGCTCTGAGCGGTTGTCAGCACGACTCCGGGGCAGCGGGCTGTTGTGCCGGACAGACCCAGGAGCCTGAGGACTTCTCTCCACTGCCTCCTTCAGGTCCACCTTTAGGTAGAAGGCTGGTTTGGATGTGGGGTCTGGGACGTTGTAAGACACATCGATCTGTGGAAACAACAGACACTCTTTCCAACAGCACAATTTAAAAAACACAAACACAATCTAACTATTTGCAGGTCTCATGTCAAATAAATCAATTAGTATCCTTATTTCAGCATCCACTCTTCTCCCCATTACAGAGACACATTTGCTGATCAGCCTGTCGAGCCGCTACTGTCTCTCGAGGTCAGACTCGGTGAAATAAAGAATGGAGGTGTATGTTTTGCTGAATTAGGTTTATGCACATATATGCCTTTTAATGGTTTATTTTTCTTTTTGTTTGTTCATGTATGTTCTGTTTATCTTTTTGTATTTATTTTTTGTGTTAATGTTCTTCTTAATATGTTTTTCTTTTTTTAAACTGAGCAATAGTTAAAACACAGGGTTGTGTCCTTATCATAAAGAAAGGTAAACCGCTTTACCGCTAGGAGCAGAGCTCTGATTCTTTGAGCTCTTGCTGTTCATGATAGTCCAGGTGCTGCCTGCCTGAGGGCTGTGGGGTGTTTTGAAGCTCACAAGGACTGAAGTGAGGAGAGAATAAAGTAAATGGTGAGAATGGGTGAGACATGTTTGAGCAGAAAGAAAAAGAAGAGGTGGAATAAAGACAATATTGGCGTACACAACTGATTCCACTTGTGTGCTGTGTGTGTTTGGTGATCACCTTGTTATTCTGTGTTGGGCTATTATAAACAAATACCACTGAAAAATCTAATCTAATAGCAATAATAGCGATTCATTAGACATTCAACTTTGAGAGTTATTTAGTTATTGTACCTGCATAAGACAGCAGCCTTCTCCTTTGGCACTCACAAAAAGGCCGGTGGGTATGCTGGGGATCTAAAACATCAAAGAGAGAGTGTATAATGTGTGTATAAAACAACACAGTGATGTCCTCAAGTGTGTGGCACTCGGCTGAATCTGGAGGGATGCACAAAGAACAGCGTCTTCAGGAATATTACCTTGGCACTTTGAAGGAGTTTCTTGTTGTCTCTGTTAAGATCAAATGTTTCTTGGAAATCAAGGTTGGTTGAGGCTAAAGAGATGGTGAGATTGACCCCTCCGACATAGGACAGTATAGCGTACTCCGATAACGCCTGCAGAGCCACACACGTGTCCTGCAATTTGTTTGAAAAGAAAAAAAATGTATAAACATATAACAATAACACATTTATGAAGAAAATAAACAAATAAATAACACATATCTAGCATCATTATTCATATTATTATCAATAAGTTAAGTTCACCTGTGTGGAGGAAAAACCACCCAGAGCATTTCTCTGTTTGGAAAGCCATTTGACTACAGGCAGAGCAGAGGCCACGTCTCCCAACAGTGTGTAGGTTAGAAGACCATAGGCGGTCATCTCCACCTCTGCAGATACCACTAAGAGACAGGCATTTTGTTTAACTGTTATGCATCGTGAAATGTAATATACAACACGGAACTGTATCAAATACATGATTGGGAGAGGCCGTCGTTAAAGCCCATGAATGTGTCCTCGTCCGTCATTGTGCTGCCAGTCAAGCTCCAGTGGGTGAGTCCATCTGAAAGAGTGAATGAAAGGGACCTTACTGGGAGTGAGTGGCAAGATCTACTCTAATTTATTCTAATTACATAAAAAAAACTCAGTTTCTCATTTCCTGTGCTCAAATTCAGTCACATGGCCTCATGCGTACCTTGAGTGATGGCCATGTGGTTGAGCCGGCGCAGAGCCAAAGGTGCGTATGGAGTGCGTAGCAGAGCCAGAGCGTAAGCACACAGGGCGGTGGTGTACGGATCATCAGCAGAGTAAAGGTTACTCTCCAGGAAATCTTTGGCTTTGGTCACAGACACCTTCTCCTCCTGGAAAGATGCATCAACACTACTGCACTTCAAGGTTATCCCATAGTGTTAACACAATACTGGAAACATAGACTTTACTTTTAGAGCACGCTCTGTTCATACAGAACACTCACCTCAGTAGTTATCCCCGTCTCCAAAAGAGCTGCCACCACATACGCAGTCAGTGAAATCTTTCCATAAATTCCTCCCTATAGTGAATCATATATGTCAAAATACTTCTTCATTTTCAGTTCTAACCCACAAAACCAGAGAAAAAGTATGTAAATGACACTTGACCTGGAGGTCTTTGTTGAGGATGCGGCCCATCGCGGGGAAGGAGCCGTCTTGGCTCTGGTGCTTGATCAGCCAGGACTTTGCTGCATGCAGCTCTTCAGGGTCAATGAAAATGAAACTCCTGGACTGAGCGAATGATTTCAAAACAAAGGCTGTTAACCTGGAGAGAAGAGAGTAAAGATGTGTGATAATGTCAACTCCGAACATTTAGTTCAGTAAATAATTGGAATGAAGGACTGTAACAAGTTAATCAATTAACTAATTGATAATTGAAATAGTAAGTAATTTTGTAATGAGTTAAATCATCTTTTGAACCTTCCATTGACTAAAACATGCTGAAGAGGTTTAATTTGGTTAATTCTATAATGACGTGGAATAAAATGAAACAACCCAATGTGTAACAAGTCATCTCTATGAAGATGTTCTCTCAACAACTAATTGATTATAAAGATCAAGATTGATTACAGTGCTAAAATGAAGACACAAATACAAAGATCCAAGTTGATAATCATTTAAACAACAGGTTCACTTTAGTAACCAACTAATTATAAAAAAGAGCAGCAATTTCCTTATAAGAATGGCATAACAGTCAGAGCTGCACCTTGCACACAAGGGTGTCCACCAGTGCACGTGGCACCAGGACACCCAAGGCCGGAGGTCGAAGACCAACTTTGTTGTCGTATCATCTGACCTTTGACCGCGTGCCTCGGACACTCGGGTGAAGAGAGGGGCGGAACAGTCAACCGATCACCACCTGGTCGTGAGTTGGATCTGCTGGCAGGGGAGGAAGCCGGTCAGACCTGGCAGACCCAAGCGTGTAGTGAGGGTCTGCTGGGAACGTCTCACTGAGCCATCTGTCAGACGGACTTTCAACTCACACCTCCGGGAGAGCTTCTCCCAGGTCCCGGCGGAGGAGGGGGACATTGAGTCTGAGTGGACCACGTTCTCCACCTATATCGCCAATGCGGCAGCTCGTAGCCTGTGGTCGCAAGGTCTCTGGTGCTGGTCCCGGCGGCAACCCCCGAACCCGGTGGTGGACACCGGCAGTAAGGGATGCTGTCAGGCTGAAGAAGGAGTCCTATCGAGCCATGATGGTTCGTGGGACTCCTGAGGCAGCTGTCCAGTATTGGCAGGCCAAGCGTGCCGCTGCCCGGGGCAAAAACCCGGGACTGGGAGGAGTTCGGAGAGTCCATGGAGCAGGACTATCGGTCGGCCTTGAAGAGATTCTGGCAAACCGTCCGGCGCCTCAGGAGGGGGAAGCAGTTCTTTGCCAACACCGTGTACGGTGCAGGTGGAGAACTGCTGACCTCGATTGGGGATATTTTTGGGCGGTGGAAGGAATACTTTGAGGTTCTCCTCAATCCCCCCGTCACGTCCTCCGTTAAAGAGGCAGAGGCCGAGAATATTGGGGCGGATACCTCCATCTCCCTGGCTGAGGTCACCAAGGTGGTTGGCAGCCTCAATGGTGGCAAGGCGCCGGGAGTGGATGAGGTCCATCTAAAGTCTATCTAAATTCTATCTAAAGTCTCTGGATGTTGTAGGACTGTCTTGGCTGACACGTCTCTGCAACATCGCGTGGCGATCGGAGGCGGTACCAATGGAGTGGCAGACCGGGGTGGTGGTCCCTCTCTACAAGAAGGGGGACCGGAGAATGTGTTCCAATTATCGTGGGATCACACTCCTTAGCCTCCCCGGTAAGGTCTACTCCAAGGTACTGGAGAGGAGGCTTAGGCCGTTGGTCGAATCTCGGATTCAGGAGGTTTTTGTCCCGGTCGCGGAACACTGGACCAGCTCTATACTCTCCATCGGATACTCGAGGGCTCATGGGTGTTCGCCCAACCTGTCCACATGTGCTTTGTGGATTTGGAGAAGGCGTTCGACCGTGTTCCCCGGGGTGTCCTTTGGGGGGTTCTCCGGGAGTACGGGGTCCGGGGTCCTCTGCTGAAGGCCGTTCGGTCCCTGTATGACCGGAGCCAGAGCTGTGTTCGCATTGTTCCCTGTTTTTATGAACAGAATTTCTAGGCGCAGCCAGGGGCCGGAGGGGGTTCGGTCGGGGACCACAGGATTTTATCCCTGCTTTTTGCGGTTGATGTTGTCTTGTTGGCCCCAACGAACCAGGACCTGCAGCATGCACTGGGACGGTTTGCAGCCGAGTGTGAAGCGGCTGGGATGAGAATCAGCACCTCCAAATCTGAGGCCATGGTGCTCGACCGGAAAAAGGTACTTTGCCCTCTCCAGGTGGGTGGAGCAGTCCTTCCTCAAGTGGAGGAGTTCAAGTATCTCTGGGTCTTGTTCACAGGCGGATCGATGCAGCGTGTGCAGTGATGCGGTCGCTGTATCGGACCGTTGTGGTGAAGAGGGAGCTGAGCCGAAAGGCAAAGCTCTCGATTTAGCGGTCAATCTTTCATGAGATTTGAGTAATGACCGCGGGATCGCGGATACAACCGGTCAAAATGAGCTTCCTCCGCAGAGTGGCTGGGCGCTTCCTTCCTTAGAGATAGGGTAAGGAGCTCAGTCACACGGGAGGAGCTCGGAGTAGAGCCACTGCTTCTCCACGTCGAGAGGAACCAGTTGAGGTGGCTCGGGCATCTGTTCAGGAGGCCTCCTGGACGCAACGCTGGGGAGGTGTTCCGGGCATGTCCCACCGGGAGGAGACCCCGGGGAAGACCCAGGACACGCTGGAGGGACTATGTCTCTAAGCTTGCCTGGGAACGCCTTGGGGTCCCCCCGGACGAGCTGGAGGAAGTGTGTGTGGATAGGGAAGTCTGGGCGTCTCTGCTTAGACTGCTGCCCCCGCGACCCGGCAACGGATGAAGCGGAAGAAAATGGATGGATGGATGGATAGCTACACCTAGTTCACAGAGCACCAGCCCCTCACTGCAGGTGGTGAGTCCACAGAAGACTTGAAATTTCAGCGGGGACTTCAGGCGAAGTGGGTTTAAGTGTCCTGCCCAAGGACACAACGACAGCAGACATCAGAGTGGTGACGTGGGTCTTATGGTGGGCTCCAACCCACGACCTTCAGGCTTAAAGGCCAGATGGTCGTACAAACTGAGCTACTGTCTAACAAATAAACAAACAAAAACAAACAGTGTTGTTGGATCATGTCACAAAGCCACAACACAGAGGCATCAATACTTTGCATAAAGGAACATTGTGTTGAGTGTACTGCACGGTTTGATCTCTGGCATTAAGCCCCAAACTCAGTGAAATCTGTCAGATCAGTCACTTGGCAGCTCAAATGCCATGCCAGCCTCAACATGCAGCCAAAGAATGAAGAGTGGAAGAACAAGCCCATTTGCAGCGATAGAAAGTGGGTAATATATCCAATCACGTATGGGCCAATATATACAAACACCTGCACTTCTGTGGACCTTTAAAGTAAACTTTGAACCGTGACATTTATAAACGTTTAGGTTTTTGCACAAATATGGTGGATTGCACAAAGTGTAATCAAAATAACATTTTATTGCCAAGTTGCACGTGTATGATGGTAATTTTTTTGCATCCTGTAAATTTCCACATTTTATGTGCTTCAGAAAATCACTAAAGTTGGTCTTTATTTTGGCAAAACCTTATGGCTAAACTGGAAAGTTGAATGTTTTTGGGCTGGAGGGGATCTGTGTTGACCACAAACAGTTACCTTAAAATGCAATTACAAATCACAACCTGTCACTTACTCAAAAGTTTGGGTTCAAAGCTCAATGAAACACAAGTAAAAGTGTTCAGACGATAAAAGCACTGGATCAACATGGACCTGGATATTGGCTCATGTTTACAACTGTATCCTGTCTCAACGTCCCTGTGATACTCACGCGCACACAGACTCACACATGTGCACACACACAGACTCACACATACGCACAAGCACACACACGCACATATCCACAAGCGCACACACACACACATACATATTTTCACAAACACCCATGCGCACACACATCTACCCACATATAATGTGTCAGGAGAGACCTCACATCACATGATCTCAGGTAAAGTGACTTACCACATGCTGCCAGAGGAATCTCTCTCTCCAAAGGCGCTGTACGAGCCATCCTGGCGTTTGTAGGTCAGCTGTCGCTGGTAGCCTGAAGATGGAATGCAATAAGAAGTGAAGACCTTTGTCAAGTTCTGTGTGATGAGTTATTTAAACTATTTCTCACATCAAGAGAAATTTTCTCATTTCCCTCAAGTCTATTTAGTACATGTTTATTAATAATAGAAATACAAATGATTTAAAAATCCACTACCTTGCAGAAGGTAGTCAGTAGCTTCATTTTCTACATCCAAACTGAGCTGTCGTGTTTTCTGCAGATACTTGAGCACAAACACATTGGGAGCAAAGTGGATCATGTTCTGTTCACCACATCCGAACGGTAACCGTAACAGCTTATCCAGGTTATTTAAAGTTGGCCCCATCACATCCCCTGGGAGTACACAAAGGAGTGTTATATTTTTGATGTCATATCAAGTCCTATTACATGTTAAATTTACACACAAACCAATCATGAAGGCAGCGGCTCTCTCAGATCCAGGGACCACGTTGTGCGGAACACCAAGAGTAAACGCTTCATTGTGGTTTTCTTCGGAATCCTCCTTTTTCCAGATCTTAAACTCTCCCACAGATCCCCATCCTGTGGAGAAGCCAATGTGACGTACCTGCATAAAAGAGTACATTATTCCTATCAAAATGAAACATAAAAAATTAAAACATAGGAAAGAAAGATGCATAAACAAACCTGCCCCGCACCGCTACCAGCCCAAAGGAGGATCACCGAGTCATTAGATGGGTGCAAACCATGGCCAACCTCCAAAACAAAAATAATTGCAAAAAAAGTGCATTAAAATACACTTTTTTTCATTTGAGCTGCATATTAAGTGTAACAAATTTTACGTTTTTAAAATTATCTTAAGGCTGAAATTACCTGAGAACTAAACAGTATGGAAAATAGATGAATCAAGATCGAATGACTTATTAGTGTGAAGGACATAACTGCTCCCTTTGTTGAATGATGCGAGGCTAATGTAGAGTGGCATGCAAACACAGGTCATTGATCAGAGTTCACAGTCGCCTGTTAAGCTTGACCTTAAAGAAAGGCATGCCAGTAAAAGAGGCGCCAGCGTTCACAATGGCACCATAACCAAAAAGGTTGTCCTTTTGATTTTTCACTATTTAGCCTCTGAACTTTCATTTTAGAGACTGAAGGTCAGGGAAATTATAGTACACTCAGTGGTTGCAAAAGTACTTTATCTCTTGTCCTCTTTGTCAAGTTTACACCAGAACAAAATAACAGACCACTGAAGTGAAAGCAAACTGAAACGTTTACTGGAAAGTGGTGCAATCAAGAGTATTCAAACAGCATTTCTCTGAGTGCATTACATTGAAAATGTCCTAATGACTGCTCAATGCTCACATCTTGTCCCCAGTGTGTCCTTTTCTTCAGCAGGGACAAGAAAGATTGTAAACATTTAATAAAAAACTTGCTGGACTTGCAGCAGTGGACCATGTCCCTAAACATAAAGCCATAGCTACAATGGAATGGTAAAAAACACATTGTGTTAGAATGGTCCAGCAACACACTCCATCTAATCTGAGAGTTTGAGTTGTTTTGTGAAGAAAAATTGCCTCTAGATGTGTGAAGTTTGAAGAGTGAAACCCTCCTCCATCACCGTGTGGCTCGCTGGAGCCACAGTCAGGGACCAGAGACAACACTGTGTGGATTTTTTTTATGCATGCCTTATATCTATTTTTACTTTTATAACTTGTTTGCACCAAATTCCCAGTTTGTGACTTCCTACAATGACAATAAAAAGAATTCTGTTTGCAGCAAAAAGTTCCACAAAGTATTCACTCAAGCAATCATATCATTTTGTTTTTACTCTTTCAAAAATGTTGAAATGTCTTTTGTAATACTTTTACAAACCCTCACCTGGACAACTCCACCTTTCCAGCTGATCCAAAAACTCCTAAACTCGTCCCAGGACAAAAGGCTCGGAGTTGAAACACTCATGAGAGGGTCGCCCATTTTGCCCATAGAAATCCAGGATCGTGTGTTTTGTCTTCCCCCGAGCACAATCTCTACCATCTCCGCGCTGTCATGAGGACTGGGGGAGAGGGCAAAGTGTGCGTCGTTGTGCGTCTTCACCGCCACCTGGAAGTGGGTCATCCGGGCTGGTTTTTTCACGTACTGATACTCATACTTATTAGGAGTTGAGATGTGGATTCTCTCTAAAGAAAATAAAAACATAAAATGTAAAATAATAGTCACACTTTCAGACAAAAGTGTATTTGCACTGACCGTTTGGACAAAAGAAAACACTGTAGGTGTATTCTCTGGAAAGGCCCTCTGGCTGCAAGAAAATAACAATAAAATTACAACATTATACAATAGTTCTCTAAAAAATACCGTATTATAATCCAAATGACAAACACTTCACCTCTACTAAAACAGTTCTCCGCACAAAGTCCAGGCCGACAGGGAGCCTCTTCTCATCCACATCATTGCTTGTCCGACTTGACAAGATTCCATCAGAACAGCAGCTTGCTTCACTGTATGCAATGGCACGAGCTTTTGAAGAAAATATTAGATTAGTGGCTTCAGTTCACATACTTAAAGAAGTTAGGTACATACGATCTACATTCTTTGGCAATGCACTGACTTTACTCTTTAGTGGGAACGTAAAGACATTTCTTAAAAGTCGAAGCTGAACATTTCATGGAACATTGAGAAGTACATTGGAAATGTGGCCAAGTGCCAGCGGCAGCTTTTCATGTGGCAGAGTAGTGCAGGGGGACACAGGGCGAGAAGAGGGGCCATGGGGGGCCCATTGACCGCCACAATGACCTGATACTCATCAACATGCCACTGAGTGACATCAAGCTCTCCTGCGGTCAGAAGCTTTGTTCTCACACGCTGTCAGGATGCTGGCTCCTGTTGGCTCACAGGCCTGGGGTGAGGGCTGCCTTCAGACACCCTTCACATCCACTCCCTGCCCCAAGGGGGGGTGCTGCCCAAAAGGACCAGGCCTTTGCACATGGAAACAAAATGCAGGGGTGCCCCGCTAACTGAACCATACCGACCTGAGCCAAAACAAACCAGTCCCATAAAGGACGTTTTCTTCATTTACCAACCAGTCCTCTGCTATGTGTGCCTGATCTCGTACCCGTGATGTTGGCCATTCCCAGTTCAGAAAAGGATAATACGATGGATGTTGGCGCAGCTTCTCCTGGAGCCACACATTTCTTTCTTGTGAGGTGGTGTTTTCCTGGATGGCCCACAAACTTGATGCCTTTTGGAACAGAGATTTTAACATGGACCTGTAAATGACAGTGAAATTGACATGACATATATTATTCAAAACAGACACATATAATTTTTTGTTAATTTAATTATTTTGTTCTGTAATTGTGCATTAACATGTTAATATAATCTGACTGAAACAGTGGGATAGCATGGCTGTGGGAGATCAAAACATGCTGGGTTTGTGTATCCACTAAGACATTCACTATGACATCAGGCCAGCACATGCACACAACATTTAACAAGCTCCTCCACAAACATGACATCACCTCTGAGGAGCACATAAGGGACACATGTTTTGATAAAGACAGCTGAAAGTCCTCTCTAGACTCAAAGCATATTTTTGTATGAGTCTTTTTTGTGATGCACAAAACATAAAACAATATACAGGGGAAACTCTGAAAAGTAGATTACATGTAATGACATTGTAATCATACATTGGTTTCACTTTTTAAGTTTAGTTTTTGTTTTCTTTATAATTTATGTAATTTTGACACAACAGTTACACTGGACCAGTTTCAGAAGCCTGGTGAAGATGTTCAAGTCATCAATCGCAGAAAAATCTTATTTTCCGAGTTTCACCAGAATATGCCATAACATGTATTACCTCGGAGCAGGTTGGAAGGTAGTTGTAGACAGTAAGGGGAACTTTAGTTTGTTCTCCTCTGATGAGGCTGTATGCTAACGTAAAATCCACAAAAAATGGTTTGAAGACCCGGAGTTCAGTCCTCTTGGCCAAAGCCAGACCACTTCCTTCAGAGAGACTGATGGCGTCCGTTACCCATGTGGTGATGGAGTCAGGCACATCTAACTGAAGCTCCATGTGCCCACTCTCCGCACTGACCAGACACATGTGGAACAGAAACAGCCGTTGTTAGGAAGTGATGTCAAAAGAATTAAAACATTTTATTTAGTACAGGCAATAAAACCCTAACACTTATAATCCGGAGTGCAAACACCGTTTTATGCAATATGCTGAATATTTTTACACTGGCAACACCTGTGTAAACAACACCTGCAGCGGCTTCAAAGGAGATACTGTGAGGAGCGCGAACAGGCTGACCCCATTTCCGTGAATTACATAAACTGACATCATATCTGGCAACACGTTAATCAGAGTTGGTCCTGGCGAAGCCTATTGGGCTTACAGTTCAAACGTCAAATTAACACGGTTTCTTTGGATGGGACTGAACAAGGCTTTGAAGAAAACCGGACGTTTCAAACTTTACAGGAAATTAGACAGAAAGAAAAACACAACCAAAGGCACCAGGTATGTGGAAATAGGTGGGCAGTTTGTTTCAATTGGCCGATAATTAACATCAAAAGCAGCTAAGAAAGCATAAAGCCCAGTACCAGATTATTTGTAAGCCAAGTACATCAAATCCTTGCACTTAAAAACAACCAAGAATGGAGTGACATAAAACTATAATATGTTCTGTGTTTATACCTGATATTGAAGCAGTGCCATACCCACGTTTCTGGAAAAAATGTGCGTCTTCGCTTGTCTGCTCTAAAACAAAACAGAAACAAACACACTGAAGAAAAAGGACATGACATACGTGCACAGTGGGGATCAATGTCACAGCAATTCAGTCATTCTCACCAAAACAAATCAAGCAAAATACTTTTTATACCCATTCATTTTACTGTAGAATAAAGATTATTTCAGTGAAAGCTTTAGGTTGTACAATAAATCAACTACATCCTTCAAATATCACATGTGCTATTGTGAAACAAAGAATGTTTCCAGAGAATTCCATGATATTCAGAACGTACGTAAATGTGAAAGTTACGTAAATACGTAACTTTGAAACCACAAAGAATGTAATGATATAATAGAGCCCATGTTACGGTTCATCGCTCTTAAAACGTTTGAATAAAAAATAACTAATAATGAATATATTCTAAAATTGTATGAATGTATTTTTACTTGTTTATTTATTTTTCATCCAGGACCTGTGTTTAAACATTTTATAAAAAGATTGTAAGATTATTTTGAATATCACAGATGATGCTTTGACAGTGAAATCCAACACAAAGTTCATCATTAATATTAAAGCAAAGGTAAAAGTACCAAACATGATGAGACGACTCATAATGATCATACAAGTGAAAGAACTGCTATTACACCCTTATTACACTATTATTATTTCATAATAAATAGAAAATACACTTATTTTCCATATATTTATTATATATTGTAAAACGGCAATATATATATAAACTGTAATTTGTATTAAAAAAACACTCTTTTTTGCCATATGTGAAAGATGAACAAATAAATGAGATGAACTTTCATCTTAAAATGGTTTGGTTCACTAGTTTTCAAATACATGTATTTTGTCTTTTGTCACATCTTTAGATAAACTTTTCCAGACAGAAAAGTTCAAAAGACAGGACCACCCTCCCTCAGCGAATCAGGTCTCAGCCCAAAGTGTCACATAGTGACTCTCAAGGCTCTTTCTAACAGGAATGCAGAAGATGTTCTCTAATAAGATGAAGAAAGCATGTTGTGATTTGGTTTGTTCACATTTTTACAAGAATATTTCTATTGGGACTAGTACACACAATTACAATTTACAAAGTTCCATAGATGACAACTACATCTATGGAACAATTCATGTAAGATCCTCCAGCTTTACACCTTCTGTATTTGTGTTTGTACCTCCAGCTTTACACCTTCTGTATTTGTGTTTGTACCTCCAGCTTTACACCTTCTGTATTTGTGTTTGTACCTCCAGCTTTACACCTTCTGTATTTGTGTTTGTACCTCCAGCTTTACACCTTCAGTATTTGTGTTTGTACCTCCAGCTTTAAACCTTCTGTATTTGTGTTTGTACCTGACTGGAGAGCGCGTGTGAGTGGCTGCAACAATCGCTGCGGTGTGAGGTTGAAAAGCAGGAACAGCCTCATCTGTATAAATGCTGCCGCTCTGTCGATGGTTCAGACTCACCATGTCTGTCATCACCACCAGCCCAGTTTCCTGTGTTTAAAATACAGACACTAGGTTCATTATTTTTGACCGCTGTCCCAGAATAAAAGCTCACGGGGCAAGTATTCTTACTGTAAAAGCAAAGCGTGCGTCTTTGGTCACGTCCCAGTGCCACGGGAACACAGACGAACGCCTGCGTCTCTTTGAAGACAGCCCCGGCCACCAGAAGTGCCCCTCCTCTTTAGGCACACCAAAGGCATCGGACACATCGAAGTCTGCCAGCTCCTGAAACACCTGTGCTCAAGAAAAACAACATTATTTAAGCAGACGTGACAAATTATGGATTATTAACGGTCTATAAAATGATAGAAATTGCCTTAATAATGACTTTTTGGTGTTTCTCCATGTTATGACACTGTGACATCTATCCACACTAATATCAAAAACTTTTGGAACAAACATGTGACTTTGCCCCTTCAGTCTCTCAGTCCTGTAATAGTATGATGTCATTTTACGACTATGACATCACACTGGGGCTGGTGCTCTGTGAACTGGGTGCAGCTCTGATTGCCACCCCCCCGACCCAGAAATGGATTAAAGGGAAGAAAATGGATGGATGGATCACACTAAGAGTAGATTTTTGTATTGCCCATAAATTAGTTTTGGCAATCTCTCAGGGGAAATTACATTAATAATCTGTCTGTGCTTGCAGACAAACACAGACAGACAAACAAAACAAAAATCAACTCCTCTCTCTGCATAGGGAGTCACCCTTCATACTTGTTTCATCATGTATTTTCTACTTAAAGGTATATAGGAGGATTTTCCCCTTCCGGGTGGATCGTCAAGACCATTGGTCCTCCCAAATGTCAATCATTCTGGTGATACTTGCTCGTCAAACAAGACCAGAGAGTTTTGTTCAAAAGGTGGAGAGGGCCGTTCTTTCCTAAAATTTGGGAAAATCCAATATTTCACATTCTAAAACATGAATGGAAAAACTAAAGTCTCATTATTGTTTTCTAATGAACAAATATAATGCATAATATTTCTTAATATTCAACAGATGGATAATATTATTTTGACAAACATTTTGCTATTCACTTTTGTATTTGGCCAAGATGTAGATATTAATAAATAGCACTAACTTTGTCTGGAGTTATCTGGAAACCAGGCTTGATGAGATACATGCTCTTATCCACAGAGGCCACACACACACAGGAGCCCTTCTGTCCGTGGACATGCATGGTCACGGCTTCTCCTGGTGCGGACTCGTTTGTCGACAGAGAAACTGAGACCTGTTAAAAAAAAAACAAAACACAAACATCAAGACTTCATCCATTTATTTGGATTCTAAACTGTTCACTTTCACTCATGTGTTGAACTTGTCTCGCTGCGTTAACCACTCTGTCATTGTAGTGTCAGTGTTCTACAGCCCATTCACCTGTAGGCCTGCAGCGCTGTGCTCGTCCTGGTCTTTCCCCCTCCTCCACACAAACACACGCTCTAATAGCATACCAGGGAGCTGTAAATACTTCAGGGAGTTAACTCCGCCTAATGCAGCCAGGAACACGAGAGCTCTCCCAGGCCAACGCACTTTGTTTACATGCATTACAGAGTGGACGGAGCTGCATGAGCACACTGGCCACGAAGAAAACATGTTGAGTTAAGCTGAGGTCGGGACTGAAGTTGGTATTTTGTTCCTCGTACATTTACAGAAAGTGTCAACATCACAAACCAGATTCTTTCTATTTAACACAATTCTGTAAAATGTTCTCCCCACAAAGAAAAAGAAAGTGCTCAAGATGTGGGGTCTGGAAGAGTTGGACTTTTTGCCGCTTCTGCCAAACAGATGTGGAATTCTCTGATCACTTATTTTAGCACTGGTGGCAGCATTTTTAGTTAAAATCTCTCAAACTAAAATAAAATGAAAATTGAACTATCTTCCTTGTCAATATCCTTCAGGTCTCTTCTCTGCGACTCACCATCTCTTCTGACCCAGACCAACAATATCTCACATTACTTATTGCTTGTTTATAAAACATCAACCATTCGTGCGGCTCATGAGGCTGAAGGTAGGAGAAGCAGCTTTCTCCCATTAAGCTCCTTGACAAAGGAACAGTCTACCTAATGACAGAACATGTCACTCAGGAGTTGTTTTAAATGTGTCTATACCTCAGGTGTGGTGTCATGCTGTGTTGCACTGTCTTTAATATTCACATTGGGTTGTTGTGTTGTAGGAAATATTTTATATGTATAAGTAACCTCCCTTCCTCACTTCCTAATTAAGCATTAAATGAACTAATGTAACTGATATAGTTCCAAAACCAACCTGATTCTCAAAGCGGGGTTGGACGGGGATCTGCAGACTGTCAGAGACACCTTCTCCATTGTCCCGTACGTAATAGACCAGCAGGCGGCTCACAGGAGCCATGCTGTGTCCAACAGGGAAGTGCAGATACGACACACAACTGTCCATCTCTGTGTGGGACGCAGAGCCTGTTCCAACACAAGGAAGCTCTTTCAATCACTAACTATTGATGAAAGAAGTACCAGGGAGAAAGGGGTACAAACCAGACGTTGAGGGTGTGGTATGAACGAATTTCTCAAATGTGACAGTGGCTCTTTTCCCTCTATGAGAGGCAGTCAGGTTGGCTAACTGATGCCCAGAGAGAACTATGTTCCCCCTAGATGCCACCTCATAGTGAAGGGTGACATTGCAGGGGCATGTTGATTTTATTGCCAGTTCTGCTTCTTGGCCAATCTTAAGATGGACACATGAAACATAAAGCTATAAAAATGCAGTAAAATAAAGTAATTATTATTGAAATAATAATAGAATAGAACAATTACCTTTAGTGGGACACTAGGGCTTTGGATTTGTATATGACACCTGCTAGGAGAGTACCAGCTGCTGATAGAAAGATAGCTGGGTAAATACTGATCTCCTACAGTCTTCTCATCGATGGATATAACCTTAGTCTATGTGAAGAAAAGCAGGTCTTTAGATTAAAGTTGTATAAGGATTTTTGGTATTTGTTGAATACACACTGACCTCCAGCCACACATACTGAGCTGCAGCAGGGATCGAGGGGATCTCAAACATTGCCAATCCATCCTTGGAGGTCACCTCAGTCGTGTACACATTGTCTTTGGGCGGAAGCTCAGCTTTCACACGCACTTTCACCCCATCAGCTGGACTCCCATCTGGATAAGTCACCTCGAGCTATTACACATAAACATGTCAGTAACCTCGGGAGCAACTGTCAGACATCCACGTCTTACCTTTCCTTTGTAAGGAAGACCAGGCTTGAACTGCTTCCGTGTGTCCTTTGAGTACTTGATGTCTATAAGCTGCTTGTGAACAGGTGTTGAATCATCAAACATGGTTTGTTTGCTTCCATCTATGCTGATCACAGTGGCCCAAATGCTGACAGAGCCTCTGAAATGGTCTGCCACATCTAAGGCCATCATGTCCCTCACACAGAGGCTGAAGTTGGCAGATCCTTTGATCTGGAACAGCAAAATCAAAAGCATTAGTAAACTGCACACACTGCACTGCATTCACATAAAAGCTGAAACTAACCTCCATCATTTTAATGACTGGATGACCCATTTCATGACGATAATAACCTACTCCATTCACAGTCATATTAATAGTTAACTTTCCAATCACAGGTTTTCCAAAAATATACCTGAAAATTGGACAAAACATTGTGATGTTGAGGATGATTTGATTAGATCAGAGTTCAGGGTTTAAAGGTTTTTATAAAAAGACAAAAGTGTAAAGAAGTGAGTGCTGCTAAACGACCTGACATGCATCGGCCTCTGACAAAGGCCTAAGTGTGCGGCCAAAACCTGTCAGGTAATTAAGCAGTACCAGCTTCTTTACACTTTTAGTCTTATTATTGTAAGCCTTCAACATAAGGAGACACAATGAACTTTATACATTTGATCAGAATTCCTGGATTACATAAGTCACACACACCTGGCTCTCACCGTGGCCTGCTCACATGATTTCAGATCACGAATATAAGGAGGTGGATCAATTACCAACTCAAATTTTGGCATGACTGTTAAAAATATTTCAAAATTATGTTTTGGAAATAATACATTGCCAAATGTAAACATTTAAATACATTACCATATTTCTGCACCACAAATGATTTGTTGTAGGTGTGACCCTGCACTTCAACAAAAATAAGCCACTCTCCAAACACAGGCTGGTCAGACAGAGGAAAACTCATGTTTACCACTCCTGAAAGAGATCAGACCCAAAACATTTCATTTAATAACTGCTGAGGTGGAACATTCGGTGTTGCAGCTCACCACAGCAGACAGACTGTAGATCTTCCCACTGGACTATCCTTGAGCCTTTTGGATCCTGAAACACAGTTTGTGTGAAATACAAAACACTAACTTCAGTAGATAATAACCCAGCACTTGTTTTTGTTATAACTTAATAAATACTATAGTATAATGGTACAATCCAATCTGTGTGAAGATATTTTCTTCATGTTTGTTCTACGTACAGCTCCATCCTGTTATCTTCCATGTGCACAACACTACGTCTGCTCTATAATCTCTGGTTACAGTATAAAATTGCTGGTGTCCTTCAATCCAAACCAGTGGCTTTAGAAAACATGGGTGGTCCCCAACCTCCACTCACCAAAACATAGGCCTCGACCTGCGACACAAGACAGAGAAACATTAAGCACTTGGGTTGGGATACATTTATTCCTCGCGTTAACCCCACTTTATCCAACAAACATCCATCTGTGGAACGAGCACTGCTATTTAGCTGCAACACAGCTTTATACAAAAAACTATGAATAAAGCATCTGTCTGGACGCTCTCCGCACGTTCAGAGCCGGATCTCACATTCCACAAAAAATAACTCCAGACCGACTTCTGTAAAACGCATGTGTCTATCGACCCTCTCAAAACACGGCACAGTTCTATGATAGTAAATGTAATCACCTTCTCATTCACAGGTCTCATGTCAGGGTTGACCGTGTAGACGTTGATGAACACTAAAGAGAAACAACAGTTGAGTGAGATATTCTTCTACAACATCAACATAAACTGAACTTAGTATATACATGTACACTTTTCACTAATTATTCTGACATTGATTTTTATACATAAGCATTGGATCATATTTAAGCTTAAATTATGAAAAAAACATGTACATTAGATACAAATACATCTCGAAAAAAGCACATGTGTCTACAAGTTAAATAACTAATTTCAAGAAGCCACATTTCTTTAATCAAGGGCAATTGATTTCAGAGGAGTAAATCAAGTAAAAAAAAAGTTGTTCTTGCTATGTAGTGGGATATGCATAGTGTAAAATGATCCTGCGACCCCCCAGTTGAGAACCAGTGATCTACAGCGATCTTTATATTAGACATTTTTGAAATAATTGTTGCAATAAGTTTTTTTTTATTATTGTCTCTACTTCTCGACACCTTCATGAGAAAATAATGAGTCCATTGTTGATGAACTGACAAAAAAGATGTGGAACTTTGTGACAGATTCTGAGATTGGTCCAGGAATAAATTAGTTTAAAATGACCTTTAAACTAAGAATTTTGCTACAAGATATTTTTTTTACAAATAAATACAATATATTCTAGGAGAAACACAGGAGTATTGACACCTTTCTGCTTGGGTTTGTAGATGGGCTTGTCGGTCTGGATAAAGACAGCCGTGCCCTTGCTGTCCACGGTTACAGTGGTGTCATTTTGAAAGATGTATCCTCCTGCTGTGAGGTGCCGATTCCCCCACACTTTGAGGTGAGCTTGGCCTCGCAGCCCAGAGGGAACCTGTGCAAAGCCAACAAGACCAGTTCAGAATGTTTTGAGCTAAAGTAACCAACTCGTGAGTAAACAAACAATGACAGAATGGGAAGCAGGAGTGGAACACAGATGACAGTATGTTAGGAGAATGAGGGTGTGGTTCAAAGCAAGGGGCGCAAGCTGGGAACAAATAGACGCTGGAAGGAGACTGCGGAGGTGTGGCGTGCACGTCGACAGCTGTGGCATATGAGCGGACACAGATGTAGTATCACAATCCAAAAACAAAACGACAATGGGCAAAGCAGACAATGAGGCAGATCATTTGAAAACATTACAGAAAATAACAATAAAATGCATTTGAACTGACCTTTAGAGTGATGGTGCCTTTGTCTATAAAACAGGTGGGAGAATACTCAAGTTATTAGAAATAGCGTTTGCTCAAATGGAAGTTAATTTTAGTATAGACGAGAGAGACAATAGCTTTCAGAAGAGACTTAAAGCTGAGGTACCCAATTTCCAAGCCAATCAATGCATGGAACTGTGCTTTAAAATCCATTAACAGGTGACTTGTTCTTCCCTCACAAAACAACCAAAAAAGTGGATCAATAAATACAAAAATAAAAAGATATATTAATAAAAAAATGAATGAAGAAAAACCTCAGGGACTTGTATGTGTTTGTTTTCTATGTAGTTTATTTTAGTGTGTTTTTGTTGTCTATTTTTATTTTTTTATTTTATTTGTGTGTCTTGCCTGTTTGTTATGCATCTGTCGGCGAGCTTGTGTGTTTTGTTTTGATGTTGCCTGGTAAGTGGGATTTGTCATTGTGTTATGTTGTGTTGTGTGTTTTTTATGTACATGTTGTGCGTGGATGTCTTATGACTGAGTGTCTGAAATATTTTAGTAATTAAACTGCTCTCATTTGTGATTTTATGACTCAAACGGAGCGGTAACTGCAAAAGCAATATTTTTTGTAAATGTTTGGTTTTTAAGGGTGTCTTCACTTCAGCTTTATCTGGGTTAAATAAAACATAGACTCGTTTATTAATTGACGAGTTGAGAGAATTGTTTAGTTACATTCATAGTACTATCACCAGTTTTCACATGAATGTTGAATTTTTTGGTGTCCGTCACAGCTTTAGAGACAGAAAAGCGAAAACGAGAGGACCCCCCTAACTCAGCCAATCAGCTCGCAGCATCCAAGAGGCTCTTTCTTACAGGTATGCAAACAATATCTAGTTTTCCTATAAGATGAAGACGGCAAGTTGTGGTCTGATTTGTTCACAACATTTGACTTTTACACATGTATTAGTTATGGAGGAGAAGTTAGATACCTCAGCTTTGAATTCTAGACACAGACGAGATAATTAGACAAAACCCTGCTGTTCTCACCATACACGGAGGCATGACTGTGGGCGACCACCTGCCCCTTTACCGACAACTGCACTTGGACCCTAGTCTCTGCTTTGGCATTGAAGATCGTCACACTGATGGACTCCTCTGTGCCGGCCCGAAACAAGGATGGGGCAGCAACCAAGTACCCCCTGAGAAGAGACACAGGACGAAAATATGATTACATACAACAACGATTTGAAGCGATTTGTTGACATTATAAAGCAATGGTTGTAAATAAGTAAATAACATCTTTCTAATTGAAGTTGTAACGTTTGCAGCAATGGGATGATAAAGAATAAAATGATAAAGGTCACATTTTGGATCTCAACATGAATCATTCAAGAAAGAGACAGTAAGAATGTATTAGTTTAACCAATAAAGCTGGAGAACCCAACAGTGAAACCACAAAAATGACCTCAAATGAAATCAAATCAAAGTAACTAGTTCCTTGCTCTGAAAAAAGGTTTAGTTCTATCACTGGGTTTCATGTGTTTGTGCCCTCTGTCAGATCTTGTAACAAGCTTTTAAGACAAGATATATTATGCTAAATCCACTAAAATTGGTCTTGGATATGTTGTTTTATGTGTTTAGGGTCTGTATTTGCACAGAAAATCAAGATAAGATAAACTTTATTGATCTCACAATGGAGAAATTTGCATTTGGCATATTATTATTATTATTATCTTTATTCATCAGACTCAAAGTCCATGGATAGAATCACTCAGATTGTGCAAAAAGACAGAAGTGTGCAAACATGTTAAGGTAAAAGTATAGTTTGTGCAGGATTCTATGTAGAATAAAAAAGTGGCAATAGCAGTGCTGGTTCTTCAGTCCTAGTGCCACTCTGAAGTACGCTTATCAAGTAGCTTATTTAAGATCTGTGAATAGATTAAGATTTGTGAATACATTTACAAGGCTCCATAACAGATCATTGGCTTTGGGGCTCAAATAAAGGAGTTGTTGTGAACTCAGGACAAATTAGAGCTGAATTGAGCTATGAGAAAGTCTATTGCATGACTGGAAAAGAGATCAGGTGGTTGGCATTACGGCAATACAGCATTAGAGCCAGGGGCAACTCAAAGGATCCTGAGAGAGAATTTCGTGAGAAAATCCCCAGCATAAGAAGTCTTTGGAAAGGCAAGATAATAAGAGGAAATTGAGTGCGTGTTTGATCTACAAAGGGTTTAACTAAATCAGACTGTATGTGGAGACTACTGCAATCACACTGGATGTAGTTACAGCGAGTATTATGGTCATTAAGAGATCGTAAAGTCCATTAGAATGATTTCGCCATTCACCACATTAGGAGAGGTCTAGGCTTTTTTTTTCTTTTCTCCCACTTCACTTGACACATGTGGATCTGTCCCAGGATGGGCATCACATGGGTCAAAATTGAGCAAAAATACTGAGAGTTTTGTCAAAGATTAAACAAATATGTATTATTACATCAGAACACACAAGATAAAAATAAATAAAAATAATATTCCATGTGATCCAATATTTACATTCAGGTCAAATCATTAGTTTCCATTTATTGCACACCACATCAAAAAACATGGCAGGCAACTCTGAATACTTACGGTCTGTCTTGGGCATAACTTGCCCTGCAGATGATCAAACTCCATAAAACTCCAAGTAAAGACCAGTACAACATGTTTGCCACATTCACGATGATACGGCTGGACCATAGACTGGACCTGTCCCCTGTGGAAACCCGTCTGGAGCAGGCTACAGTCCGCTCAGGCTGCCCATTGAGCGCGGGGTGTGCAGAGCTTCTCAGTGGAACCAAAAATCAGCTGTTTGTAACCATCTCAATTGGTTAAATTCACTTCCAAGTAAATGTGGGGTTTTTTCTGGGGAGCCCGCGGTGGATTACACGTCCTCTCCCATGTGCCTTCACCCGCCCCGGCTCGGTTCGATCATATTTCACCAATACTATGAGCGTCCTCCCACTTCAGCTTCTGCAGAGGCTCAAGAGCAGCAGATCCAAGCTCCTCCACGATCCTCAGTCTGGGAGTTGTGCAAAAGCCTTTCAAGTGTCTCAGGCGTCTTCCGCTGTGGGCAGAGGTGTGCGCTGTGCTCCATTCACTAATGTCTCTCTGGACTCCGCAAACTGACCCAAAGCTCGGGGGAGACTCTTTAAACAACATTGGACATTGTGATTCCCTCTGCGTCTAACTGCATTTTAATCATTGATAACCCAGTTCCCACTGAGCTCCACAGAACAAGAGGAAGACTCCAATTAAACTTTGTTCTGGGATTTGCCTTAAACAAATCTCTCACTGATGTGTGCTGCCACCAAGTGGTTTATCTGCAGTATTACATAAATATCAAAGATGTTGGATGGATTTGGAACACAACTAGAAAACTCGGATCAATTATTTCTTTATTAGGAGAAAATTAAATATTACGATATGAAAAAACATTGTTTATTCCAAACAATACCAAAAACAACATAATCCACAATATAAAAATATAATTCCACATTCCACTGTAATACTTTATTCAGCTAAAAGGATTTTATAGAAAGTAACTTTAGTTTTTCAGCCAGAATATTGTGGTTGTGAAAACACTGTCCTTTTCCTTGTTCAGGATCAGCAAAGTCACTTTTCATAAAGAGCACTTTGTTTTCTGAGCTGATCTTAACTCCATATAATTGGCAAAACTGACTTGTATAATATTCATCCAAATCCAAAAGATGACTTAGTTTCTCAAGTGGAAAAGAACAACTTCGGCTGCTGAATCCATGGCTGTATATCAAAAGAAGATCCCTTCTACAAGACACAAGATTGCGGTGAATAGCACATGTCTGCATGAAGTTCAACTTCTTAGCCAATCGCAGAAGACGGACGGGATTACGTTCCAGGTAAGCACGATTGATGGACAGAGCCAAAGAAATGTCAGGAGTCCTGCGAAGCCCCACTGGAAGTTGTATGATGCGCTGCAGGGCCTGGGTAGAACCTTGTGAAAATGGAACCCTTAGAGTAAATACAGTTTGAAAACCATCACTAATGTATAAATATTAGTCAATACCAACCTAAATTGTAAAGCAGATTTAGTGCTTCATACTCTTCCTGGTTGGCATTTGAGGTCGAGTCTGTGACATAACAGTCCAAAAGCCAGGACAAAAATTCCTGTAAATGCATATCATTGATCTTCGGATCAAAAAGTCGAAGAGGCTCACGACAAAGCCGGTATGTCGCCAAAACATGAAAACGAACTGCTTGCTCTAAAACCGTCACACAATCACTCCCAGAGAGTCGCTGGATAATCATGTCTTGTTTAACTGCACGCAGGCGATCGAACACAAAGCCATACACCTGAAAAACAAACAAGAATGATTATTTTTGGAAATTGTGTTATTACTGTATTTATAAGTAACTAACCTCAGTCCATTCCAGTTTTGGGGAGGTAGCTATTTGATCAATCAGATAATGCACGGTCTTCAGCAGCACATCTGGTGGTCGAAGTTCTCTGGGGTTTGTGGAGTCCTTTCCTGCAGCAGGTCTGGAATACTCCTTCACTGTACGTCGGGGATCTGCCCGGGGCTGACGATCCCTCTCCGTTCCAGCCAGTATCTCATACTGATGCAGACAATGCTGAGATTGCCGCTGCTGCATTTCAAAAGCAGGACACATGGTCTGGCACATACCCTTGGGCACACACTCCCTGAGCTTGTCCTCCCGTTTGAGGCCTTGGTCTTGGGATTCTCGCCATGACGGATTTTTGGACTTCCACTCGCCTGTATCAACCCTCCTGTGAAAGAGGCAGTTCAGAGATAATGCTGAAAATGTATCTAGATTGTCAGAATCAGAATCAGAATCATTTTTATTGTCACGTAAGTAACAGGAGGTCACAGACTAGGATATTGCTTTGGCTCAGTGCAACAGTCAAAAAGAGATAATAAAAATAAGAATAAAAAACACTTCTAAAGAAGAAATTTAAATTTAAAATAGAGTTACAGTTACTATTTACAATATACAAGTGCACATGGTGCACACAATGTAAGGTGAGATGGGCAGTAAAGTGACTTTATAAAGGGCGGGGGGACAGGTTAAGAAGTGTTCAAGAGTCCAACAGCAGAGGGGAAGAAACTGTTCTTGTGGCGGGAGGTTCTAGTCCTGATGGACCGCAGTCTCCTGCCTGAGGGGAGTGGTTGGAATAGTCCATGTGCAGGGTGAGAGGGGTCGGCTGTGATACGACCAGCCCGGCCTCGAGCTCGGGCGACGTACAGGTCCTGCAGCGATGGAAGGCTGCGGCCGATCACTTCCTCTGCAGAGCGCACAATGCGCTGTAGTCTCTGTTTGTCCCTGACTGTGGCTCCAGCGAACCACACGGTGACGGAGGAGGTGAGGATGGACTCGATGATGGCCGTGTAGAACTGCACCAACATCTGTGCAGGCAGCTTGGCTTTCCTGAGCTGCCGCAGGAAGTACATCCTCTGCTGGGCCTTCTTGATGAGGGAGCTGATGGTCGGCTCCCACTTGAGGTCCTGGGTGATGGTGGTGCCCAGGAAACGGAAGGACTCCTATCACTGTGTTTGCCGTTTCAGTGACAGGAATATCCCAGCCTGATTCTCTGCACTTCTGATTTATTCATTTATTTATTTATTTTCAAATATGTTCAACAATTAAAGCTGGGGTAAAACTCAGAACTAGTTTGTTCCTGGCTGTCCAAACTATTTCTAGTTTTCACATACACGTATGTCCTGTCACATCTTTAGATCAGCTTTTCCAGACGGAAAAGTTCAAAAGAGATGTCCCTAACCTTTCAGACCAAAGAGTCAAAGAGTGAGTCACTGTGTTCACAAACAAAAAAATATTTTCTAAAAAAATGAAAACATGTTGTGGTCTGATTTGCTTGAAAATGTTAATTCGAAGATCTATTGTTATTATTACCAACCGCAGTATTTAGCAAAAAGATTAGATAAGATATTATTTCGTTCGTCTCACAGTGGAGAAATTGTTGCGCACATTAACGCAGAGAAAGAATGAAATAAGAGCACTCAGATTGCACACATCAAATAGTCTATGAATTAAGATAATAGACAATATAATAAAATAAGATACAAAATAAAATAAACTCTGGAGCTACAATTGCACTCGGTTCAGGAGTATTTACAGAATATGAGCAGAATAAACATCAGTAATAATATAAACAGGTAAAGTGACTGGTGAATGGCAGAAGTATCAGATGGATGGATATGTAATAATGCAGTAATAATAACAGGTAAAGTGACAAAGTATAAAACTATGATGAGGCGGTTTTTAAAGTCAATTAACCAAATTCAATGACTGGGTAAAAGTGCAAAGGCAAACCAGTCTGTGGTTTAGCATGTGTGTTCCAGAGCTAGCTCGTGGCTCACCAAAGCTAGCGGGACAATAAAGACCCATAATAAGCTCTAAACGGACAAATATTTTGTGTAAAAGTTAAAACATCTCTTTGGGCACCTACGATGAACGAGGGGCTCCTCTGCCTCGTCTTCGGTTCATTTGTTATTTGTGTGTCTGTGTTTGCTTTCAGGTGTGTGCGTGAGAAGTCACGTGTGTAGTGACGTATGTAGTGACGTATGTAGTCACGTACGGCTGCGTCACATCCGCGCGGCTCAAAAGGAAACTAGAGGAACCGCTATGGAAACAAAATCAGACTGACTCAAAGTGTAAATAAGTAAAAAGTGCTTCCCAAACGTGTTCTATCCAAACTTAAGTACTGTAGCATTGTTTCTTGACCATTGGATTAATATTAACCTGGATTCTGCTCATGTAGCAATCCTGACACTTCTGCGCAGGGATTCATTTATGATTGATCCATGTAATATTAATCCAAGGGTCAAGCATTACAGCATCACAAAAAAAGAGATCCTGCTGCCCCAAAAAAAGTACGGTAGTACTTTAGAATGCTGCTTGCATTTACAGTACAAGTAATAAGATCATCTTTATCTTATAAGAAAGCAACAAGTGCTAGGTTTTTAGTTTGGTATGGGCAAACAAATTATTATTTTAAAGTGAAATAAAAGGCGTATAAAATCCTTTCCTATGGGATTGCAAGTATTTTCTGTATTGAGTTATATTAATAGAGATGCTTGTACTGCAACAGTAACTCATAAGACTACAACAGCTTGTCAACGGTAAATACAATCAGGGTGATTTATTTTTTATTATATTTTTATTGACATTCAACCAAGGGTTAACGTTTTAAGAAAATACAAAGTACAATTACATTCCAAATGTGAAGGCCCCACACATGTAAACTCTCCAGTGTGTGGGGCCTTCACTGTTTTTGACAGTAGAGCATGTGTGTCTGTGCGGTTCCCAGCTGCTCCTCTTCTGCGGCCTGTTGAAGGTGGATGGTTTGTCGGCAGATGAGAGACGATAACTCCTGCAATTCCCAAAATGCTCTGCAACATTAAATAGACATTACAACCAGAGAACATTTATTATACTGTTGTGCATTTATTCAGACATGCAAAAGGTTCAATAGGAACATGGCCTCACCCTGTAAGTTCTTGACCAATAGTCTTTGAAATGTTTTTCATGCTCTTAAGAGAATCTAGGGATGTAGAATTCTCCTCGGTGTTCCCGTGTGTGCACTCTTTAACCAACTGTTCGCTCTCTTTTAGACAGGACTCAGCTTTGTCTATATTTGGAAGAGGTTTTTCATATTATTTCACTATAAAACACATACAGACGGTCACATTTATGATCTTAAGTTTAGCAGTAAACAGCCACCTAGAAAATCTGTCTGTTCGATGTCCATGTAGAAGTTCTTCACAGGTAATTCATGCAGAGTTGTATCCACGGCTGCAGCAAAGGACTTGTATTCTTCAGTGAAAGGAGTGGCAGCATCTACTATAGGGGCCAATGATGCAATCTGCGGGAAAATGTTCAATATCAAACAACTTAATGTGAACTTTCTTCACTTGAACTGTAATAATTATAATTGAGGAATCGGACTGCTTCAGTTTTCTTCAATAATAACTATTTTAAATAGTGAAATGATTGTAAACTGCTTCAAAACATGACTTTTTTAAGACTCAACTATAATTACTTGAACCATTATTTGATAGCTGTGGAAATGTCTATTTTTAAAACAAATTATTTTTGTTTAATAGAATGGCTGAATCCATTTGAAAGAAAATCTTATTTGTGATTTAAAAGAGGCAAACTGATTAGTTGATTTGACTATATGACAAATGACTATACAATATTTTTTCTTTAACTTACCCGACAATACAAGATCCCCAAACATTTCATAAAAGTTTGAATGTACTCGATTGTAGTACATTAGTTAACAAGTGAAAACGTTTAATATTTTTTAGTAATAATACTTAATGTTGTTTCTTAGACGGTCGACAGTAGCTCAGTTGGTAGAACATTGGTCTTTGAGCCTGAAGGTCATGGGTTCGAGCCCACCAACTCCCACTTCACCCCCATTGCCTAGAATGAGTCTAGTGTGTGTGTGAATGGTTGGTGGTGGTCAGAGGGGCCAATGGCACAGACTGGTTGCCATTGGCCCCAGTCTGTGCCAATGTTACGCTTAGTATGCTAGTTTTGATTATTCCGGGTGTGTATGAATCAACTTTGCTATGTTAAAAAGGGGGAAACTGCAAATAAATAATTTGATGCATTGTCTTTTACTTTTTTAAGCAAAGGGAAATTTTAAAATCAATCACAGCATGATAGTTTAAAAAATACAAAAGAGAACAAACTTACTTGCAGTTCCAACAGCTCATTTAGAAGTCTGTTCTTTTCTTTTAACTCATACTGACGCTTATTTTCCAAAACCTCAATACGTAGAGCCTCTTCCTTCTCCAGCTCTTCGAGCATCCTGGTCTCTGCCTCAACCCGCAGCTTTTCTGTATTATTCTCCATCTAAAAAGGAAGCCGACTCAATATAATTTTCTTGAACTTCTTGTACTATATAAAGAGACTCACCTTAGCTGTTAGATAGGCCAGCAGCAATGTTTGCATCTCAATTATCCTTTTGTCAGGTACGGCAGCATTCTGTGGTGGATTTTTTTCTATACAAATATAGATGAGTTATATAGTGACAGATCATGTCATGCAAGAAAAACCACATACCTGTAATTGCTGAAAGATCAAAATCTGGATGTGGGCATATGCTATGTTCACCAGAGATAGTGGATTGCAATACATTTTTAACAAGAATGGAAGTCTCGTTTTTCTTTGACATGATCGCTGCAAAAGAATAAAAAAACCATGGGTAAGTTAAAAAGAACTTGCTAAATAATATTTTCTTATGAGGGACTCACAGGTTGTGAGAAGCTGGGGTACAACTGATCGCCTTGGGGGAGTTCCCACTTTTGGTCTGGGTTTAGGCGAGGCCGGTCTTTGAGGAGGTTTCATAGTCTCGTTATTTGATGAACTGCTCTGAAAATGTAAATATATCTTTGAAAATTAACCTAAAATGACCAAACATTTTTTTTAAGACAGTAATGTTTCCGTAACAGGTTATATGCATAATCATTACTTAATAACGTAACACATTTAGCCCAACCTTTGAAAGAGTCGTTTTCTCAGCAGATTGAAGATAACGTGACTTCACAATTGTTCCACTTACTGAGTAAAAAAAAAAAAAAACAATGTTTTCACAGACAAATTATACTTTTGTGCAGTAGGTACAAGGTAGCACATTGTATTGATCTGTATCAATGCAATATTTATCTAATATATAGATATCTGCAATATCAACTATAATATTATACATATATTATAATAAAATATAATTTTCTGTATTTTAATGCCTTTAAATTATTTTTTGATGTGTTAAAAGGAATATGCTAAAAACGGTATTTCTAATATAATTTCATACATTTTCAAAGTTCATAAATCTGTATGTTGCATTTATTGACAACTGATGATTGATTACTGGCCAAAAACAACAAGAACGTTATGTCTGAGTCTGAATTAGCGAGCCGTCCAACTAATACGATATTAAACTTGTGCTGTCGCTTGCAATGAAACCACACGTTTAATGGTCATAAAGGAGTTATTTTTAAAACGTGAAAAGGGGCACATAAAGCATAACCATACTGCAACACCACACCTATATTCAAGTATTCATTTAGATTCATATTCTACGATTGGAACTGTATTTCCTGAAGTAATTTAATGTAATTTAATTTAATTTTGAACGTGTGTTTTGATGAGGCATACCTGTCTCCAATCATTGAGCAAATGATTGGGTCAAAAAAACTGACCCAAGATACATCGATTGACAAGAAATAACATATTTACCTTTAGCACTTTTCTTTTCATTGTCGCTGTTGTTAGCCTTACTAGTAACATTTCCACCCTTAGAACTGAAAAAGAAATGATCAGGCACAACTTTAATGCACCCACAGAATGATTTTGTACTAACTAAATCATACGAGCAAGAGAATAAGAAAGAGACTTCGTGATGAACAAGTGGGCAAAACTAAAAATTTAGCATTAAGTCAAGTTATTGTCAACTTGGCTTACCTTTTAGTCTCGGTAGAACTGCTTTTAAAACTTTTTGGCATTGTTGATGTCCGTCTGGAAGCCATCTTTGTTTGAGCAACCCGCCTGTCCGACTCTTCAATGAGTCCGACACCAACAGAAAAACGACCTAGTCCATAGTTCCGGGTTATTGAAGTGCATGTTTTCAGATGACATTAGAACTAAGACAATACCAATGAGATTGTCTAAACATAAACACAAATATATAGATTTTGGGTTACAACAGGGTTCACTACTTGTAAAAATAAAAATAAAAAGTTTATTTGAATATTTACATTTATGAAAAAAAAAAATACTGGTATAAGAATATATTTTTTCATCACTCAATAGTCCAGGTTAAAGAATGGTGAGAAGTTAGGATTTATTTGAATTCAATATTTGCTTATATGATTGTCTTCATCTTCCTGGGGATCTACAGTCATTTACAAATTCAAACAGTAATGTTTGTTACACAATGGAAAAGTACATTATAGTCACAGAGTAATTTCTGTTACCAAATGTAGTTATTGTTTATGTATTCTAAAAACCATTGAAACATTCTGCTTTGAGGCTGTGTGATGGAGTGGTTTCTTGTTCGTTGTGTATGCAAGGTTTTAGGAGCTGATCCCACATGTTTTGATAAAAGCATTAGTGGGCGTGGAAGTAAATAAGAGGACAGGATGATGGGATGGACCTATTTTAGTCTGTTTAGCATGTTTTCTCCAAGAGGTCCTATCATGTCCATTTTGTTGAAGTTTTCTGAATATTAACCCAGTAATAATGATCAAACAGTGTGGCTGGCTGTCAATCTCTCTTCACTTAGCAATAGAAAGGAAAAGAAGCAAAGGACATTTTAGAATTGTTGTTGGATAGTTCATACAGTGTTCAATATTATTCCCTCAAAATTTTTATATCAATTTAATTACTATTTTATTACAAGGTATGCTTTTATCTTATTTTATAAAAACCCACACAATTGCTGATGTGGAGGAGGTGAAAGGCTGAGAAGTGCACGCTGAAAGACAGTTCTGAGTGTCACAATGCAGGTCCTTGTTTCAGCTTCGCTCCGAAACTCTGACGTCTCCAAAAGAACTCATCTTTGTCACTGTGACCTCACTGATACCCTGCGTATTACACATCAGGGATAAATTCTGAGCTCTTCAAAACAAATATGATTTCACATTGCTCACATCCTCAGCCACAACGATCCAAGTTTGTTCAGTCAACACTGATTGACAATCGGCCAGTTAGATGAACACTTTTCCCTCGCAGAAAAAAATCCATCCCACCTTAGTGTGCTCTCTGCTCCTGGTGCAGACGGCTCCTTGGATGATGCTTTTTCTGCTGGTTAAATCTGCACTATCTTTTAATGTTTTTACCTATTCTATTTTGTCTGAAGTGACTGTATGTGTGTGTAAGCATGTGTGCATGTGTGTATATGTGCATCTAATGGGCGGCACGGTGGCTGAGTGGATAGCACTCTCGCCTCTCAGCAAGAAGGTCCTGGGTTCGAATCCCGGTCGGACCAGGGCCTTTCTGAGTGGAGTTTGCATGTTCTCCCCGTGTCTGCGTAGGTTTCCTCCGGGTACTCCGGTTTCCCCTACCAATAAAAAATATGTCCAATAGTTCTGGCATGCGCTTCCTGTTCAGCGACCCCGCTCCCATCTCTGTGTGGAGTGAGAGACAAATGCCCAAAAAAAATTAACAATTGTAAACCGCTTTGAGACTCAGATCTGCAGTGAAAAGGCGGTATATAAATAAAGATTACTTACTTACTAATAATATGTGTGGTTTGGGGTGGTCGGGTTTATGGGCATAAGAGACTGTTTTTAACCAGAATTTTTTTGTATGAAAAGCACATTGTAAATAACATTTGATTGATTGATTGACAAATCAAGATGCTAATTAGACAGCCTTGTGATCTGACAGTTGATAGTGGCCTGTGGAATTTTGATCCACTACTCTTCTATCGCTGTACAACATAGCTTTATATTGGCAAGAACTAGAGCAGGCTTTGGTTTACAGAAATCCAGAGCCTCCCAAACCTGCTCAATGGGTAACATGTACGGTGAGTTCTACCAGAAAAAACGGGGATGTTTTCAGCTTCCAGGAATTGTGTAGAAATCCTTGCAACATGTGCATTATCATGCTGCAGCATGAGGTGATGTCGTGGGCCTCAGGATCTCATCACAGTGTCTCTATATATTCTAAATATTGTCAATGTATTGCCCGGGTTTTCATGTTTACAACACGCCTCTGATGTGTGTGTGAATGGTTGGTGGTGTAGGAGGGGCCAATGGCAAATGCTGGTTGCCTCGCTTCTGACAGTCGACGTCAGGACGAATCTGGAGCAATCTCCCTGAAAATGTGAGACAGGCCTCCTCTCTGACAATAGTTAAAACCAGGGTAAGAAAAATGTGCTGTTTAGCTGTGCATACAACTGAGGGATTTTATATTTTTATCTTTCTTTTTAATGTACTGTGATTATTTATGATTTTAATGCTATTTTGTTTTGTTCAGCACTTTGAGTTGCCTTGTGTATGAATTTTGCTATACAAATTAACTTGCCTTGCCTTACATTAGTAGTTTATCAACACAGTGCTTGGAGTGAAAGAATAATAACTACAATGTCAGCAAACCGTTCACACGCAAAGTCTCTCTCTCTCTCTCTCTAATGTCAGCATTTGCACACTCAGGTCAGTTACCACGGTGATCTGCAGTCAGGTCGAGACCCTGATGAGGACAAAGAGCTGCTGATGAGCGTCCCCTAGGTTTCTGACAGTTTGTGCCAACATTTTTGAGAAATGAACATTTCATTTAATTAATAACAGCTCTGGTGGACATTCCTGGTTGACAGTCACCAAAACAATTGAGATCAAACTGAGCATTATAAAGCTGCCAATTATTATTATTATTACAATTGTAAAAGGTTTGTTGTTAAGTGTTTGTGGGGATACAAAGTAGGGCTGTAGTTAAGAATTTAATCTTTACCAATTATCAATTCATTTTCCTCCACTTTATGCCTTGCTGGGTTGCGGGGGCAGCAGTCTTGACAGGGATGCCCAGACTTCCCTATTCACACACACCTCCTCCAGCTCGTCCGGGTGAATCCCAAGGGTCTCCTCCAGGGTTCTCCTCCTGGTGGGACATGCCCATAACACCTCTCCAGGGAGACGTCTGGGAGGAATCCAAAACCCCCTCAACTGGCTGCTTGACATGGAGAAGCAGCGGCTCTACTCCGAGCTCCTCCCCTGTCTCTGGGCTCCTCACTCAATCAACTGGTTCATCGAGAACTTTGACATTTGACTCAGTTTTCTCGTCACAACAAAAGTCTGATACAGCTCTGATGGGAGACGCTGCTCCTTCTTCAGCACATGAGTTTGATACAGCGACAGCATCACTGCGCACGCTGCACCGATCCACCTGTCAATCACCTGCTCCATCCTTCCCTCACTCGTGAACAAGACCCCGAGATACTTGAACTCCTCCACTTGAGGAAGGACCACTCCACCCACCTGGAGAGGGCAAGGCACCTATTTCATGGCCTTGGATTTGGAGGTGCTGATTCTCATCCCAGCCGCTTCACACTCGGCTGCAAACCGTCCCAGGGCATGCTGCAGGTCCTGGTTCGTTGGATCCAACAGGACGACATCGTCTGCAACAGAAACATAAACATAAACTGGGAACAGGTCTGACACCCCGGGGAATACGGTCAAATGCCTTTTATTTGTTTATCAATTCATTACAACTAATTTGTTTCTTAGGTCACAAAATGCCAGAAAATTTTGAACAAAACAAAGCCAGCGTACACATTTTCCATTTTATATTCCAGTTTTACAGCTCTTCATTACTGTCTCTAAAACAATTACTATTATGGATTTTTTTACAAGACTTTTGGTGCAGTTAAAACTGAGTTATCAATTAAGGGGGTTAAATAACTCATGAGTCATCAGAATACGAACAAGTATTCAAAGTTCAAAGTTAAAAATAAATTGTTTTGATATATTTACAGGGATGAAACTGGGGTACGAAAAGACACTAGGTGATACACGGTGCTATTATTGTTGCTGTTATACTGTGTGTGTATATATTAGTATGATATTTGTTTTATAACTTATTTCATGATATTGAATTAACATAGGGAAAAGAGGTAGGATTTAATTAGCTTTGGCTTCTTCCTACTCCTTTTGAATGTGAATAATTGTTTAATTTGTTAGTTTTTGTTCTTACTGTCTTTTTCTACATTTATTCTATGTTCAAATAAACATAAATAAATAAAAAATAAAATAAAATAGCTGGTCATTACGACAGTCCTTGCTGTTTTGGTGAACTGAAGGCTGAAGTAAACATAACTATTAACGCCTTGGCAGATGCTGAGAGTAGTGTCCTTATTTTATTTTGTCTCGGTATAAAACCATAATGATATAAATCCGTGTGAACGCTCTGTTAATGTCAGTTCATGCTCTGCACCAACAACACATGTCCTCTGCTGAGACACGACCCCAGACATCAGCATCTTTTGTCGTATTTTTCACTAGACTGTTATACCCCTAATTTTAAAAAAATAATGTTGACGGTATCTTTAATTTTTTTTTTTTTTAAATAAACATTTTAGGAAATTACAAAAACAAATAAGAACCCACACAGGCACACAGGTCCAGTATAGCAAAGGAAACAAATCAAACCACAGTTGTAAAAAAATTAATAAATAAAAAAATAAATAAATGAAAACCACAACACAAATGACTTGATTATGTCAATTGTGTCGGAAAAATGTGAGTGACAACACATTTAACTTTATCCTGACATTATCATCACGGCCCATCAGTCGTCAAGCATTCCACAGGGATATAAAGGTGCTTATAAAGGGATGTGAACCTAACCTGATGTTCGTTCTTGTGGATAAGTCCTTACTCCTGTTGCTGAGGGCAAGAAACACGTCTCGGGGGGAAGTGCTTTGGATCGGCTGGAATCAACTGTCGATCAATGATAAACTGTTAAAAGCTCAGCATGTTAATGAAAGAAAACCTCATTTGAAAGTTGTTTTTGTTTACTCATTGCCCATAGATGTGCACATTGTGATGACACTGATGTGAAAGTGCAGCATCCAGCAGGCGTGAGTGAGCTGCTGTGTGAGAACCATGTGCAGTCCTTTAGTGGAGCAGTGTAGCGTGCAGTGCAGGGCCAGGCAGAGGCGGCCCTGTCCCGTACAGTGGTGGAACCCTGTAATCCCTGCGTTTTCAAGAGCCCTGGCCCGTGCTTGATGAGCTTGGGCAAGAAAAGGTCCCATCTCTTCTGTGTCTCCCCCTATCTCTCTTACTCACTCTTTTGTCCCCTCATTCTCATGCAACCTCTTCCTCAGCCCTAGAGCCGGATTTCAAATGGTTAAAGTGCTAGTTAGCAACTTCATCTGTCCAAAAGCCAAACTATTTTTTTTTATCTTTAACCATTTTATTTTATAAATAAATTATATTATAATATTTATGTTTTTAATTATTTCAGCCTAAATATGTTTCTATATAAGGTTAAATAATTAAATGCTCGCTGGTCATCTGGGATCATAATAAAATACATAAATGATTCCAATATTGTTTGTCCGTTTAAGTGACTTTTCATTTTGTGAACAAATCAGACCACAACATGAAGTCTCCATCTTATTAGAAAGATAGAGACTGTTTTACAGTATGTAAAAAGTTATCTCAGTGTTTTACATAGTGTTGGCAGGGTGGTCCTCTCTTTTCTACTCAAAAGGCTGATCTAAAAGTTTCACGCATGTGAAAACTACTGATAGAACCAAACTGTTTTGAGTGGCAGGGTGACATATTGGTCTCAGGTAGTTCAGCTAATAAATTTGCTTATTTTTAAAGGAGATGACAACATTGAAGCTCTATAAATGAAGTGCAAAATACATAAAACACGATTACAAAGTTATACGTTTGCGTAATGATAAAGCTATGCAGCTTACATAATGCATAGTGACACAAGATTTTACAGGCTATAGCTCTGCAGGTTGGCTCTTTTTGAGGAGGCCCTGTTGGAGATGCTGCTGACAGAGGTGTGCAAAAGCAGTCCCTGTCAGTGCTGGGCCAGTAGGACTGTGAGAGGGGATTACCAGGAGGCCAGGGCCCCGAGGCAGAGGCCGTTTCCTGGCCTGAGCCCTGTTTGTCCTGCCTGACCTGGCAGCACTGAGGGCAGATCCTCTCCGATATATCCGTGCTCCCACGCCTGTCTGAAGCTGTTAGACACTGGCTGTGAGTAGCTCCATAGGCTTAGCTCTGTCTGAGCTGTGGCCGAGACTCATCAGTCTGTGTGCATCTGTGAGGGTGACCAAGTATTACTGAATGTGTGTACCACCATGGCCCCTCTGAGGACGTCCAGTCTCCCCTGAACAGCTCAGGGAGATTGTTGGATCTTCTTTAATAAAGCTTCAGGATCTTTTCTTCAGTGATTTAATCAGCCTTTCTGTTTTCTCTTTTCATGTTACTATTATTTTACATTTTTACTTTTCCGTTTCTATGGCTTCTATTTTTGAGTTTTTTGAGTTCATGTAATTGCTTTAAAAAGTGATAAAACAGGTAAAATGTTTTTGTCGACTGCAAAACAACAGAACTCATCATTAATAATAATGTATATTAATATTATTATTCTATCTGAAATGCGAAATCTGTGCCAGGTGCACCTCCTCCTAAAAAAAAAATTTTTAAATGAGGGGAAAAATACAGTGGACTCACAAGACATTTTATTGTATTCATTTTTTATGTACTGTATATAAATGTATATTTCAAAAGCACCTTATGTGCTGCCACACCCATTTAACTAATCAACCAGTTATTCTACAATAAGCCGGTGTTTTTTAAAGGTGTTGTCCTTTTGTAAACTGTTTGCAGAGGTGTGTTTTAACTTGGATATCCAAAAGATAACAGCCCACCTCTCAGCACATGGACTGTTTGATTATCAGTCTCTAAAAATGAAAATGAAAAGATAGGGAGATTTACTTTTCAGGCCCAAAAGCTTTTATAGCTAGATTGCTTGTTTTGAGAATTGGGTCTTTAGTTTTAGTTGAGGATTGGTGGAGAATCACAGCTAAAGCAGCGTTGTTTCTGAGTACACAGGAGAGGATCAACCTCACTTAGACTTATCTGTGAATCAGAATTTAAATCCTAATAATCATCCACAAATAATTTAGTAGGCTGACATATTTGTGAATTGTGTTTTCTTTCTCTGATCATAAAACTCTGAATGAAAACTGGCTGCATGAGATGGAGCGGACAGGTGGAAAAGAAACACAGGGGACATTTTACGCCAGAACAAAATGAATAGGCTGAAAGATATTCTATTCAAAAGTGGAGCTCAAGGCTTGAGAAGTTCCTGAGAGTATTCAGAGCATGGTTCAGATGCATGTGCACAGGGTGTTCGTCATCACTGCCTCAGCGCGTCACTTGTCCGGCTCTTATAAAAGGGCATCGCCTGTCTCACCTGACCTGACTGCCCCGGGCTCACTCGCAGAGGGAGAGGGGCTCGTTTGTCTTCCGTAGCAGTATTCACGCGTTAATTACGCACGTATCATATTCTATTTCATTCTTGTCGGTACATTTCAGTTTTTCTTTTATGAATCTGGCAAACTTTTCGTATTACCCCGGCATGTGCAACATGACTGCAGAGAGCCAACATTCCCCCGCTGAGGCCAGTCCTGTTGTCATGTCTCCAAACCTGACTCTGGACTCTCCACTGCCTCCTACACCTACAGCGTTCATGCTGCAGCACCACTCCAAGGACAACATCCTCATCAAATCTGAGCCCAGAGGCAGCAGCCCCAATGTGGAAGATGCCTCCACTGTGGGGCAGGCCGAAGACAATCTTCCCACCGGGAGTCGCAGGAGGAAGAGGCCAGTTCAGAGAGGAAAACCACCTTACAGCTACATCGCCCTCATTGCAATGGCAATCGCCAATTCTACAGACAGGAAACTTACATTGGGGGGCATTTACAAGTTCATCATGGAGCGCTTTCCCTTCTACAGAGAGAACTCCAAAAAGTGGCAGAACTCTATCCGCCACAACCTCACGCTCAATGACTGCTTTGTGAAGATCCCCAGAGAGCCGGGCAGACCGGGAAAGGGCAACTACTGGACCCTGGATCCCGCCGCTGAAGATATGTTTGATAACGGCAGTTTTTTGAGGAGAAGAAAGAGGTTCAAGCGCACAGATGTGAGCACCTATCCAGGCTACATGCAGAGCTCCAGTGCATTCACGCCCACTCCAATGGGCAGAACTACCTATCCCAACACGCTTTACGCTGGGATAGGTCCAGGCTACGCACCCCAACACCCCGCCATGATACACCATTATCAAACTTCTGCAGCGGGGACTGCGCCTGGTCAGGCGCGCATGTTCAGCATCGACAGCATCATAAGCCAACAGCCTGGGCAAGGCGTGGATCTCAACTCCCAGTTGGCTCTCGGAGGGGGGGACCTTGGCGCTATGAACCCGGGATGCTCTGTGACTCCCACGGACTCATCTGCGTGCTTCCAGACTCAAAACACCAACATTTTAAGTCGGAATAGTACAAACATGGCGTACCCTTACTCCACATCAGCATCGCCTCCAAACCTCCCCAGCATGACGCAGTCGGGCTTCTCCCCGGGGGGCTCTCAGGTGTACTGCTCAGCCAACAGAGTCACACTGCCCCCAATGAGACCCAGCTCATGCGCTGACCACACGGAGCAGCTCCTGGGACTGACCAACATAAACTCATACAATACTCCGTACATGAGGCAGGCTAACTTTGCCTCGGGACTCGAAAGATACATGTGAAAAAGACAATCACTGTTGGTTTATGTTACGCCAATCATTTTGACACCTGTCATTATTGTTTTATGTCTGTGCCTAGGCCTTACATGTGGGTGTACAGCTGCTGTTAGTATGAGATGCATTCTTGGCCACTACAAATGTAAAATAAATACACTCAAGTTGTTTATTCATTCTTTAAAGTTGGATTAAGTCATTACTATATATCTGATGTGGTTTCATGCAAAAATGTGAAGACCCCTTTTTCATTAAAACATTGAGCTATAAATAAAATGTCCCTACTATGATCATGGTCCTCATTTATCAATTTCAATGATTCTCACAAAGTAGCCAATCAGTGATCCAAAGTTCTTACAAATATCTTAATTAGCCATGTAAACAAAGTATGTGCCAATAATGTGGTGTTAAAAACGTATTGCACAGGAGCATTTTAAATACATTTTAAAATGTATTATTTGTAGTATCAGATGATCCAATTTATTAATTTAAGTAAAGTAAGTTAATGTAAATGAGCTGTTAAAAAGTGTGATGTGCAACAAACTAATGATTCGGGGTTTTTTCCCCCAAAGCAATGTTCCCAATTGTGATACCACCAGCAGACAGCACAACACTATAATACCACAAGAGGGCAGACATGCAGCATCTGGCTCCTGTGAGAAAAGATATTTGAGGATCTACAGGCGCAGAGTACTTTATTTATAATACCGACTAACTGCAGTCAAAGGGAAGCAGCTGTACCACTTATAACTTAAATTGATTTAACGGTGTGAACAACTGGATTTATACATAATATACATAGTTTTTGTAATCATATTGACCACTGCCTGTTAGGAAAAAGGCCAATAGATTAACCAATGGGGAGAGGGCTTGCATGTCAATCAAACATTTATTTTGCCCAATCAGGAAGCAGAGCATAGACTGGCACTTGTTCAAAAATTCTCTTAGCTAATTTTTTAGAAGAAAAAAAAACATCACGTATTTTGCAGATATAAACATTAGCGTTAGAAACTGTTGTTACAGAACAGGCCAATAATTAAAAAAAAATATTTATGATTAATAAAATAATTTGCTTCCCAAAGTCAATGTGACTGGTATCAAATCCAAGATGATCAGTGATCATACTAAAAATTCCTGATTGGCGCAGCTCTGATTGTTCTGAGGTGGAGAGATGATCTGTGGTATTAGCTGGATCTGCTGTTCAGCTGCGAGCATGTCGATGAGGCTGATCACAAAGAACAGTGCGAAAGTGACAATAAAACATTTAAAAACAGCCACCATTGTATAGAATAGCAAGAATTCCATTTATTATTTATATTTCATCATTTTGACTCCTGTTTGAATGGATATTATTTCCTTTATGAACCTAAAGTAAAAAGGCTATTATCCGTATGGACCAATAATTATCATTGGGTCGTATTCAAGAAAATTACACTTAAAATGATGTATAACATGCTAGTAACCCCTATTTTTGTATCGATGTTCGCACGTTTTGCAAATCGTTTCAAGTACCCTCTGTAATACCCCTGTGTAGCTTTTTGTGTTCAATTTTATTCATACATCCCCTAAAGTTCAGTATTTTTAAAAGTTGGTTTCTGCATCAAGCAGCAGACCCGTTTATTTCTCTCACGCGCTCTTTTGAAGCATTGGAAAAGTTTGGTGCCAAAAAGGTGTATTTGTGTTTTTGTTGTATATATTTGGGATGATGATGTCGGCCGATCGGGCTGTTGTCCCAAGTGAATGCTGGGATCTCCTGCTCATAGCCACAGGAGGAGTGTCCACATCTTAAAAGGGCTGATAAAGGAAGCCATGAAGTTATTTCCTGATTTCCTGTGATTGCCAAATTCAGATCCTCCTTGTCTTCTGAGTCATCGATAAGGAAATGATGCATTTATAGTATTCTGATAGACTGATGGCCTGCTCTCTTTCCTTCTCTCTCTTTGGAGCAGCTGCACATGTGGGTTAGTTCTCTGTGTTTGGGTGGGAGGTTAGTTAGTTTGGGTGCCCTGTGCATTTCACCTCACATAGGTTTATGTTTATTTAGACACATTAGGATATGGGTTTGAAGACCAGATGTCGAGTTTATTTTGTTCTTTTGGCATAACTGGCCCACACCTTCCACCCACTATCTAATACTATTCCAAACATGTTTGGATTAAATGAACCTTTGAGTGACTCTGTGTTTCAAAAATAAAAAAATCATAATAATTGACAAAAATACAGCACTAGTTAGATGGAAGTCATCAGAGAACAATACGTAAAGGAGAGAAGTTTTGTGTCTGAGGTCAGCAGTGCAGAGACTGGGACAGGGAGTCTCATACTGCGGGTCAGACACATAGTACCTGGCTTGTATAATCTGTGAGTCTGGGATCCACTTCACCAAGGTGTACTCTTAATGTAACGTCCCACATAAATGTATAGCCAAAAATAGACTTTTAGACTTTTTTAGCATAAAGAATTACAATGTGTATTATTATATATAAAATAATCTGACCTCCATAAATCATAATCTTAGGCCCCATCCTTGTTTCCAGAGAGATGTTATTCCTTTGGTTAGATTTCGCAGTTGAACATCATGTATATCTCCATGTAGAATGCTCCTAATTATATTTTGACTTCAGAAACTCATAATCATAAACAACCCAAGACAAACAGCATTTTAGGCTACAAAAAGTCCCATTTTGAGCTTGCTTGCACTCCAAAAAATGGCCTGCTTATTTCAATCTAAATGTTATAACAGGCAAATTTAAAATAAAACATAAAAAAGGATACAAAACTGAACGACATGAGAACTATTGTGATTTTCAATTAAAAAAAACAGCTACCACCAACAGTCACACCGTTGCTTTGAAAATGAAATAAAGTCATTACTTGAGGATCAAATGTATTGACTCTGCAACAGTTGCAATACATGCCTCATCCACAGAGGGGCGCTGTTAGACTTAAAACGAACACGCTCCACAAACTTGCCATAATTTCCTCTTGTAGCAAAACGAAACCTGAACAAGATTTTTGTATTTATAATCATTCACTAAATACTGTCTTGCCAAATTAACCCGTTGGATTTTAAAAGCCACACAGGAAGAACTATCCCATGTTGGTTCTGTCCATAAACGTATAAGATAAAAGGTTTTAATGTATCGTGATGGTCTAAGAAAAACCCTAAATAATAATAATAACAATAATAATAATGATAATAATAATCTTTACATTTTAGACTGTTTCTGTGTTCTTGACATTTTATAATAACACCAGCACTGAGGGGGTCAGCCGTGCGTCATGCTCCGCATTAACTTAAGGTTCAACAGACCTGAGAGAGAGATAATAAATAAATGCTAAATCCGTAACATTAGGATTTAGCTTATATCTTGGCAAGAAGTATACATCATTGATTCTAGCGATATAGGCATTATTATTATTAATTATTATTATCATTATTGTAATCATTATTATTTGAGGCCGCAGATGTTCGTGTTGTGAATATTGTTTTTTTTGCCTATACGGGGTTTAGGGTATTTTGTCAAATGTATTTGAATAAAACATATTGGTATTTATTACAATTTATTGTAGCAATTTAATTGAATTATTTGAATGTCAATTATATAATCAGGCCTATTCCATTAGGCTATAGGCGAATTAATATTATTATTATTATTAGAATATTAAACGAATAATCAAACTATATTGTTATACTGCTTAAATCTCTTTGAAATATAATTGACATGTCATAGAAAATGCACCTTAAATTCTTTTTTTTCAAAGCAGACTCAGCGCCCACGTGACCTGTGTGTTCCTATAAATACTTTTGATGGGCTGAAGTGGACAGTGTGACACTCTTCCAATCACGTGCGTCAGAGCCCACAGGACAGACCCAGACAGGACCGTGTCTCTGCTGAGAACCGGGGTTCAGCCAACACCACTGCAGCTACAACTCTGAGCTTATAACGAACCCGTCCTTTCATTCATCCGCTGCAGTGCCATGCGCCATGTGTGAGTCCAGCTGAAGGTGGTCTAAAGGCGCAAAGGGGAGGTCCAGTCTCAGTTGCAGCTCGCCCTTGAGCAGAGCAGGAGGAAGTGTGGGCCAGAGGATCTCTGCAAAGGATGACTTTAGGAACGGATATGTCCGACAGCTCTGCTTTGTCCGAGGACCTGGACATAGATGTGGTCGGGGGTGATATATCCGGGAAGGACGGAAAGTACCTTCACGACTTCAACTTGGACAATGACTCGGACGATAACTATTCACACAACGCGGCGGACGGGGTTCCCTCTCCAGGACATAGCGGCTCGGAGTGTCCCCCGGATCAAACGGACCCTAGCTCGGGAGCAGGCTCTGGCGTAGGCGACAATAAACTCCGAAAAAACGCACTGGTGAAGCCGCCCTACTCCTACATAGCGCTCATCACCATGGCCATCCTGCAGAGTCCCAAGAAGAGGCTGACCCTGAGCGAGATCTGCGAGTTCATCAGCAGCAGGTTCCCGTACTACAGGGAGAAATTTCCCGCATGGCAGAACTCCATCCGACACAACCTGTCCCTGAACGACTGCTTCGTAAAGATCCCAAGGGAACCTGGAAACCCCGGAAAAGGCAACTACTGGACTCTTGATCCAGACTCAGCTGATATGTTCGACAACGGCAGCTTCTTGCGCCGAAGAAAACGCTTTAAGAGGCACCAGAGCAACGAGATACTCCGAGACGCGGGCGGGTATCTGCCTGGGTTTGGATATGGCCCCTACGGATACAACTACGGACTCCAGCTGCAAAACTTTCACCACAACCCTTACCACTCGCATCACACCAGCGCTTCTTTCCCTTTCCCGGGCACCTCTCCATGCACCTTGCCCTCGAACCCCCTCTTCCCCCCACCGCTGCCTTCTCTCTTAAGCGCAAAGCAGTTCTATCCCCAGTTAAGTCCATCTCTGCCCCCCATAAAGACAGACAGCAGCCCACCGAGCCGTCCTTCCTTCTCCATAGACAATATCATCGGCGCGACTAACCCCAGCAGCTCTGCGTACAACTCCCAGCCGGGCGGACAGGCGCAAATCTTGGCCATGTTGACACCAAGTCTGGCCTCAGCATCTGGACATTTGAGCCTCACGCAGGACAGGGTTTCACCAGGAACACAGACGCAGACATTTACGAGCAAAAGCCCCAACGTCAACACTTGTCCATTCTAAAAACTTTCTTGCCCAAAGCAAGCTGCACCGCTTGAAGGTAGGACAAGCACTATGAAGACATTTTCTTCTCCAATTTCAGTATTTGAAGAAGAGATTATTTATGATTGTAAATATGTGTATAATGGAAACAAGAAAGAAGAGGACCATATGTCTTCTTCGCCTTTGATCTTTGGCTTAAAGGGTATAGTTAGAATATCCTATTATTTAAATCTGACATCCTAAAAGGGTGTTTTAACACAAACGACAAAATAATAATAAATGTGCTTATTTCTATTGTTCCCTTTATGTGCGTCATGGGAAAATGGCACTGCTATTGTTGACATGAAGAGACGGCATACTCAGGTTATTGAAAAGCACACAAGAAATAAAAGGGACCACAACATGTCACATGTCATGCCCCTTTCCCCAAGTGGATTAGTTGTTCTGGACATCGGAGCTCTAAAGTGACTTTTGGTAAAAGACGTCGTACCTCTCTTTTTTCAACTTTTGAATTGTTTCATTCACGAGTTAATGTGAAAGTCATGTGCAGCCAATAGACAGACATCTAAATGTTTAGAGGTCCTTTTGTTGTATCGAGAATAATAAATGTTTGTTCAATCAAAACATGCTTTTTATTTTTGTATTTTCTTGGAACAAAATTTTCTCGGTGACAAATTACACATAAACTACGATTGTTAAATGAAACCTGGTGTGTGCGTAAATTAGAAATATCACGCAACACTGAGCAGGCTTTTCTCTTTTGTGGTTCTTGTAAAGAACCGTTTTCTAGAAAGTTACAAAGGGCCCAAAATGAATAGGGGACAAGCGAGGCCTCGGAGGTCCGTAATTGAAAGTGCACAGGGATCTAGACGTGGTCTTTGGGGGCTTTCGTTACTAATTTGTAGCAGCATTTTTCATCCAACTCCTAATCCGCCATAATGCGTCTTTCTGCCCGTTTGTTGGTGTTGTCAGTTCAGTCCGCTGCAGTGAATGTGGACGCAGTGAGCGGTCTGTGTGAGCTCTGCCACACACATTTAAAGTCTGAAAAGCAATCTTATCAAAAGGCCCGTGTTTTGGGGCTCTTTCATGTCATCTGTGCTGTCTGAGAAAGAGAAGCAGTGGGACTCGCCGGGCTACAGAAAACAGGGCCAATTGGTCTTTTTTGTTGGACCACATGTTTCCCAACAGAAGGCCGCGTAAAAGCTTCTTTTATTTAGCAGATCGCTGCGCAAACGGCTCCGCTTGTTTGTGGCTGTTTTGACAGATGATTATTAGGAATGAAGGGTGGGAGGCCTCAGTCTCACTCTTTGAAACCAAAACCGGCAGGTCTATTGTCCAAACGCGCTTGTCCCTGTGCTGTTGATAAAAATATAAGAATAATTTACTTCACAGCGGTGTTAATTGATATCCAACAATCTGTGTAATTAGCGGAGGGAACGAGGCGGAAAAAACGTTAGCAGACTATTGAAGTTTATTTGGCACTGGGAGTTATTACGCACAGCATCACCCCATTAAAATCCACATGGAGCGTTTGCAGAGGTGGTTAGACACCCATTTAAGCAACTACAGGAACGTAAACTAATAAAAGGCATTATAATTGTATACGCATGAGCTGCTTTTGGCACCGTTTTACGCACCGCATACGGATAAAAAATACAAAGTTAAGGAAACTGGCTGCTCGTCTTTCATCACAAATAGTTCACTGACACAGGCACACACGGTCTTTGATATCCAAATGGTTGATGCTGATTGCACTGACATAGAGCGTGCCCTATGCACTGCTGTCTGTAGACCACCCACAAGTTTGAGCGCGAAGCGTTCTTATTTAAAAACAGAACACTGTCACTGTACAGCACGGCGAGTTGAAGAGGAACAAGTGCGACGGGAGTGACAGCCAAATCACCCAACAATCCAATGGCACAGTTTATTTTTCTCCGCAGCTAAAAAGGATGTCGAACATTCACTTGGAGTGACACATTTTCTTTGATTCAAAAACATTTTAACATTTTTTATCTTTCGTGTTTTGTTGTTAATGTAGGATACACAGGGTATTAAATCAAATTAAATATAGGCCAGGACTATATTAAAGCGTACAGGCTGTACGCTTTAAATTTAGTCTCAGTATTTCCACACCTATTTTTTAACGCCATTTAACAATGCATTGTCTGCACTGTACGAGTAAGACCAGAGCCCATAAATCAAAGTCTTCTCTTTTCCTCCACTGTTTTTGCTCCTCACAAGAATTCCTCGTTTAATGAGTTTAGAATGTGTAAATAAGCCTAGACAGTGAAGCCCGTTATTCTCTCAAAGCACAATATTAACTTTGGAAGATTTGCGGCCCACCGTGAGGTGCGCGCACTTCTCTGAGCCACCTGCTGCAGGCACGGCCTCATGATAAAGGGGATAATAGGCCTGCAGTATGGAGCTTTAGAGCACGTAAGCTGCAACATTGGTCCTGTCTGTAGACAGCATATGGTAAATATCAATAAGAAACCTTCCATAATACAATTGTACACCAGTGTGTACATGTTCAATTGCCCTAGAGGGCAACGAAATAAGCCAATGTTTAAAATTGTATTAAAGCTTATTCATCGTTCATTCACTATCTACCCCTTTATTATTCAATTTCTGGGTTGGCGGGGGGTGGGGGCAATGAGAGCTGCCACCCAAAGTGTATGTATGTAATTGCAAACATCTAAAATAGGCCATACATAGGTGCATATTGAGCCTAAATTTATAAAATGAATCCAATATTGGCTCCAAGTGTCAAATGGCTCTGACCGAGAGGCGCAGCAGCATCTTCACAGAATAATGCGGCTTGTTATTTTTTTTTTTTTGCGATTTTAACTTGTAAAATGCTACATAATGTATTTTTCATTAATGTGGGGAAAGGAACTAAATGATAATTTATATCAAACTGGGCTTTGATAGCATCTCGTGGAAACACACTGAACCTTAATCATTTGTTTAGTATAGGACCAAATGAGTACGTGGATGAAACGGCTTGTGAAAAAAAGTGAACGTTACTATCCACACTGAAATGTGATCGCACAGGGGTCGAGGGGGCAAACTTTTTAAGACTAATGTTTATTTAGAGACGCGAGCACATTCTGGGACTCCCCCGATCTAACAAAGCTAATGTGTTTAACATGCCTATAACTGGACCACCAACAACACACCCGCATGTGCATGAAACAGATACATTGTGTTCGTGTTTAGTGCTGGATAAATGGATGTGTAAAATAAAGCCTGTGATTGCCATTAATAGCAGCCTAGACTTAGTCCGGTAATTCTGCAACGTTTGTCTGTCTCCGCACCTTTTTTTGTGTAGGATGAGGCCCTACTGCAACACTGCAAAAAAGTTGCAGTGTTGCAGTCCCCGGGGCCCGTGGAGCAGCAGCGTGTTTTCTTACAGTTTGTAAAATTGAATTAGCTACGGTGGGGAATCTGACCTCTCGCCAGAGCCGCATATTTTCAACCCTCAAGTTTTAGTGTTCCTTGGATATTTTTGTTTTCTCAGCTGGATCTGTCATTGGACATTGTGTCCACACCGTCCATTATATCTTCACCATCTCCCATTCTCTATCCATTCTCTATTCTCTGCCCTCCTCCCGCTTCAGAATCCTTCAACACGGAGAAGTCTCTCCTCTAGCACCAGGACGCACAGTCTGGCAACACTGCATGCATCAGGTATGGAATCAGACCACATTTCATTTAGCCCTATAATCAGGGGAAAGTTAAATTAATGCGATGTTAAACTGGGGTTTAAGTATAAATGATTGTTTGTCGGTTGTAAATTTCTCCTCTGTGAGATAAATAAAGCTTATGATCATGATTTCAAAAGACCAATTTCCCACTATCTATAGTATTTGCCAAATATTATTGCATAGAAAGTTACACAGAAACATATGTACTTTCCCTCCTGAGTAAGTTTGGTTAGGTTCACCATATTTAAACATGGTTATATTATAATCCAAAAACTTCAGGGGGCCCTAAGCAGCATTTGCTTTTGGGGCCCTTTCAATTTGTCTCTGTGCAATTACAGATTGCAGAACTCAAAACATACAATTTGCTTTGTGCAAATATCCAAGGTAGCAGTCCAGTGCATTTGTAAATTATACAAGAAGATTAACTCAGTTGAATTTTGAGAAATAGCCGAGCACAAATCCAGATTTCAAGAAATTCTACAAATATTTCATTGTAATTATTACTAGTTTTGGTATAAATGTAAAAGTAAAACCATAACATATTCTATGGGGGGGCCTGAGGGATCTTCTGACCGGGAGCCGCGATAGTCAAGTCTTTGGGAGTCTCTATTTGAGAGGGCCCTGACTGACCGTATTGCCATAAAATGGTCCGGACCTGTCAAATCTTATGTCAAAACAAAGGTTATGTGTGCATAAAACTGTTGCGATAGATTATAGTTTATAATTGCTTCGTCCTCTTTCATTCAAGTGCCAATCTTCCTGAAAGTAAAGGCAATAGGTAATAATAATAAAGGTATTTATCTAAATCTCATCTTGTTTTGCTTTTGTTGGTCAATGGTGAAACAAAAAGATAAAATAATATTATTTTAAAAAGCCATAGGGAAAGTTGTATATTTCTCCATTGTGTGTGTGTGTGTGTGTGTGCGTGTGCGTGCACGCATGAGTGAGGAAGGGGGAAGGTTAATGCTGTTCATAAGTAGTCGAGTCATTTGGCTAAGGCTGGATTGAAGGACCAGGCAGATGGCTAAGTAGGGAAAGTGAGGTTAAGTGGCAGTTGGATATTGCACATGTAAGTAGATCAAGAGAGGAGTGTGTGTGGTGCAGATGCAACACACAGTTTGACACACCGATAAGCACATGTCATTTTACAAAGTGCCACCCAGACATAATTGTACACATCTCACACATTTTTTTCATACATTTTTGACACAAAATTCAGGCATGGGGCAAGTATGTGACTCTTCACAAGTTCTTAGTAAAATCAAAGTACTGAAGACTATTTTGCATTAAGGAAAAAAGTGATTTGTTTCTGCCAGCAGCTTTTTTCCTCAAAATGACAACTGAAAACATCTTTTGGACACAGTAGAATCTTCTGAAATCATAATGGCTTTTCTTAGTTTGCAAATTGATTATTAGCTGACCAAGCAAGCTTGAGCTCAAACTGTATTTTGATTGAGGAATTAATATTGTAGAAAATACAATGAAACTTCTATAAGTGAAACACAAACAATCGCATTTATCTAAAATCCATTAAATAGTACATCAAATTAAGCATGGAATTGCGACTAATCTTGTTTCTTGTAACCAAGAAACATCTCAATAATATCTATAATCTGTCAGGGTGTAAGACCCCATCTTGGAGACATGACACATGAGGGGGATATGCAACATTTTCTTTAAAAAAAGCCTCATCCAATACTATAAAATAATGAATCACACACTAAGGCCTTCTATTTTGTTCTAAACAAGTTTAAGCAATAAAAACCTATAAAGGTCACTTACAAGATTTGTTTAGTGTACTTCAGAACTTGGCAAACTGTATGGACTTGTTAGGCGTTATTTAAATAATATAGACATTAACATGCATTATTATTAATGTTTCTTCACATTTGTATTGTCCATGATACTGTACATAAATAAAGGCAAATTTACATTGAAAACGTCTCTATCTAATACATGTTTTAACTCATATATTTGAAGCTAAAATATGATGTGAGTCCTGAAGTCTGAAACTTGGTAAATAACCATTAAAGACATGGCTCTATCACTGGTCCATATTTCATCCAAACCCAGAAGGGTTGAGCTGGAGGCCCTGGTCCATTTGATACTAACTGACCCAACCCCTCAATTGCACAATTTTATTTTATTATATTTCATTTTGGGCCATTTAAAACAATAATGAGAATATTTAATCAGTTCGTCATTTCATGTTTGTGAAATCATATTCTAGAATAGAAAATATATGGTGAAACAAATGTGAAGGTGAAATGCTATCTACCTGCAACTCCCTATGCCACCACTAGGGGAGGAGTTTCATTTGTTCATAATTAGACACAAACATAGCCATGCGGTTGTAAAGAACGTAACCAGAGAAAATACAAAAAATTATTTATGCAATAATAAATGGAAGAAAACCGCTCTGAGCGTGATATCAGTGACATCACACTATTACAGGACAAAGACAGGAGCAGAAAGTTCTTGAAGACATTAGCGTGGATGGATCTAAAACAACTCCAGATCTTTTTTGATGAGGGAACAATGTCAGCACAGATCAGACACCCAGAAAACCCTCTGTTGTTAGGTTCAAAAAAGTTGATTTGTATAAAATGTTTGTTTTTTCTTATAGTAAAAAAATCTGTTAGAATGACATCATCGTCTTACTGGTCCATGTTGTAACAGGATGAGAAATTATGTTTTTGTTAAAGTTTGATCTGCAGGTTGAATGTGTGCTCTGTCAGAGAAAGCCGCTATGTATGAAGTGAAAGGGCCACACAGTGGGACGGCGCCCGCTGTATTTTGTGTCTGTTTGTTTTCTCTTATTGTACACACTCAGTGGCCGTCCTGGAGGCAGACCTGTCATGAGCCTGTCGCTGAGCTGCCATGGACCATTGTGGCAGCATGCGATTGATGGGGACCAGCAACAGGAAGAACACGGACTGCTGGGAAACAGGAAAGAGAGTTAAAACTGAGGAAAAGTTCATAAAGATGTGTTGTGCTTAAGACATTAATTTGTATATATATACAAATATAGTTTTAGATCGATAGAAATTTTTAGATTAAATGTACCAAGTCATAAAGTTTAATAGCCATTTTTCAGCAATAAAACGTAAAAATCCAAAACCTTGTGTTACAGAAACTCCCCAAATGACCTTGATCAGAAGTTTATAATCACAAGTTTGTTTGACACATATGGATGGATGGCCTTTACAGATTATGGAACAAACCCCAAACTGCACTTTTAATCGCTTAGTGAACCTGAGATGTGCTTGTGAAGGTGTGAGGGTCTAAGGAGGTGTCAGTGGTGGTCAGCCCGTGTATGTGCTAGAGCAGACTGTGAATGCTCAGTGTGTGTGTTTGAACGCTGAATAAATCCTTTGTCTTAATTTTAGTGTGACCGTAGCACACACCAGGAGGTCCACGGAAATCACTGTTGCGGTGTTAGCAAACAGTGACAGACCTGTCAGATACCTCAGGGGCATCTGCAGCGCACACATGGATGAGTGTGCACAAAAATGACAAAAGTAACTCCTCCCTTGTCCCTACTGTTCCTTATCTTTGACCTTCTCAGGTCAACCTTAAGGAGCAGTGAGGAGAAAGGATCAGTAAGGACAGGAGCTCTTACTGTACATGGATCCATAAGGATAAAAACATCACCTATAAACATTAATGTGACTGAGCGCATGGCGCCCTCCTCTGGGCAGATGTATATCATGGCGCCCTCCTGTGCTGCTCATGGATCTATTATAATTCTATGGTGTTGCTATTGCACATTTATGTATAAGCTATATATACATATGTATAAGCTACAATACATCAGCCTTTCAAACTTCACAAACATTCTTTAAACAGATCAGAAGCTCACAAATAATAAAATGATGCGGATGAAGAAAGAGCTGCAAAAGATACCATGTTATCTTTAAAAATGAGAGATACAGCCAATTCCTTAACAATTTACATCTAAGTACATCTCTGAGTCTTAACATCCCATTTTACAGGACTTATATGTATTGAAGTCTGTATATAAAGCAGTTTACTTGATTACTGATTAATCGTTACAGCTACATTCTTTTTACCTTCTTCCAGTGCAAAGATTCATCTTACACTGCAGAGCTTTCTTTCATTTCTTAAGAAGCAATGAGATGATAAACACGGATGATACATGGAGCCACTCATGGAAGGCTTATATTGTCACTAGTCCATAATCATACTAGAGTTAGCTTAGTCCTTCCTTTTACATTTCCATCAGGGTAATAACAGTTTTTGTAAATACAGCCCAGTCTAAACCTTTCTCTACAGCAAATGTGTTGTGGTCCTGACTCCTGTCCAGTTCCTCTCTATCCTCTCTGTCAAGTTTCCTCTCCAGTACTTTTGGGGATGTAACGGCTGATATGCAGTGAGTAATGGTCCACCTCCTCCTCTCACCCCTGCCTGCCCTGCTGCTTGGTGGCTCTCACAGTCCCAATTCAATTCTACATGCTTTTCTTGGATAGTTTTCATAGTCATTTTTCTCTTCTTCACACTGGTTTAAATCTTTCTGCTCTTTTCAATGTTGTTTTTATCTCTCTTGCATTCTCCCATCATTCCACCCCTGGTGTGTCTGATTTGCAGCTTGTGGATGCCGGTTTTCCCCGTGCACCAGTTGTCTTCTGGGGGAGCAGCTCTGGGTTGGGAGGTCATACCCGGGTGAGTTGTATCACTTCTCAGGATAGTATTTAATTCTTGCTTCTCCTCACGTATCACAAGACCCTTTGCTTCACTTTCGCCCTGCACGGCTTTCCATCTCAGGATCCAATAATGTGTATGGAGCCAAAACCTCAGTCACAGACTACCTTTAAAAAGTCACTGCACAACGAGAGGTAGTTGGAAATGAAATAGTATTTATGAGTTTATTCCATAATGAATACTTTGTATAAACAAGGACACAAGTTATGATTTGTTAGCTCTGCGGGCACATAAATCAGTGCTCTAGGAGAAAACTCAAGTTCAAGTGTACTTCATATTATTTAAGCCATATCTTTATCACAAGGCCCAGGGGGATGCTACACACCTCTTACACTACCTCTGATTTGAAAATACTGTTTATTTTGAGTTGTTTTTTGAGAAATTCTGTTTGTATTTATATATATCCTATATACTGTATGTATATACCTCTTTTTGTAACATTCTAAGATTTTTGGTAATCCAAATACAAAAGTGTGATTTGATAAAATGTGGTAAATAACACTTTCCTTCATACTAGGAATGGTAAAAAGTCATCTTATATCAAATCAGGTAAAAATATATAAATAGAGGAACTCGATACATAGTTGATACATATCCTTCGATCAAAATAGGTAAATCATCAAACCTTAGACTATACAAAATACTTGAATGTGTGTGTGTCTAATAGGATCATCTTCCCTTCAGCCCCTCCATGGCCCCATCCCAGAGTCTCAGAGGGTGCCTGGGTCCTGAAGAAAAACACATCGTCCCCTGAACACCCCTGAACCAGCACTGGCCTGTTTACTTTGGCCTGAGCCTGACAGCTTTACTGATGTTACATACAGCCACACGGGGACCCCAGGAGGAGAGCGGGAGGACAAGGAGCTGAAGACGCTGCTATAATTGCAGAGGGAGAAGCATTCTGTACTCAAGTTATAAATACTTTAGCTACATACTCTGAATAATATTAATATGTTCTGAGCTATTGCAAAATACAACATCCCACTTCAGCAATTGATCTCGTAAACCAAATGCTAAGCCGTAAGGCAACAAATGGCAGATGTTATACATTCATATGGTGTTAAACCTCCTAGTCTCAGATCTACTGTTTTTGGCAAATACCTCTGCCGTTAAATATTACAGTTGAACTTGAGTGGGAGCAACTCAATCAGCCTAGTTTCAAGTGGGAAATACAAGTTTGAGCAACGTTCTAGGGCATTATTTACATCAGCTATTCCTTCTTTATGAAAGCCTGGTTTTGGTCCACATTTCAGGAAGTGGACCAAAAAAAAAAGTGCATTCAATACGCAACATGGGGTCTTTGAAAACTACATTCAGTGGAACGGGATGTTTACATACACTGTGTATAAGACATTTTTTACTTGCTTACAGAGTGAACTTAAGCTTCGTATTTTGTAGAAAGTAATTTAAATATTTCAGAATAATGACCTACCTCAGTATTTTTACATGCCCCTTTTCCTTATACATTTCTTGTTTCCACTGTATCTCTATGAGGATGCAACTGTGCTGACTTTGAAAAGACAAGGTTATAACATTCTTTCTCTTATCCAAGAGAGAATGTTCCAGTTCTGGAAAAATGAAACAAAATCAATTGTTTATTTGGTCTTTATATCAAATACAATATTCACTATCTATTTTTGATGCCTTCAGATTTTATCTTTATTTACCTATTTTATCTCCCAGATTTAAAACTGGTGTGTATCTTTACATCTGTGCTTCATTATATCTTTCCAATGCTAGCAGTTTGTCCACACGTAGGCGTGTGTTTGTGCAGGTTAGCCCGACGCCCGGCTGAGCTGGGCCATAGGGGTTAGATACTGGGGTGGGAGGTCCGTGTTGGGCCTCAGAGCTCTAAGCCTTGTTTGTCTGTCCGGAGCAGCTGGACAAGCTGTAATAATACAAACACCCCTTTGAACAGGCTGCTGTGTTGTGCCGCTGCATATTGGGTTACATCCCACACACATGCATAAGTTTCAACAATCACTACATCACATAAGAGACACACGTGTGAACAATGTAGAATGGCATGATGGAATGCACACTCGTATAACTCAAAGCTTTCATGTGATGGGCAAATGCCGGCCTCATGGACATGACATACGTAAACCCTTGGTGGTTCTCTAATCGATCATTGAAATTCTATGATGCACCTGTTCAACTGTCCCCTCTGCTTGTTTGTTAGTTTGTTTGTGTGGACACAAGGGTGGCTTGCTCGTTGTTTATTTAGAGGGGATCATTAGTCACAATAAATAATCAAGGAAAGACACACAGAGGCCTTGCACTGATTGAGGCTTACACAAACATGTCACACTTACAACACTGTCACTGACACATCCCGCAGCAGCAGCCACCAGAGAACACGGAGACTGCTGCCAGCCCACTCCATTGCAGTGACGGATGACTTCTTCTGTGTTATGTAATGTGCTGCAGACTTCACCTGTCTCCCTGTACTCTCCGGGACCTGAGTGCATTCAAATCCCAATGGGTCTCCACTCCAGGGATCTGCTCAGAGCTGTGACCCAGACAGAAACACACATCTATAAATTGTGAGCCAGTTTTGTGAAAGTCAAAAGAGTTCACATAATTGATAATACAGCAATGTGCACAAAAATTGAGAATTATAATGATAGAGAGAGTCTAAAAAATGAGATTCCCTCATTTGTGCTATCCACTCAGCGGCACGGTGGCTGAGTGGATAGCACTCTCGCCTCTCAGCAAGAAGGTCCTGGGTTCGAATCCCGGTCGGACCAGGGCCTTTCTGAGTGGAGTTTGCCTGTTCTCCCCGTGTCTGCGTAGGTTTCCTCCTGGTACTCCGGTTTCCCCTACCACTAAAAATATGTTCAATAGTTCTGGCATGTGCCTCCTGTACTGGCGACCCCGCTCCCATCTCTGTGTGGAGTGAGAGACAAATGCCCATAATTAACAATTGTAAACCGCTTTGAGACTCAGATCTGCAGTGAAAAGGCGGTATATAAATAAAAACTTACTTACTTACTTACCTGTGTGTCAAGCCATACGCCCAATGTATCTAAAATAAAGCCACTGTACATGCTGTTTATTTTTCAGACTGATCCACACACTAATATGTGGTCAGGGAGCCTTTAGCTTGGATTACCAATATATACCAGCATGGTTTTAAAAACTAAAAAGATGTGTGTGGCACTAACCTTTCACTAAGATCTTATTTTGATGAATGGAGAGTGTGCTAACGTGTAAAGTGACTCAACTCTAATCCTGCCCCTTTAACCAGTGAGTCCCAACTTTTGTTTTCCTGTGTACCCCCTCGCCAGCACAGATCAGGAACGAGAACTGTCCGTTGTTAAGCGGGCCGGCGGTTATTTCTGAAATATATGAACATGTTATGAGATGTTACATTATCAAATTTGAAGCTTAAAGGTAAATTCAGACCGAAAGACCAAAAGAGACGTCAGACTGGGAGATGAAAAGTCTGGCGCTGCAGACACGCCCCCTCTACGACAGTCACACAGTCACACAGCACAGGCACTGACACAAGCAGCAGAGGAATGGAAGACAAAGGCCCAGTACTAATATTCCAGTCACAACTAATAATACCAAAAATTAAATAAATGCAGTGAATGAGGCTGGACTGGGCCCAGAATGGACCGCCTCCTTGGGAGAATCAGGAAGGTGGTTTAATATATGAGGGTAAATACCCTCATAAAGTGCCTTCTTATGTTGCACTTTGTGTTGTTTTTCACTGATTATGTTAAAAAGACATAATTGGATGGATGGAATATGCCTTCCATCCATCCATCCATTTTCTTCCCCTTAATTAATTTCTAGGTCAGGGGGGGGCAGTCAGAGCAGGTGCCGAGTCCACATGAGCTGTGTTTATTAAAAAGATTTTTAACATTTTTTGGTTCATTTTTTTTGTTGAAAAATGAACCGAACCGTGGCCTCTGAACCGAGGTACAAACCGAACCGTGATTTTTTCAAACCGTTGCACCCCTAGTTCTCAGCCTAGTTTTGAACACGGTCAGGGTAGAGGCTTGTCTCACAACCTCAGGAAGTCCATATCCTAACTGCATAGATCTGAAATGCAGCCTCTCCATCTTTCATTCTGACTCTGGGCACCTGCAGAAGGCCAGTCCCTGTGCTTCTAAAGCAACGTTCACACCGGATCATGCGTTGCATCCAGTTTTAATGCTAAGTCAATAAAACTGGACGTGGTGACGTCCGTTCGTGCAAGAAGATTTTTTAATATGTTAACAACTCATATAAGTAAGTATGTGGTTCCAATGTTGCGGTTGAAGGTTCAAGCCTTCATTATAACTTTGATAGTTTTATGAGAACTATGTTGATAATATATCAAAATGTAAAAGTCCTATACATTAACCTTTTGAGATCTAAACTTCTAAAAAAGAAAAAAAGAAAGAAAAATGTATCATCAAAATAATCGTGATTTAATTGCGCAACTAGTTAGCTTGACTTTTTGCCATTCACCATGTCCCTCTGTCTGTTTCATAGGTATTATGATGGGACACGAAGCCTGGACCAAGTGGACCAGTTTCCAGTCTTCTGTTGGGGAGTTTGCGGTTCTGAGATGCCCTTCGAAACAACTGTTACTGTGATTTTGGCTTGTACAGTAGAAAACTAATCATGGTCACTATTTACCCTTATACGCCCCTAAAGCTTGAAACAATGTACACATATATATGCCGGTGCAGCAGTGTACAAATTTTAACCCCATTAATTTTCTTTGGGATGTGCGCCGCTGGGCTTTGTGCAGTGATCACAAACTCCCTTCATCAATCCAATTTCTTTGTGAGAAATTAACAGAATCAAATGGAAATACAGATACATTGTATTGTATTGAAATTGCAGAGACATTTGAAACAATGCTTGCTGTTACCCAAACAAAAGTTGCTGCAACCAAATATTATAGTGTGAGTAACATCTAGTCCATTACATGGAATAATAGTCAATATCCATGTTATTGGAATCTAAGCTTTGAGTTTGTTAGGAGGATCTGTGCGCATTGCCTGACCATGGGTTACACAGAGGTGAACATCTGGTCACTAAGACAGTGGAGATAGAGTTACTTTTCCCTGTCAGCAGGATGGACAAAAGATACTGTAACAGAATGAGAAAAACTTTCACTTTTTTTTCTTGTTTTACTTAAATGTTAATTTAATTAACATTTAAGTAATAATTGCCATTCAGAAAGGCCAGGTTAGCGAGAATGTTGGCATTTATGTTGCCGTTTTCCCTTAGAAAATTAAGATTAAGATTTCAAATTAAGCATGAATCCAAAATGAAGTTGCACAAACAAGACACGTCCTCCCACAGATGTGCCGACCTTTGACTCTGACCCGAGGACGTGGGTGAGTCTGCGAACGGTTTCTAAATAACTAACGTCTGCTGCCGGTTCTTAAGCTGTAATGAAATACAGCAGCACTCTACACAGACAACACAAGCTGTAACATGGTCATGTTTGACACTTATGGAACTTCTTCAGAGGTAACACAAACACAATCTATCAGCCGCATATTTACTTTGCTCATACTATTGTGGGAGTGCACAGGACGTGGGTCACTACGCTTTCTCTCGCCCTCTTCTTGTTTTCCCAGGGCATGCTGGGATTTGTTGTTGTGTTTTTTCAGTGACTCCTTGGTCACTATGTTCATGAGTTAATGAAGGGCGTTAAGCATTTGTAAAGGGAAGATTGAGACCTTGCACATCTGAGTCAGCACCAGTGTTAGTTACTTGGAAAATGTTATTTATTACATATCACAATTTTTTTTTTAAAGAAAACTGCATAAATAAATTTACATTACTTCTGGATTGCTTATGTTCTAACATTTCAATTCATGATATTTGGTTTCATGCTTGATTAATAATGTAAACAGAAAACAGCTGCTATTTTGACCAGCTGAAATCTGTTGATAAAAGCTGGAGGTGTCACATACAAAATGCTTCATATTTAAGACTAATGTATGATTGCAAAAAAATAATTCTAAGATTATGAGTTCTACTATATAGTCTAAAATGAAATAAGTTAATAAACCAAAAGTAAAGCATCAACCTAAATACTCGAGTGCAACACAGTAAATACAGAAGTACATACTCTCTCGTATTATGATACCAACCATTATCGGGGTGTTATGTGTAACTTATAACAAAATACAATTACAGAAACCATATATTTGTGTGAGCGTGTGTACACTGGAGAGAATGTACTCTACATTGACATGTAATAAGAGTAAAAAGAGCAGGTGTGTGACACAGCACAATCAGATTGTTACAGGCCAGACTCCAGGCCACATTTTCACTTGGAGAGTGCGTAACCCACCAACACCCCAGAACATCTTGTTATTTTAATCCTACCACCACATCCCATCTACAAACCACATTTCAGCAACATTTCTGTCGGCAGGGTATCGTAATTGTAATTCCTCTTTAATTCATAATATGTTATAAGTTCTATATGATCTTTTTTTTTCTTAAATAGACTTTTTTTCTTAAACAAACCGATACAAGCTTCAAAAAGAACGCCCCACGATATTTACCACAGGTGTTTGCAAATAATAGTGTTTGCAAATAATACCCCAGTGAAATACTAGTATGGACCATTATTACTGGAGATCACTGTTTCCCAACTTCATGACAGAGTGGTAGATGTCGCTCAAGAGGGAACTGTAAAGAATAAATACATGGAAGGGAATAATGACTGCTCAGTGAGGTAGCAGCCAAGAGGGCATGTAAAGGCTGCGGGAACATTTAGATTGGTCTACCTATGGCAGTGAGCAGTGTGTGGGATCTGGGATGGATGACATTGGAGGGGCTATCAGGAGCAGCACATCTGCAGAAACCATTAGAAGATTGTGTATACAGCGTGACGGGGTGTTTTCTCTGCCCGACCACGGCTTGGGCCTGTGCCGCTAAACCCGGCTCAGGTTTCAGCGCTGTTCGGTGGGGGGCCGTCTCCAGTTGACGCGTGATGATTTAGTCAGGTGTGAGCGTGCAGTTTCCAATTTAGAAGGAAATAAATTAGGAGTGATTTTTTATGAGGCCTCCATCCCAGGCTGTCTCTGGGCTGCCCCTCCCTCCTGCTGTGCACTGTCAGCCCAACTGATGTGTTTATAAAGAGCGCTGCCATGGGACATCTCGAAAGAACACAAAAGTTTAGAAAAATGCATATTCAGAATAACGAATTATAAGAATAATGCAATAACTCAGAATGTAAAACCACTACAACACGCACACGGCATACATTCATTTACATGAAATGACCAAATAAACAGCTTCCAGATGAAACTGAGTAAAAAGGTGATGTTTAAGTAAAGGAGGAGAAAACAGGTGTGTTAGTGGAAGATGACGCAGAGCAGAACTCTTCCAGATTATGGTCTGGTAGTGAGGAAGATGTGTTTGAGCTCTGCCGGGGTCTAAAGACAGGAAATCCAAATCCCCACTGACCTCTGGCCTCTTTTGGTTCCCTCTGCTACTGCTT